ATTTGACCAGTAAAGTGTATTTATTAAGGACAAGTTAGACTGAGACACACCTTTGCTTTAATTTCAAGCAAACAAATAATTGTTTTTAAGTGTTAATCTTGTTAAAGTCCTCCCGTAGGCACTCATGTGGCCACCTTTTTGGCAATCAATCAATTTTTGGCACAACACTGACCCACGTTTCCAGGTGGTCAAGTCAAGTCAAGTCAACTTTATTTATAGAGCACATTTAAAACAGAACCTGTTATCAAAGTGCTTAACAACAACAACAATCAATGAGTAAATTAGAGAAAATATATATATATATATATATACAATACACTAATAATAATAACTGAAGAATTAATAAAAAGCATTTAAAACATAGGGTCACAGATTAAAAAAACCACTAGATCAATTTACAGTACACTGTGTGAAATGCATGCAAGAACAGATGTGTTTTTAGCAGGGATTTGAAGTGAGGAAGGGAGGTGGCCTGCCTGATGTACGGGGGCAGGTTGTTCCAGAGTTTGGGGCCCATGACTGAAAAAGCCCGATCTCCTCTGAGCTTCAGTCTTGTTTTGGGAACAGCCAAAAGCAGCTGATCAGATGATCTCGGGGCCTGAGAGGGAATGTAAGGTTCCAGAAGCTCAGAGAGATAAAGGGGTGCGAGGCCATTTAAGCATTTGAAGGTCAACAGAAGAATTTTAAAGACTATCCTCGTACGAACAGGGAGCCAGTGAAGGGAGGACAGAACTGGAGTAATATGTTCAGACCTACGAGTTCCGGTTAAAAGCCGAGCAGCAGCATTCTGGACGAGCTGAAGACATGGAGGCCTGGCTGATCCCAGCATACAGTGCATTGCAATAGTCCAATTGGGTTGTGACAAAGGCGTGGACTAATTTCTCAAGGTCAGGTCTGGACAATACTGGCTTGAGCTTAGCTACCTGTCTGAGTTGGAAGAAGCTTTTCTGCAGAACAGAGTTGATTTGTTTGTCAAACTTGAAGTCAGAGTCTAAAACCATCCCAAGATTTTTACCAGACTGCTTCAGATATGGCTGAAGAGAGTCCAGGTTGATAGGATCAGTGGTGGCAGTTGAGCTAGGGCTAAAAACAATGACTTCAGTCTTGTCATTGTTAAAACTTAAGAAATTTGAAGCCATCCAGGCCTTAATGTTGTCCAGACATTTTAACAGAGGGTGAATGGAGCAAACACTTGCTGGTTTCACAGGCAGGTAGATCTGACAGTCATCAGCATAGCAATGGAATGAAAGACTATGTTTCCTCAGGATGGACCCCAGTGGGAGCAAATCAGAGTCAGTCCGTCAGAGTCAGAGTCAGAGATTCTTTATTGTCATTCGCACCTCATGTGGTACATGTGGTGGAGCGAAATTTTGTACACAGGGTCCCAGTTACATCCAACAATAAAATGTATAAGAAAAACAGTAATAACATCTAAGATATGAACTAAGAAAAACATCAACTAAATATACACTAAGCACTCATAACATAAAAACATTTAACATCAGCACAAACATGAACATGAGTCTGTGTGAGCAGATGTGCACGCATGAACACATCAACATTGAAACAGATCAGCAGCAACATGATGCGGTTTTTCACAGTGATTATTCTAGTTAGAGATTCATGAGTCTAAATAAAGTGAGAACAGAAGGGGTCCAAAAATCGAACCCTGTGGGACCCCGCAAGAAAGAGGTAATGAGGCGGATATATTATTACCAACCTTGACACAGAAACTCCTGCCACTTAGGTATGAGCAGAACCATTCTAATGCAGCACCTGTGATCCCAACCCACTGTTCCAGCCGTGATATAAGGATACTGTGGTCAACATTATCAAAAGCAGCAGTAAGGTCCAGGAGTACAAGTACCACAAATTGACCAGAATCGTTTGAGATCATAATATCGTTACAAACCCTCACTAATGCTGTTTCAGTGCTGTGGAGTTGCTTAAAACCAGATTGAAAAATCTCGAAGATTCTGTTCTCATTCAAAAACTTGTTTAATTAAATGAAAACTATTTTCTCCAGGATTTTGGACAGGAAGGGAAGTTTTGAGATTGGTCTGAAATTTGAGCAAGTCCAAGGGTCAAGTCCAGGTTTCTTAATTAACGGATGAACTACTGCATGTTTGAAAACATCGGGAACCACACTTCTCACAATACTACTATTTATAATAGTAAGAACAGAGGGTCCAATCGTGGGTAGAACTTGTTTGAAAAACAACGCAGGAATGGGGTCAGCAGGGGAACCGGAGGGTTTCATCTGACCAACGACTTTGTTTAGAAATGGGAGTGAAATGGGTTCAAACTGTTTGAAGACAGCTGAGCAAGGGACAAACACAGAGGGGTCAGTTGTGGACTGGGGGATGGATGACCTAATCAACTCTACCTTATCAGCAAAGTATCTGGTAAAGTCGTTCCATTGACATCTGCAACATAATCTGCAATTAGGTGTCTCCATTATGGTCAACGGTGACATAATAAACGCGACGCGTCAGCGGTGATGCATAATAGATGCGATTTATATGGCAAAGTGACTTATTTATGTTTTTTATCCACTTTACTAGACATTTTTGGACTGATGCAACTTTTACGGCGGAAAATACAGTATATACAGAATGCGCACACAGTATAGCGCAAGTTCTTTTATTCAAACAGATTTTAATAATAGGCTGTTTAATCTGAACAGAACTACCTCGCACAAAGACTTGGCAACTGTTTTTACGCAAGATGCTCTGCCTGATGCAACCACAGAGCACAAGCTCCCACAGCCCTCCGTGTGGAGCAGAGAGCTGCCCTCTAGGGCACCCAGAGGAGCAGATGGTGGGGGTTAAGGGCCTTGTTCAAGGGCCCAGAGTGGGGCAAATGAGGGGGGAGACAGGTGTGGGTGCTTCACCTTTCCCACCCACATTTTGATGATGTTGGTACGGGGAGTTGACCCGGTGACCTTCCGATCACAGGCCCACCTTCTCTAACCTCTGTGCCACCACTCCCCACTGAACAGACAATATCTCTGAAATCCATAAATCCAAAAATATGTTTGAAATTTAAAAGCTGTAGCAAAAATGAAACTAGTGGCTAGTTGTTATTTTTAAATAACTTTGTTTTGAACACACACGTCCCCAGTCATCCATCGGGGGGTGCTGCAGCACCTACAGCAGCCCTAGTTCACACAGCCATGACCCTTTGTCTTGCCTCTTGGTATATGGTAACCTCTCAATGCACAACAAAAATTCTCTATCCTGTTTTGTGCAAACAGCCCACAAGGCAATTAGCATACAGCAAGTGTCTTAGTGAAAGATTTGGAAAATAAAATAAGCATGAGTCTTATGTTCTTATAGTAGGTTCTTTGAACCCAATTTCTCCCTGAGGAATAATAAAGGTTTGAACTGAACTGTCATAATGTTAATTTAAGTCACCAATGCCAACTTTTATGGGATAATTTGTTCTTCTATGATCCATATGGTCTGAGGTACAGTGCAAGCAACTTAGAGTAAAGTCAACAGATATGAATTTTCATTTATTTTAAGTGCATTGAATAAGAGTTGCACTCGGGTCCGAATAATCTGAACCGACCCGGCCCCAGCCCGCAGCCATCATCTCCGAACCCCACCCGATCCGATGAATTAACAGTAATTACAGGTCTGAACTCAACCACCCCACCAAGATTTTTAATTAAGCTTTGACTGCTTATATCACTGACCATTATTAACGGTTGGCGGACGCGCTCGGCTGAGTAAAGGGGCAGAAGACTGGAGCCGAGGAGCCGTCAAAGCGCATTAAATGCTTCCCCTGCTTCTGCCTGCATCCTTTGTGATCTCACTTGTTTGGGTCGTCGACCGCGCGTGACCGCTGAGTGCAGTGGTTGAATGAACGTCCATTTGTGCTGCTGGATCGCTGGCAGTAGTCCATCTGAAGCTTAACTGAACTTTTTACCTCTTTCAACCAGCTGGTCAGCGCACGGTCAACTGGCTGCAGGTGTGGTATGGCAAGCCATGTTTGCATATATTGGATCGTCGGCCGCACGTGTCCCTGACACAATAAAAAGTCTGACACCGGCCCAGCCCATACATTAAGCTCATTATTATTGCCCGGTCCCAATCCAGGTCGGGCGGGTCCGGGCGGGGCGGGTCCGGGCGGGTCCGGGCTCCGGGTTCGGGTTAGAAATAACAGCTCTACATTGAATACATTTAATCAGCCAGATCCTTTTGGCGTTTTAAGTAGTTCTGTATAATTTTTATTTTTTTTTTACTGCTGATTCTCCAATGGAATTTTTAAACAAGTACATTTTTGTGGCTGTATTTGGTGAGGTTGCTTGCAGCATCTTGTGCCTTGTATTCTTACAGTATGTTCTGTTTCCCCGTGAGGCTCATTGAAGGTTGGAACTGAACTGTCATCAAATAGGTTGTCTGTGTTTGTATATTTGGACGTTTATTAATTTATTCTGTAGAGTTTGAATGTGGAGATCAATGCAGGACAGTTACATATACTGTCAATGGGAACTCTTTAAGGCTACTCTTAATTAATAGGCATCTGAATCAGTTGTAGTTGCAACACACACTCACCATGAACTCTTTAATCAGTTCCTGTTGGTCAAGTTGATGTTGCAGAATCTGTATGAGGGCTTTAACTCTGAAGCCTGAATACTGGCTGGTCCTGGCAGGAGTAATGAGCGCTAAACTGGCCAGCTCCTCTTCTGATACTAGAGGGGGGCCTGAGGAACAAAGCATGTGACTTTTATTTTTCTTCTTAGATAAAAGTTTTGCTTAAAAACAATTGTAAAGAAAGATGACTATGATCACCTGCTTGGGGAAAGGACACTTCCCGACTTGTTGCATTAAATACATCATCATCTTCTTCGCTGCTCCAACCATCTGACTGGGTTTTCCGGACATCTTTGCAGGACTGGTCCAAAAGTTTGGTCACAATTTGTTTCCTAAGAAAATCAGAAAAAAAATTCATATCAAACTATTATTTTATATGTTGTTTTATGTTTTATAAACTGAAAAAAAAAACAAAACAACAACACTGAATATATCACTGAATATATCAACACTGAATATATCCAGAATACAAATATCTGCATTTTACAGAAATATTTCATTTGAGAACTTTTTAGTTGTCATTAATTGTTTTGTGCTGCCCCCATGTGGTTAAATGTGGAGCTTCAGCATAAAAACATAGGAGAAAGCAGAGGGAAGTGGTGAAGAAGGGAAAGAGGATACACAGATAAAAGAAGAGACAAGTTGGATATGTTAATACCTGTCCGTGGCTCCATGCAACATGTCTGTGACATTGAGGGATGGGCAGCAAGCTTGATGAGAGGGGGTGTTATTACAACTCTCCTGTCCCCACAGACAAGAAGCCAGAGGAGGCAACAGACAGGAGGAGCAAGATGTTAGTGGATGTTAGTAAAGAGACATGAAGCATGATCTAATTTAAACAAATAGTTAAGTCAAATTATGTCGCTGTTGTAAAAAAAACGTGTGCTACCTCTTCTGTTGAAGTCTTTTCTCTCACAACAGTCATTCTGTGAGGTGGAGGAGGTGGTGAAGTAAGGATAACTTCTGTTTCGTTAACCGCAGGATCAGAAGACGCCTCTAAAATAGCAATACGGCCATCAGTGTACCCAAACTTTATGAAAATTCAAAACGCTAATAAGACAGTATTGCATTTGTGGTTTGTTTCAGCTTGCTCAGACAAGATTTAAAGTAATCTGTTTTTGCAAGAGATAAGAATATAAAGGTTTTTGGATATCTTACCGGGGGAATGCTCGACTGGTCTATTCAGCATGACGTCAGTTGTGGAACAGACATCATGGGTGGACATGTGAGCAGGCTGCTCTGCTAAAATAGCTTCAGTATAAACAGACATGTTCGGGGGAGTGGGAGACTCAGAATATTTCAGGGGCAAAATGTCTCTGCAGATAGTGAGCTGGACTGTCCCCTCAGCTTTACGCAGGATCTCCACTACCTTACTATGGCTCAACCCAGACACAATCACACCGTTCACCTGGTATGGACACATTAAGAATTAATTGATCACTGGTGCAAAAAAAAAAAGAGATGGTATTAACATTTGATAGCTGTTTACCTCTAAAAGAATGTCCCCCACTTTCAGTCGGCCATCCTGCTCGGCTAGTCCACCAGAGCAGATGTCCCTCACCCGGAGCATGCTGCCATTAGTTCCACCAACCAACGCAAAGCCGAGACCTCCGCCTTCTGGTTTTTTGAACTCCACTTGCATGATGCAACTCTACAAGGACAAGTGTTCATAAAATTAAAAGAAGTGTGGAAATAAGAAACACCTAGCTAATATCAATTTTGGCCTCTTATGTACAGGACAGTAACTTTTGTAAGAGAATGCACTTGCAGCCTAACGCAGAGTAGACTCATGTTACAGAGCTTTTTTTTTTTTTTCTCCAGTCAATGATTCACATAAATTTTTTTTAAAAAGAAGTGCATACCAGTAATCAAAAGTAACAGTGGAGATAATACTGAAAATGTTCAGAAACTTACATCCTGTTCTTGGGTGAGAGAGCGACATCTGAACCTTTCAGCAGTCCTACACACTGCTTCAGCTGAAAAACAAGACAATTAGAAATGAAGTCAAAACATAGACACAAGTTATTATATAGTTACAATCATGTTTCCTGGAAATAGCCATAAAGGCAGTGAACGTTAAATAAGTGAAACTGGTTTGGCCCTCCATCGACTGGCCTTCCAGTCTGATCATTTTCTACCAGTTACACAGAAAAAACACAAACTAACCTTGCACCTCTTCACCCATTTTTAAAAAGAAGTACTGATGGATGAGCCTCCTCTTTTTAGAGCGGCACCTCTGCCCTGTCCTTTACTCCTCTTTGACTCGTCACCAGGCAACTGAGCTTCCTGCACTACAGACCACCACCTGTATGGGTCCAAACGAGTGTGTGCGTGTGTGATGCCACTGGCTTTGCAGTTTAATACACCAGTGGAGGGCCAGAGGCTTGCTAATTATTAATCTTACAGAGAGAGCCCAGGATCTGTCTGTCAGCACTGAATGCTCCCCCCCTCCACACACATACACACACATGCACACACACAAGAGCAAAGAGAAACTTTTCCATCAGCACAGTGCCCCAGCTTTGCGCTGACAAAGGAACCGTAAGTAATAGAGTGAAAAAGAACCATTTATGACATCAGTACATCATCCTTGTGGAAAGGTTGAGGAAGGTAAAATGAGAATAATTAAAAAAAAACTTACTATTTTCAGTAGACGACTTTCTCTCAGGTGAGCCAGACTCTTCAAATCGAGCAAAAAACTTCTTGTCTTTTTTCCAGTCGAAAAGACCTGTTGAAATAAAAAAAAACTTGGTAAGGAAAAAAAAAAACAACAAAAAAAAAAAACTAGAAAATTATTTTTCTGCAACAACATGCACAGACAAGTCACCGAATACCAAAGTATTCTTGCTTCCTAAAATACGCAAGCTTTCTGGTAATGAATGAACTCTAATTGCCACTGTTCAGGCCCACATAGACATATCTAGTTTCCAGGCTGTTCATCAATGCATAAAAACCAAATGACCTTGTATATTGGTTTGTTAGACATTAACATGTTCAAAACTTACCATTCCACTTAGCCTTAGGAGTAACTGGCTGGTCTTCTCTGTGTCAAATGAAAAAAAACAAACAAAAAAAAAAACATTAGGAGAGTCATTGAGAAATTCAAAAATACAAAAATAACATATATCTCTATCCATTCAAACAAAAGGGAAAATACCTGATAATTTTTAGTTTAACCTTACGAGGGGCAATCTCACAGGCTTTGACTGCATCCTCTAAGGTCATTCCCAGGGTGCACCTGCCACAGATGTACAGGATCTTGTCACTGGGTTGAACGCTGCCCTCCTCGCTGGCCGGGGACCCTGGCACCACGTCCAAACAATAGATGCCCTGCCATTTGCTGCCAATACCACCTGTCAGCCTTATTCCTGAAGAGAGATGCACACAAATATATATTTAAATGAAATTATCTCATGCATCGGGCACATTTAGAATGTTCTTTTGAAGTCCAAGGTCCCACCCAGTTGTCCTGAGGGTGTCTTGTGGAGAACAACATCAGGTAGACTGTCACAGGGAGGTGGAGCCACGAGGTTACTAACTGCTCTGCCGAGTGTCATACTCAGTCTTCTTGGAGATGACCTGAGAATCGTCATGGCAACATCATCTGCCACGCTGGTAACATCATGACCATTTACCTGACAGATCATGACAGAGCATCATTGTGGTCACACTTTCATTAACCAGAAGGACTTGTAAAAGAACAGGCATGCGTTTTGATGCATACGGTGATGAGCCTGTCTCCAGCACGAAGTCGTCCATCTGCCCTGGCTGGGTTGTCCAGAATGTCCTGTATGTAGTAGCAATTGTCCAGTTTGCTTCGTGTGATGGTGAACCCAAAGCTTCCACTCCTGGACTTGCTAAGAACCACAGTAAGCTCAAACTCTTTAATCCTACCCTATCAGGTAGAAACAGAAGATATGCGCATCCACCTTATTCCAAAAGCACAAAAACAACAACTTCCTTCTACAAGTTCAGACTCTACAGAAACTACAAAAACAAACATGCAAAACTAAAACTATGTCCTATAGCCCAATGACTGCTGGAGATAGACACCAGATCTTCGTAATCCTGCACAAGATTAACTATAAAAGATGGATGGATGATCTCTTTGATTTTACATGTTGCCTCCATCCATATCAGTTTCTTTCCAAGATATAACTACTGTCTCTTTAGCTCAAAGCAAAAACATTCATCTAACTTATAAAACCGTTATGTGTCCTGCTGTCAAACAGAGACGAGCAAAACTCTGTTGAAGTCAATTCTTTCTGTAAAGCTGAAAAAAAACGGACATACAAATAATTTAGTTAACTTGCCTTTCTCCGACTCTCTTTCTCCTCCTCATCCAAATCATCGTCATCGTCATCATCAAACTCCCGCAACTTCCTCTCCAGTTCTTCTCTCAGCTGCATGGGCATCTGGGCAGGTGAGGGCAGCATTGAGGTTGGCAGCGTTGGAGCAGGTGCACCAGCACAGGGAGGCACTGAGGAGATAACCTGGGCTGTGATGGGGGTCACTGGTGGAGGCTGATGGGGAGGCACACTAGGCTGGATGTTCTTAGATATGGCTTTGTAGGGACTTGCGAGAAGCCCCTGCTGGATCGGGTGGTGCTTGTTTTTCGGGGGTTGCTTTGTGAGTGGCTGAGACAAGCGGGTCGAAGGGCAGGTGGTTGGGGTGTTCGACAAGAAGTTGAGGGACGAGATGTTGGTAGTGGGGACATGAGGGCTGAGGTTCGGAGCCTGAAAGAGGTTGGAGGTTTGAGAGTCATGGGCTTGTAGGTTGGCTGTTGATGTGCTGGGAGGGGGTTCCAGAGTGGAGCTGATGGTCAGGTACTCTTCATCTGCCACAATAGTCAGTCCATCTCCCATAAGGCAGTAGGTCACACTCCCATCTGCCTCCTCTCTAATACCACTGCAAAAAACAAACAAACAATATGTTATATGTATTGTAGCTAAAATAACATTTCACACAAAGCATTTACAATGACTGTCTAAAGACTTAAAATATATCTATTTTTTAGTTATAATTTCATATACTTTATTTTCAATGAGACAGATTTTCTTGCACGGTTAAAATGGTTTTGATTAAAAAAATGTTTTTTTAAAGGTTTCTTTTTCAAGATTTTTTATTTTATTTTCTACAAATACAAAAAGGTTCAATCATGTAATCTGGACCAGTTTATTTAAGTAAGAAACGTTTCGACTCCCATCCAGAGGACTTCCTCAGCCTACAGCCTGCCAAACAGATCTGTCCCATAGGTATGCCTTCACTGCTGTGTTTCAAGCCAACCTCCTGTTGGAATCTCAAAAGTAGGCTTTTAACACATCCAAAACACACCAATCCAAAACAATCAATCATCATGTACAACAAAATGTTTTAGGCCAGGTGGCCAACTCGCTACTCACAGAATTAGCCTGAGCACAACCAAGTCCAAAATTGTTTCAGAAAAAGGTTTGCATCCAGGTAGATAATGGTGTCATCTGGACCAGTTTCTTTAAGTGAGAAACATTTCATCCCCCATCCAGAGGACTTCATCAGTCTGCAGCCTGCCAACTACTTTAGTCTAACGTTTTTCTTAGTTCATATTTTAGATCTTATTACAGTTTGTCTTTGACATTTTATTTACAGGAGGTTGGCTTGAAACACAGCAGTGAAGAGTACCTAAGGAACATTTTTTGGCAAGTTGTAGACTGAGGAAATCCTCTGGATGGGGGACGTAATGTTTCTCACATAAAAAAAACTGGTCCAGATGACATGATTTAACATTTTTTATTGTTATCCACCTGGATGATTGAGCTTACAGCTCGATTTCTACAAATGTTTAGTGTGACAGTGTATCACTTTTCATGCGTGTGCTATAGAATACCTGGTATATACAGGTTTAGAGGCAGTTTTTGGGTAAACATCCATAAGCATCACAGCTGAGCTCATTGTTGCTGCAGCCTCCTCTTCTCCTTCCTTTTCCTTCCTCTGAGCTTCTCCTTCCTTTTGTTTCTCTGGTTTTTCAGTATTTGGTTGGAGTTCTCTTGAAGCTGGTGGAGAAGCAGACACGGGTGAAGTGGGTGATAATGGCGACGCAGGTGAGGCTGGCGAGACTGGTGACGGAGGAGACGTAGGTGACGTTGGTGAGGGGGGTGTGCGAAGAGGAGATGGAAGACTCTCACAGGTCTGCACTTCACTCTCTGGGCTCCTTTGACTCTCTCGGGGTTGCGAAGCTATAGGTTCCATTTTTTTCTTTGTTTTGTTGGTCAGATTCTCCTCTTTGCTGGGGGGCACCATCAGTGCATGCACGCTGACATCATTTGGTGACTTAAAAAGTTGGCTGTAGTCCTCTCCAAGTCGTAGGTCTAGAGATCTGGATCGAATCTCACGCAAAGGTACAGGACTCTACAGAGACGAGACAAAACGAAAGCCAGTCAGTCTGAAACCTGCCTGCCTTGGGACTTCTTATGCATTCCATAGTTGCCATGTTACCAATGTGTTATCATCTATATCACAAAGTACTCCAGGAGCAGGTCGGCAGATCAACAGATGAACTTCAGATGGGATCCCACGTAGCAGAAACAAAACCCTCTGAGACAAAACAGACACACGTAACGGATTTGGAAAAGAGTCTCAAAATGCACAAATCTAAGATGATCAAAAATTTAAAAGAAGCTGTGATACTCTTGCTGGGCTGTAGAACTTGGCAGTGCCGGACACAAACAGTGTGACACAACTAGTGCGCTATTTTAAGCAATACAAGATTAAAGAATTAGTGCATCTGTGACGTGCTCAAGATCCTAAAAGAACAGAACTACTGTACTGGTGTTGCTAATCTACTATCCAGCCCATTCATTTTAACCAACAAGTGAATTAGAGCGCATTAATAATACATATGCACTTCAAAATTTCTGTTCACTTAGTTACTACAACTGTGATGAGACAAACACACTAATTATTAAGGTGGAAACTGATCAGTTTTAAAAGCAAACTCAACCTGGTAGGACAGATCTTTCACTGGCTCTTTGTTGACAGACAAAATGACGTCCCCCTCTCGCAGCAGGCCACTTTCTTGAGCCGGCTGACCGGGGAACAGGCGTTTGATGCGAACCACACTGCTTCGGTCAGCCCCTGAGCACAGCTGTGAGATGTAGAAGCTGAAGCCAAGACCTGACAAACTCTTCTTCAGAACCACTTCATGGATGTTTTCTAGCACAGAAAAAAAAAACAAATATTGGAGGATTAAATATGCGTCGTGTAATCTTCAATCTGTCTAATATGCAAGAGTCTTGTGGTATGCATTAATTTTATCTAGATCTTAAATGTTATACTCTTCGGAACTAATTTCAACCCCATACTTCTTAAGTCATTGTTTGATCAAGATAGAGAAGCTTTGTAGAGGTAAGGAAGCATCCTTTGAGCTGAGCTCAGCCAGCAAGCAGGCAGCTTCAAGGTCTCAGTGCGTTTTGTCTCGAGGGACTGAGGCAGCATCAGTCCTGGATGACTCTGACAGCTACCACAATGCATCTGTCAGATGAGTCACATTCACCTCTGGGCCCTGTGTGTGTGTCTGCATACCACTGTCTGCCTTTTCTGACTGTATGTGCCCCATCCTGTTTCCTCTCACCATTTGTTACAAAGCTGTAGTCCTTGGCTCGAGCACTCAAGGTCGTTTCCATGGAGACTTCCGGCCTGGGGTGCTGTGTGTACGATGAACTGTGGATCAAGGGGGGGCGGGGTGAGTCAGGTCTGGGCTCTAGGACTACTATGGGCTCCCTTTCCAGCAGCAGGTTGACCACCTTTGGGAAAAAAATAAAAATAAAAAAATCAATGGACACTCATAAATCTCCTTTATATATGTAAAGAGCATCCTAGCAGCCACAGAGAATAATGTGATGTATTGTGTTTTTGCTAGTACGTGTTCATAATTTGTACTGAAATGTGTAAAAGAGCGACACAGTGATGCAAGTACCATAGGTAAAATGGTAAAATTGCACAGTATGTACAAATACATTGTTAATTCCCTCCTCTTGTTTCCTTTCAGCTATTTTATATGATGTGGCGCAAGTAAAAAAAAAATAAAAAAAATTGCAACTTAAGAAAGAGTAAAAAAAAACATTGGTGGAAAAACAACAAGTATTAAATACAGTAGTACCTTGTTTATCGTGGGGGATCTGTACCCTGAAGCCCCGCAATAAGTGAAAAACCGCAAAGTAAGAATAGAAGTACAAGTACTAAGTAGTAGTTAATTATTATATTATAAGTATTTTATATTATCTCTTCTCTCTCTCTCTCTGACTATATAATATATATAAACAATGTTTCTATACTCTAAACGTTCTAAAAGAGCACAGAATGTCATGATTTCAGCTCCCTGCCTCTGCCACTCTCAGCCACCCGCAAGCGCTCTTGGCCACGCCCACTTCTACATTCTGCACAGAGAACAGCTGATCAGCTGCAGCAGGAAGTTTATCTTGCAGTATATCAGTGCTTCTCAATTATTTTCTGTTATGCCCCCCAGGAAGAAGTAAGCATTTTTCCTCCCCCCCCCCAACTCTCTGCCACGACTGTTAATAGTATAATTTGTCTTTAAAATTGTTATAAGTACACCTCTGCATAACATTGTGTCCTTATTAACATTAAAGAAAAGAAAAAAAAAAAGAATATAGCTCAACTTACAAGGAAGAATAACTTTATTAACATTGTTTCTTAGTCTGTAACAGAAACAACTTAAAGTGCATCGATTTGCCTGAAAAAAAAAATCATTTTTTAAACTGTAAACATTTTGGACCATTTGATATTGAAAAATAAAATTAAATATAATCAATAATGACATCCAGAGCGTATGGACATAAAAACAGCAGCGGAGGATGGAGGAGGTGACGGTCGGAACGGTCGGAGTTTATTTATCATGTCAGGAGCAGAGGGGAGAGACACGGTTCATGCATGGCTCCCAAAACGACAAGGCAGCCATATTTGTTTATAATGTTATTATTAGGAACGCACGTGACAGAATGAGATGGTGGGGAAAAAAACCTACTCACTGCGGCAAAAAAAGCATGTTTTCTAGGGTCACATGAGCCCCCCCTGGCATTGCCCCCAGCCCCCCCAGTGGGGCGTGCCCCACTATTTGAGAAGGACTGTAGTATATGTTGCACAAAGTTGCAGGAGGAAGCTTTTTCTGCAGCTCTGGGCTGCACAAAGTTGCAGCAGGTGCTAAATGATTTAAAATAATTTATTTTAAATAAAAATTCCATGCCGATCGTGCAGCTCATCCATCAATCTGCCAATTGTGTGTCAACGTCCAATCTTATTTAGAAAAACCGCGATGGAGCGAGTCCGCGAGTCCGCGATAAACAAACCGAAAAGTAGCGAGGGACTACTGTATTGCCAAAAATGGTTTACTTAAAAAACTTATTGTTAACACTTTTTTTTCCTTGAATGAACATAACAAATGAGCTCATCAATGCATTTAATAGTGTTTTTATGTATGTGTACGTGCATATATTTGTATGCGAGTTTGTGTGTACGCTTGTGTTTTTTTGCGTATACCTCCCCAGTCCTCTTCAGGCACTCTACAGCATGCTGGTGAGTCACTCCCCTCAGGTTGGAGCCATCAACCTCCAGCAGTCTGTCACCTGTCATACGCGCAAACACAAATCTCATCATAATTAGCAGCATCAACATGTAAATGGTTTGAGTGTGTGTTGGCTGATGGGCTTGTCAACAAATCTGAAAATCATTCCTGCTCACTGAAACATGAAGCATGCAGACACAGTGAAGCAGCACACAAAATAAGAATTTTAAAAATTCAGGCTCAAAGAAAACAAAACTTATTTTAATCACCAAAATATTTATTTTCTTTAATACTGTTAAGAATTAGTTTTACTGTTAATAATTTTAATCGACATATTGCATAGATTACCAATCTGAATGCGCCCGTCTTGTTCAGCAGCACCTCCAGGCACCAGACTCTTGATGTAAACGCCTCCATTCTGCACACTAGTGTTTGTCCCACCCTTACGGAAGAAACAGTCGCAAAGAGGCAAATAGTGAAAGTTATATGTGATGTCACTAAGGTTTTGTATCAATGTGGATTTGTCAACAACTTGACGTGCCACACCTTTTACTCAAAACTGTTGTAAAAAGCAAATAAATAGAAAATACAAGGTCAAAACTCTTCATTAAAAGTTAGGGTCACTCACAGCAACACTCATTCCAAGGCTACCACGGCTTTTCTTTAACTCCATACTAAAACGATCCCCTGTTTTAAGGCTGAATATGGATGGAGACTTTGGACAGACATCCTAAATAAATAAAGAAAGAAACAAAACAGTAGAAAAAACGCACGTTTTACTTCAAGGAGAGTGTGCAGTGAACATCTGCAAGTAAAGACGTAGAAGAAAAAAAACGTTAAAGCATTTGACGGAGGTCAGAACAAATATTGCTGTGAGTAAAACAATAATCATCCAGTACAAACTGAATGATTATATATAGAGGGTACAAGGACAGCTGTTTGTCATTTTACAACATCTATGTCTCTTAAAGCTTTTACAATTAAAATGCACATCATCATCATCATCTGCCTATAATACTGTACTGTCAATAGTCTGCCATTCTCAATGTTCCAATACATATTGAACATTATTATTGATATTGTTTATCTTATTTCTTATATATTGTATTGTTTATTAACATTTTAGGAACTTTTGTGTGAAATCTTTTTATCTTTTTATCTGTTGCTGCTGTTGCTGCTGATACACTGGAATTTCCCATCCGTGGGACAATAAAGGCTGTTTCTACTCTATTCTATTCTATTCTATTCTATTCTATTCTATTCTATTCTATTCTATTCTATTCTATTCTATTATATTCTATCCCAGCAGCTCACAAGAAATATGATTAAAAAAAAATACAGTGTTAAATTCCAATAATCAAGGTTTAATAATTAATAAAACATTGTTTTATTTTATTTTTATTTATTTTATAGGTAAAATTATTGGTAACTGGTTGTCATAAATGTTTTAAAGCCTTTAAAAAAATATGTAAACAGTATTTAAATAATATCATTTTATTATTGAAAAAAATTGAGAGGGAAAATTTTGTTGATACAGACTATTAAAATTCAGTATGAAGGTTGCACATAATTATTAAATCATAGCAAACTTTGAGTGAGAATTTATTGTAAATATCACGTCAATTCTTTTGACGCACATCTTTTATTCTCTTCTTTCACTTTTCTAAAAATACTACAGGCAAGAAGTTTTTAATTCAAAGAAAATGTGAGAAAAAACTTTATAAATAGTGGAAAAATTAACCCAACATTTACAAAATTACACAAGGTTCTTATTAATGCCAGAGGATGATACGCTTTATTCCGTCAATCAGAAATCCTAATTAGTTTAGGAATCGATACAGGTTGACCCCATGATGATTGATTAATTTGATCCTTAGTAACAAAGTCAGTTACCTCTGATTCAATGATTCTCAGCAAATCAATGGTTCCTACCTGAGCATCGTGTATTCTCACCACAGGAATGTGAAGCTTCCTGTTCTGCTTTGGGGTTGCCATGCTGGACAGTGTGATGGCCTCCTCCAGCTCCTCTATGAGGGGGCGGAACTCCGTGCCACTCAGGGTGGTCTGTGATCCAAAGCTCCGCTCCAGTGACAAACCAAGAGTACTTTGGCTTAAAGAACTCTGTCCTTCCTTCAGCAAATCTGGAAAGCAGTCATCACAAGCCATTATCTATTTGTTGCCAACGTACAAAGTAATGATCTAGCAGGGGGACATTTGTAGGACTAAGAACGCAAGTGTACAATGAAGCAACTCTTACGTTTAGGCTGGGACACAATGAGCTCCACCTCTTCAGGGCTGTTCTGTAAGATGGCAGCAGCATCACTGAATGTCACTCCTTCCAGACTAGTTTTGTTCAGAGAGATGAGACGTCCACCTGGAAAATCAACATGTCACCACTAAATCCTTTGTTGTTAGAACGTGGCCTCCATCTCTTGCTATGAAAATGTTTTAAGATGCATGCATAGAAACAGTGAGGCAGATGCTTCCAGCTTCCATGCTTCCATGCTTCCTACCTGGTTTGATTCTTCCATCTTTATCTGCAGGTCCATCAGGCACAATGGATGCAATGAAGATCCCAAGGTCGAGTTTTCCTGTATTGTCTTCTCCCACTATCACAAACCCTGCAACACAGTCAGACAGAATGTGAAGCTGAGTGTCTCCCAAATAAGATTAAAGTCCACTAAGAGGCATTCTAGCTTTTAATGTTACTTTAAATTTACACAGAGTGCATCGTAATGAACTCACCAAAACCCAGTTTGGAATCTTTCTTTAATGTTACACAAACTATTTCTCTCTCTGGTGGAGTCCGTGTTGGTGTATCAACTGAAGAAATCATAACAATAACAAAAACAACAACAACAATAATAATATTAATAATAATAATAATAAGAAGAAGAAGAAAAAGAACAAGAGGAACAAGAACAACAAGAACAATAACAACAAGGAAGAAAGAAAGAAAAAAGGACAACGACGACAATGATGACAACAACAACAAGAACAAAAGAACAAGAAGAAGGAAAGATAAGCCACTCTACAAAATACTCTCAATAACTCATTACATGTAATTGCTTATAAAATGGTGGATTCAAACTAAACCACTTGACTCAGCGGTCATTTGCCCTGTGATTAGTCAGATTTCTGCATGAATGACTTAATGGTCACCTTTTAAGGATGATGAGGCATCAGAGTCCTGTTTCTGTAGTGAGGAGACACTGGACATCCTTCTGGGAATAGTCTCAGGAGTGCTATAACACATTTTCACAGTTACATTAGATTACATCTCAGTGTTTCTAAAGAATATGAACCTTATCATCATCATCATCATCGTTTAGGCGCTACCTCCAACACTGTCGCTCCTTCACATCCCTGAGGTCTCTTGTTTCAGGCAACTCCTTGTTCATCTCTCTGCTCATCTCCCTCCTCATCTCTCTCTGCTGGCGAAGTCGAGCTTCCAGCTTGGCAGTAAGGTCATCACAAGACTTGGAGAGGGAGTCGGGTTGACCAGGTGTCAAACCTACATGGTTCAACATGCCCTCTGAGCAAGAAATACGCTTTAGGCTCATGCTACGAGCCCTGTAGGCAGAGATGCTTTCATCTGAAGAAACAAAGAGATATTGTGTTACTGTTTATGTCCTTCTTTATTACATCATCAATGGCAGACCAAGTTTTCTCACCGGGTATCATGGTGTGGTTGAGCTGTCGTGACGTCATCTCGCTGTGAAACTTGTGCTGAGCTGAGCAGAGGTTCAGGAGGTACTGTGCTATTTTTGAGCTTTCGGTCACAAAGCTGTGCTTTCTCCCGCTAGGCCCACCACACTCTATAATCAGTTTACGTCGCTGAAAGACAGACAGAAAGTAATAAGCACTTACTCTGATCTTCAGTAGTAAATAAACTAATAAAAAACACATTTTCCAAAATGTTGGGATCCTGATGAAAATCTAAAAAAACTGAAGCCAAAAGTACAGATTATTAACTAAAAAAAGAACAAAGTCTCATCCAAGCTGAAAGAAGAGGGACCATCTGTTCTTTGTTGAAATCAGGTCTTCCTTGGAAATGAGTCCTCGAGGCTCAATGGGATTTACCCGTCTAAATAAAGGTTGAATGCATAAAAAATACCAGCCTCCATCATGGTATAGGTCAGGGGTTCCCAAATTTTTCCATGCCATGGCCCCACAAACAGCATTAGCTTCTGGCCAAGCCCCCCACCCCCTCGCAAACCCACAAACAATAGAACAAAATATGTAAAGAAACATCAACTTTTAGAATTTTTTTACTTTTATTCACTATCCTGATGCATGCTCAATAATCCAGGCAGAAAAATCTAAAAAAGTTAAGTCAGGTCCTCTGGACATTCAAAAAACAAAACAAAGCAAAACAAAAAAATGTAGAAACGTTTCATCTTTCATCCAAAAGACTTCTTCAGTCTTTCAGATATCTCTCATCAGACTGAAAAAGTTTTCCAATGAAAGACGAAATGTTTCTAGATTTTTTTGTTTTGCTTTGTTTTGTTTTTTGAATGTCCAGAGGACCAGACTTAACTTTTTTAGATTTTATTCACTATATTCAATTAATTTTTACAGCTGCTGAGCATAAAAATGTTATTAACTAACCTGTTTTAAACACTGTATTATATTCCCACTGAAAAAAACAAACTGTTGACCAGAAGAACAAAACAAACAAAAAAAATCTAACCTCGCTCTCAATCGTGTTTATATGGAAATGACAGATACAGATTGCCCTAGTGCACAATTTTTATTATTATTATTAATATTTTTAAGCTTGGCAGCACTCAAGACTGAATTATGTGGAGCTGCATCAGAGAGCTGGATCAGGCTGTTATCAGGACTGTGAACTTTCTGGCAGCACCCATGAATGGTTGGGAATAATCTTGGAGAAAGCTGTAAGCTCGGCCCCCACTTTGAAAAACAATGTACATTTGTGAAGGCATCGCACTGTTCATGCTAATCTATAGTATACAGTATATACTCTGATTTTAGAGTGATGCGTCTTTTTTTATTACTGTTATGGTATATATAATTTTAGTAAAATAAATTAGAACCACATGTTGGAAGTTTATCAGCATAAGTCCACCTGTTTAGAGCATTAAAAAAAAAAAAAAAAAACCTAACAAACTGCAAAAGACACCTTGAACAGATGAGAAGCGGACACAAGTAAAAATAATGCATATGGTCTCCTCAGTAAATAAACACAACCCTGTAAATGATTTGCAAATCGTTACATTTTAATATTTCTTTTAACATATTACACAGTGGCAAATAATACGAAGAGAATTTTTTTATTTTTTTTACCCCAGTGGATATGGAATCTGTTTCCCTCCATAGGAAGCGCCTGGTGACAGTTCGCAGGTGGTTCTTTGTCTCGTATACGATGATCCCTTTGGCACAGACTCCCAACACTAATTCTCCAATCAGCGGTCTTTTCTCTCTTCCCACACGGTAAAACATCACCCCGTACTCTGGTAACTGCTGGACAATCTGAAGGACACACATTTTTACAATTAAATGTGAAGAAAATTGCATTATATTTGTTTCAACTCCTACACAACATTCAGCTGTATGTAAATGGACTAAATAGACTGTACTTAAAGCCCCTTTCTATCTTATCAACATACTCAAAGTGCTTTACACTACAGTCTGCACCCTAATTTACCCATTCATACAGCACTCTACTATATCTTTGTGTGTGTGTGTTATCAACTATCATTAAAAAGAAACTGAAAATGCAAGACAAACTTCACACTATTGTAGGATTTCAGCATTTTTCAAGATGAAGCTTAATGTAAAAAAACAAGATATAAATATTGGGATGCAATATATTTTGTGTGAAAGTTTTATTACCTTTAGGAACTCAGTTTCTGCCTCTTCTGGCAGTAAATGTGCATGGCTTGCATGCAGTCTTGGCAACTCCTCCCTGATATTGGGAAGGGCAAGTTTCTCCAGCATCCTCTTTGACACATAATGTTCCGGCTGATAATAGTCCTTACCGTACAACTAGACAAACAAAGCACAATCAAGCATGGCCCCTCCGATACATGATGGTGATTTAAAATATAAAATGTGAACATCTTTTTGTGTACCTCTGGCATGTAATCACCAAACTCAGCCTGCAGAGCAAGAGCAGCCAAGAACAATCCTGTTTCCTCATTACAGTAAAGCCTGTCTTCGATGATGTCCTTACGAAGCTGTAAGTAATACTGGTGTCGAGTCAGTCTGTGTCTACAAAACATGAAAATAGATAAATAAGTCAGCACAAAAGCAACAGTTTGTTGAGTGCTCTATATACAAAAATGGAGTTTACTACACAGAGTTCTAGAAAACCAGCAAACCAAAGTTGCACTTACAGAACAAAAGTGATATCATCAACAAAAAATTTGACCCGAAGATACACCAAAAAAGAGGATATCTGCCCTTTTTTCCAACTGTCCGGAGCAACTTTGGAGATTTTGGTTTCGTGATCCAAAAAAAAGTATTCATCATCTGCAAAAATGTGATGGAAAAATAGATATTCAAAATCCTTTTTTTTTTTTAAATTAACATGATCATCAGATAACAATGCAAACAAATGTTGATATGAAATGTTAATTTAAACAGTGGTGAAGTCAAAACAGATTAAATCCCACACAGCAAGTCCTCTTACCATCTAAGAAGGAAAGACCAAAGTAAAAGTGCTCCACCAAGTTTGCGTGAGCCACCACCATGTCAAACACATCTCTTGCCCTGGATTTAATGTCACAGCGAACAACCACGTACTGTCCGTTAGCCATCACTACAGTCACTTCTCTCTGAGACAAACTGGAATGGCCCTTTCTGGACTGTGGTGTGCAAACACAGAGATATGCATGCACATAAAACAACAACAGACAACGTGCATTAACACAAACAGATAGTTCCAACATGCAAGAAATACACATATATATTACAGTGGAAAAAAACAGGCAAGTACATTGATTGGGAGCAGATAGACAAAAAAAAAAGTAAATGACTTGAAATCAATATTTTACCACAATAGATCCAGGAAGCTCAAGTAGAATTTGCTGCTCATCTGGTATTCTGATGAACTCAGGACCCAACAACTGGAAAAAAATGACATTTGTTGTCAAAATTCTTTATGCAACTGAACATTTATTCTGTTTTCCTGTTGCTCTACTACTGTTAGTATGTCCCTCATTTGTATTAAAAACATCACCTCAATTTCATAGCTGCATAGAGTTTTTTAATCCTCCAAACACAACTCCAAATGAAAAACTTGGCACTCCACATTGAATGCATTTAATGTTGTGTTGAAAAATGACTAACTTACAGCACCTTGAAGTAGCATTTTGTTAAATGGACTGTACTTATACAGCACATTTTTATCTAATCAAGATACTCAAAGTGCTTTACACTACAATCTCATTTACCTCCACACACACACACACACACACACACACTCATACAGCACATCTCTACAACGCTAATCTAAATCTGTAGAGACTAATCGGTATTTTAGGTCACATCCATACACCGACGGGACACACATTGGAGGCAATGACGAGTTCAGTGTCTTGCCCAGGGACACTTCAGCATGTGACTGCTGGTGGATTTGAACCCCCCACTCTCCCATTGGAGGACGACTGCTCTAACCACTCAGCCACAGCTGTCCCATTATGCACAATCTTACTTAAAATTGTGAGATCTCATGCTCAAAGGATATGTTGAGATCACTCTCTGCTACGACAACATCAATTTTTTTTTCGTATGTAAAATTGAATGAGTTATACTCATTTGTGCATTGTCTGGGGTCAATTAGCCATGGTTGGCATTTTCAACTGGACTGACCCGAAAACTTGTAGATACACATCCACTGATTTATTTCACAAATGGGCAAAAAACATCTGGGTCACTGAGCACACGTTATGAAGCTCCTGGTCTTACCTTAGCTTTTCTCTGGCTCAGGCTGAGCGAGGACTCGCTAAAGGTGATGGACGGACTGTGAGATCTGCCTGATGTCTTGGGAGATAAGTCATGGTGGGGGCTCCTACCAAGCCAGCTGCAGTTGCTGTCCCTGCGATGCATCCTGCGAGGGAGTCTGATGGGAGAGAGGCGCAAAAACAATGGACAATCTGAGCTGCTCACGAGTGGGGAAAGTCAAACAATGTCATTTCCTTCCCAAGTCATTGACGCTGATAGGGGAAGGAAAATGAGGAGCACATAAATTTATTTATGTGACTTTGTGCTGGAAGTACATGCCTCTCTAATGAAGATTGGTACAGCAGTGTGGGGGAGCTTCGTGGTCTTTGTCTCCAAGGTCTTTGAGGTAAACTCCCTATACCAAAGAAATAGTGTATTACTTCAAAACACAGCTGTTATAGCTGAAAAATTCTGCTTGTATTTCAACAGTTATTAAAAATAGATAAACTTTCAGGTTTCTTGTAACGTTCCTGTTTGTCCTGTGCGTACCTGATTTTGAATCAGAGTCCGTTGAGTACCGTCTCCCCTCAGCACTCCCTTCACTGAAGTCTGACAATGGTCCTCTTTTTCCTGTCAGCCAGGTGAAATATGACAGGAAGGAGTTTCATTTCCGTTAGTCTCTGTGCTCCTCTAAGACTCTGAGATGTTTGAACAGTTTTAGCCTGGAGCATCCTCTACTCTTTGTATCTGATTATTGGCTCGCACCACAGTCTAATCCTGTGCTTGCTTCAGGTTAAGATTTTAATCCGGTTGACCGGCAAAGTGTCTTGAGTCAAAATAAAGATGACGGAAACTTCCATCTGTAAATATGTAGCTGATAATTTCCTAAATTAGTTTGTGAGAATACGGAGAAAACTTACAAGTGAATTTACAAATATTTGAGTTTTAGTGTATTTGTCAAACAGGGTTGATTTTATTTAATTGCTCTCTCACTGTTCATTTTGCTGGCAGACAGTGTGTGAAAATCTTAGAATTTTATCATTTATATTGATTTTAAACTTGGTAACTTTATTCTAACATAAAACCCTGTTCAGACTTGGTATTACAACTTGTTTTTAGCTATCAGATTGCATCTGGATAGCACTGAATACACGTGAATAATCTAAATATGCATAAAAAATGTTTTCACTCAAACCACCTAAAACAAACTGTGACCCATGGGCTCTGAACCATATTAATGTCAAATAATATAGTTCAAATGTACCTTGTATATGAATTTTTACAGAAAGCTTGTCAGAGCTGCAGATGTTGTCTGTTTGATGTGGCTGAGTGTGCACCTACATACAGAGCCAGTCCATTGATCCAAAACATTTTGGGATACACGTTTAAGTGTCAAGTATGCATGCTCTCAACCAAAGCTGACCACTTACAGCTGAACCAATCAAGATGTATATATAATGCCAGGTATGAACAGGGCCTACAGATCTGCTGTCAAAATCTTGCATTTTAAGGATTTGATCATTTGAACTCAGACTTTTATTTTCCTCATTTGATCATTTGGATTTGATCTGAATATACAGAAGCAGATAGTTTGTGAGAAATTTCCCAAATCTGAATGTTAAAATAGAAAGCAACTAAACTTCTTCTTTAGTTTGTCTTTTTTTTTTTTTTTTTTTTTCCAAGAAACAATATATTCTATTTAACCACTTTGGATTGTCATGACTTAGAATTCACTCCAAAGTATTTTATGCTCACTATGAAGTCTTTCCCTGATCATCTGGCTCCTGCCACTCAGAGGGATGTTGCTGTCCGGCAGAGGACTATGGTCCATCTGAAAAAGAGAGAACGAGGGGGAGAAAAAACCTGAGGTCCACAACTATTCTAATTTGACTAGATTTGATCATAATGTAGATGCGACTCAACTTAATTTCTGACACATACTGTATAACATGGGCTGCAGAGAAGCTCTAATGCCAACAGGGAGGAACATGCTGTCGGTAGATATCTACGACTCACTGATTCATGAAAAACCTCCTCCACAAGTTGTTTAATGACTTTGGCGGGGGGTGTCAGGATGGAGGCTTTGTGCTGGGATTCACAGGCTTCCAGGATGGAGATGAGATTTAGCCTGCGGTGGGCCAAATCCTCACACATGCTGAGGAGGAGGCTGTTCAGATGGTCACTCAACTGGACTGGCTGGCAAGGATAGAGAAAAATACAAGTGAATGGCTGAGATGGTGATGTGGAACAGGGGCTTGGGTACTAAAACATGGTTAAGCATCTAGTTTCAGAGGCTCTCACCTGATTTGGAGGTAAGTGAAAATCAACTGCCCAGTAGAGGGTCATCCCCAGTGAATACACCAGCATCTGTAGGATAAATTGGTTGAGAATAAACTGGCATCGAATAAAACACAGAGGGTAAATTCTGAAAGAAAAAAAAACCTTTAAAAAACATATTTTTAAACAACTGTTTGCCAAACACACATCACATTGTATTTAAGTTATTTGATGCAGTTATAGCTATAATGGATTTGTGAAAGATCAAGTTAGATTTAATTTATTTCAGTTTAATTATATAGCTCCAAGTCACAACAGAAGTCATTTCAGGCACTGAACAGAAACATTCGTGTATACAACAAAATAAGTTAACACTATTTATCTAAAGAGCAGACTGCTTTGAGTTTAACTCCATCACAGAACTATCATCTTGAGCAAGCACGAAGGCGACAGTGGAAAGGAAAAACGCTCTCATGAGGATGAAACCTTAACCAGGCTCAGGATATGCGGCCATCTGCTTCGACTGGCTGGGTTTGAGAGGTCTCCAAATTCCCAACAAAAAATAGGTTGAATGAATTATTATTCATAGTTGGGACAATTACAGCTGCCTCCCTCTCTGTGTGAACCAAATAAACAAACACTAACAGCGCTGTATTTAAGTATAACATATTGTCCTTTTTCTGGCTCCAGTCATTTTAATTATATGCAAACATCCGAGAAGTTATTTATAGTTCTATAGTTTTGTGAGTTCATCATTTTGTTGCATGCAGACCTGACATTTTTAGGATATTAGTTGAAAATGCATGTGAAAATGCTGTTTGCATAAAAACAGAATAACACATAAATCTTTTTTTTAAGCTTCCCTAAGTTTACCAAATGTTTTACACTTTGCTTCTTAGATGAAGAAAAGATTTATTTCAGGTGCTGCAGTCTGAGTTTAGTATCATGAGATTTTAAGTTACTCACTAAAAAAAACAACAGCTTACGAACTTTAACCAACCGGTTATTGATCAGTATGTCCAGAAAATGTAAACAGAAAAGCAGAAAAGTTAGTTACAATTTTTAATTGGGATGCACGATATTATCGGCATGGTATCGGTATCAGCTGATATTAGAGATAAAGTTAAATATCGGACATCGGCCATTCCAGCAAAATAACTCACCAATATAAAAAGGTGCTGCTTTTTTTTTAAATATATTGTACATTTATATAGTGCTACATCATTTTCAGCCCCCTTTTTGGTAGCAGGCCAAATTGACAAAGACCATGCAGAATATTGTAGTATTTTAATTCCACAGCAGAGAAAGCTATGTAGTCTCTGTAAGTAGGTCTAGGAAAAAAATAAAAACTAAATAAATCAGTATTGGTATCGGTTATCGGACAAATAAGTTTGAACATATATGCATATCAGATATTGGCCAAAAATTCAATATAGTGCATTCCTAATTTTTAGTGACCTATGTTTTCCACTTATCAACATGGTATGTGTGTTGATATATATAGATTCACAGATATTTAATCAGAAAGCCCAATTTATGATTAAAAAAATAAAGGTCTCCAAAATCATGATGTTCTGTAAACAAAATGTTAAGACTTTTTAACTACACGAGCAAACTTGCAAATTTAATTTAATCTTTATTGTTTTGAGTCTGTATTACAATCTTTCATTATAATACAGTACTACTTGCTGTTATGCTCTATTTGACCTAGACCTAGTTTTACCAGAATTCATATCTTGTTTTATTGACATTCTGAATTTTCTATATTCGTGGTTGTTTTCAATATTATTGTGGTTGCTTTGCTGTTTTTAATTATTTTTTTATGCTACTTTGAGTAAATGTAAGGAAACATTATTTAAACCTTATCATAAATTTGACATATTATAATTTATTTGAATTGCATCTGTAATGTTTATAATTTTAAACCTTATTTTTCAAAACTACGGCTGTAGCCACTAGATGGTGTGTTTACACTTTGGTTGACCTTCAGTTCTTGTTCTGAGATTTTGCACTCAAATGAAAAAAATACATCAGTTTATGACAGCACTGTAATCAATCCAGCTCTCTGTGTGGAAGGTTTCTGATAAAAAAGAAGCCAAATGACCTAAAATGTTGCTACCAGAAGCTTGCCATTATCATTCACGTGCATTTGATGTATTAGGACCCGTGCACTGACCTTATCTGTGGCAGGTTTTGTTGAGCCGGCACGGTCCTGCAGCATCTCTGGAGCAGCAAAGGCAGATACCTCATCTGATAGGCCACAGTTCTTAAATGCTAAGGTACCAGTGGCTGACAGCAGCAAGGAGGTGGGGCTTATGATATTGCACATATTGTTGTGACCTGAAAACCGACAAACGCATAAAACATTATGTATTCAATGATGTTAATGTTCCACAGTAAAGATTCTCCAAATGAGACTAAAATATGGCAAGCGAAATCAAAAACATGTAGTTGACACAGCGTTACGACTGTGTGTGAGTCAGCAATGATGGGGGCCATCAGGAAGGCTTTACCCTTATAAGAGACATCCATTAAACACTCTGCAGCTCCCAACAGCAGGGACCAGACCTCTTCCTCCAGAAGAGGTCCCCCTCGAGCCTCCAGGACTTCAGCTAATGTGACAAAGGTGCTGCTCATTCTGCCCACATTCCACACACACACCTGGAAAAGCACACACAAAAAAAACCACAAAGGCACAAATCAACACATAAGATCTTCAAGATGGGGATTCTTTTGTGCAAATTAGAAATGTGCAAAAGCCCTCAATTGAATTTAAGAACATAGATAAGCACTCTGAAAACGTATTGGAGCGATGAGTATATTTAAGCTGCAAAAAATAGTTATTTAACTCAATCTGATGCAGTATAAATAAAACTTTGTGAATGCAAACAGATCATTTCTTTTATAACGGCAAGAGTCTGAGGTTAGGGGTTTGCATAAATGATGTACAAGTGACCACAACACTGAAGTTTGGACATAAAAATGAGAATGAAAATAACATAAAAAGCAAGCATGCAGTAATTAAATTTACTAAATTATGTCAAACTATAACTTATTTGCGAAATCCAACTATCATGCTGATTTCACCAGAGGAGATGAGTGTTTTTTGTGTCGATTTGAATCATCAGACATATATAATAGGCTTTCTCCTTCTCCTTTCGGCCCCAAATAATCCCTCTCCTGAACTAACCTCATCCAAGCTTTACAAGATTACACGTAAGGAAAACTAAAGCAAATATAGACATCACCAATCAAATCGCAATATTTCCATCATTATTTAAGGATAGTCATGAAGCGAAATGTAAAATCTTGCCTATAACACTGTTTTGTTATGACGTGTAGGTAATCGATGAAGAAAGTAGGAAGCACGCCAGATGCTCCCATGCAACCACCCACCCACCCAGTCCTGAACTTCAGCAGCTGTGCTTCCTCATAAACTGGTCTGTTTACAAAAATGAAAAAAAAAAAAAAGCCATGAATTTTAAAGATGCAAAGCAGTTCATCTCATATGCAACGTGTGTAAAAAGAAGTGTAAAGATGCTGTCGTCTATAAAACTCTGGATGTTATGATCAAGCCTGATCTATATTTTCTCTCCATGTCTGATAAAGGAGCACAACAAAACCACTCCAGTTCAAACCTATTTAATGTAATAACCTGGTGCCATGGATGTGATAGGATGAAGAAACTGCAAAAACCTTTTTCTCTTTGATTTGTTAGGTCTATTAGTTCACCATGTTTGGAACATGCCATAATTTGAACAATCTTTAATCTAATGATGCAGAGACAGACAGACAGGATGTATTCTGGGTAAATTAGGACAACATGCCTCCTATATAGGTCTCATACTTCTTTCTGACAAGGTGATGATGCAAAATGCTACAACAGTTTATGTAAGCATCCTCAAGCATTTTTCTTCACCTGCACGTGCTTTATTGTTCAGATCTGCTGTGCTGTTTTTTTTTTTTTTTTATTTGTTTGCAGTCCTGTGGAAACTGAGTCTAGGCCTATTGTATTTCTTCTCAAATCTCCAGTTAATCACCAGAACACAGTCTAAAAATACACATCCGGTGAGCAAATGTGAGCAAAACAGTGCGTCGATGGTACAGAGGAGTGTAAGGAAATTTACCTGGCAGCATATGTAACCCGTGTTATGGGTCCGGTTCTGTTCAGGGCTCCCAGCACGGATCCAAAGTAATCTCTGTGATCATCGCAGTGCTGCTGTGATGTCCTCGCAGTGAACGCTCGCTCCCGGCAGGTGATCCATCAACGACATGAAGTGAACATGGTGCCCCGGTCATTTGCACAACAATCTGAAGACGTGAAACTTTTTCTCTCGCTCCCTTCTTCTTCTTCTTCTTTTTTTTTTTTTTTTTATGGGGGGGGTTTACAGTGAATCGACGCTATTCTTAGCTTCTCGCCTTTAAACACTTGATTGGATTAACATGGAGGTTTGACAGCGACAGGTCAGAGCCACCAATAGCGCGTGGCGTGAGATCAGCTGCACCCGATTTAACTAAATCCGTGTGACGCCCAAAGGTGCGGTGGATCCGCGGGTTAGGTGCTGCTACGGAGAAACCTGGGAAGGACAAACGATCCTCCTCCTCCTCCTCCTGCTGCTGCTGCTGCTGAAGGGCTGCTCCCCGAACGATGATCATCACACTGCGGGCTCTCTTGGAACAGGGGGTAAGAAGCTGGAGTGTCTGTGTGTTGCGGCGGAAGTCGGTGCTGGGACGTTTGTCCACGTTTGTCTCAGCTGCTTCCTGCAACGGTGTCTGCAGGGTTGGACAAAAGAAAACATCCAGCGTTGTGAGGATGCTTGCAGGGGGAACTGGCTCTGCTCAGAATGTCCTCCTTATTGGCACCGTTTTGGAGTCACATGCGCAGAGCATGGCACGGCGCGCGCAGTTGTAGCGTATAGAGCCGACGCATGAGCTGTAGATGGTGCCATCACGTTATCTAAGCTCCTGCAGACTCCTGCAGACATGATCCAGGTGTTCTGGGACCAAAACAGCAAGAACGTGACAGATAGGGCCCTGATTATGAAAACTGCAGTTAAATGACTGACAACAACTGTGCTTTTGTTTTGATTTTTTTTTTTTTTTTTTTTTTTTTTTTGTAGCTCACAAGCATTTTGGCAAAAGCTTGCTGTTCCTGTTTGAAATTATGATCCTAATGAGCCACCTACTTTCTTGGAATGTTTTCAAGGCTGCAAAAGTATCTATAGCAACAAAAATAAATGAATGAAGTAACAAACAAAATGTGCACAGTACTTTTCTCATATAGTGTCCATAAAAGAACAGAAATGTAAGTAATATTTGTGACCAGCTGAATGATAGAAATATGGTCAAATGGTAAATTTGCTGTTTTTGAACGTTTTGCAGTCGTTACGGCACTCCACTGCGTGATCCACATTATTTACTCTTGACCGTTGTCTCATTCACACAGATTCACTCTTCCCCCCCGAACGCCTTTTTCCAGATTCTATACTCTTGTCCAGTTAAGCCATGTTTCTTTAATCGGGGAAAGGAGAACATGGTGGTGGAGTTTTTCCTTTCCACTGTCGCCTTCATGCTTGCTCAAGATGAGAGTTCTGTGGTGGAGTTAAACTCAAAGCAGTCTGCTCCTCAGATAAATAATGTTAAAATATTATTTTTAAACATGCATGTTTCTGCTAACTTATTTTTATATATGAATATTTCTGTTCAGTACCCTGAGACGACTTCTCTTGTGACTTGGCACTATATAAATAAACTGAGTTGAAATGAATTGAATTGAATTGACTTGATATTGGAGAGGAGGAAACAGCAAATGTATAGGGGTGGCCACAGACCCCAAAGCCCCCTACAGGCTCCACCTTGGTGGCGCCCCTGATGAAAAGTACTAGTTTTTTGCCTACATTTTTAGGCATTTTGTTATTATATGTAAATTGCACAGTCCAAATAATTTTTTCAAAAGACATTTTCGAAAGCCTGAAACTATGAATTAAGATAAACATAAAGTATATCTTTTTGAAAGTAAAATTTAAAGAATATTTTTGGTTTAAGTCTTTTTTACAGTGCTCTGTAATCAACATGCCTTCATAAGATTAAACAAACTTTCATAAAGACAGATAGGTGGTGTTGTGAAAGAAAGAGAAATAAAAGTATTCAGCTTCTTTGTGGATAGTCATACATCCTCAGGTGACACTTTTTTCAATGACTTATTATTTTATCCAGTAAAAAAGCTTTTGATCTGAGTGTTCAGTGATCCATCCCTTCTCACTCTTATTCCATCACTATTTTGATCAGAATGATGAAAAAACAAAAAAAAAAATCAGCAGCTTCTTCTCATCAAAAAAAAAAAAAAACGGAGATCAAATAATAATTAAGCCATAAACTTTAACGCATGCGCACAAGAAGGAAAAAAATAACAGCCAATTCAACAATTACCAAACGGAAGTGGATCAAAACGTTTTTTTTTTTTTTTTTTTTTTTGGACATTAGGCGGAAGGAAGGGAAGGAGGATGGAGGCGGTGGGTGTGTCCGTCTGGCACGCATGCCCCGTGCGCACTGCGCGTCCTGGCCTGTCAGTAGCAGCCAGCAGAAGACGTAGGCAATGAGTTTGGTGAGGTCACGTATTTTTAAGCCGCACATCGGGATAAATCATCCTTCAGGGGCAGCATAAACAAACAAGCAGCCGCTCCGGGACGTTTCCCCGCCGCCATCCGGACCGTTGAGCGCCTCTTGGTCGGATGAGAGGTAAGATGATGGGGGGGGATTTGCACCTTCTAGCTCCTCAGACGCGCTCATTGTTTGGCCGTGGGGGAGGGTAGTGTAAATCGCTGCGTGCACGCCGCTTCACTAAACTAGCGTTCCCCTAAAATACAGATTATGAGCATGCATCAGGATACAGATGATATAGTTTCACAGCAGAGACAGACCGCGCCTGTCAAATCCCGATCCTGGCGCCATGATCGCAGGAATAATGTCCTCTCTTGTGCAGTCAGTGTGAGTCCGGCCGACCGGCTGGTTTATTTTAATCAGGCTACATCAGATCAGTTCAGCCTGCATGGCTGATTTCTGCTGCATTCGGTCATTTCTACCTGCAGCCGCCTCCATCTGGACGACTGGAGAGGTCATGTGGCCAAAGTGATGCAGGAGAGACGGATAATGATGATGGCTGCTGGAGTATCTGCGTCTTGTCCTCTATCTGTCAGCTGCCATTTCTGCTCAGGATGCATCGCAGTTGGACTCTGTTTATAACCAGGAAACGTTGTGACAAGTGTTTGAACTATTGATGAAAATGCCTGCTGGAGATTTGCATTTCATAAACTGATGCATGGAATGCTGTTTTCCTGGTTAATGTTGCTTTTAATGCTGCTTTGTTGATGCATATAGAGGCGTTCTCTGATCTGAAATGCTAGGATGCTCCAGTCATGAGCATCTTTTGTGAGACTACTATTGCTAAGACCTAAATTGGCCTTTTAATGTCTTCATGCATTTGGGAAGCCATTAAATAAATTCTAATTTTTAACCAGACAATAGCCAAAATATTCAAGGATTCAAGGTTGTCTTTATTTGTCGTACACAGCACGTGGTACATGTGGTGGAACAACATTGTGTACACAGGGTCCCAGTTGCGTCCAACAAAAGTATAAAAATGTAAAAGAAAAACAATAATAAGATCTAAGATATGAACCAAGAAAAATGTAAACTAAAAATGCACTAAGCACTTGTAGCAAAATGAACAATACGCCGAACAGCAGCATTTCTGCTTTGATAATCTTAAATATTTTCACTAATGTGGCGGGCGTTCCTCAAGTTCTGCAACTGACCTTAAAATGCAATCTAAAAGTAAACAAGATAAGATACTTCTATTTTTTTTTAGCTGTACATGCACAGTGGAACCGTGTATGGAATGCTCTAACCACATAAAATAAGAATTTAAAGTCAAAAGATAAAAGAATAGCTTATAGAAGCATATTCTAAAGTGGTTTGAATTTATAAATGTATAAATAATTTCAGGGGGATTTGTTGATGCAGCAAACAGTCGTATGCATTGATACAAGTTAGATCATGACAGGCACATTCTAAGTGAGAAATAAACACAATTATGTGTATTACACAGTAACTATACTTTTGTCGTCTGGTGTGCATTATAAAAAAAAAGAAAAAAAAGAAGCAGCATTTCTATTTTCATTCTTTGAAGGAGGTGGATGTTATGGACGTCGTCGTGACGTCGGCGGAACAGAAGGAGAGCTGACTCACTTCATTCTGGCGATTATATCCCTCATATGGAGTCTGTGTCCGGAGCGTGGACGAATAGGAAGGATTGTCGTTCTGTTCGTGTTAAAAACCAACAAAAAGAAGGCTTTAGTTTTAATTTAAAGATGAAACCGTTGTTGAATCTCCCTTCACAGTAACGCGTTAGTTAAAACGTGTTTGTAGCACCTATATAGAGGGAGTTCTGGGCTTGGATCCAAACTCTGAGGAGTTATCACGGAGATTGGTTTTCCAGAGCGGCAGACTCTCTCCTGGAGTTGTGTTTCAGATGATGGTGTGTAGACATACAATTCGCCTGCTGTTCTGCCATCACGAAGGATGACATTTAATCTGCGCCGATGGGTGTTTGCAGAGTTGCTGAATTGGGAAACTGCAGCGCACACGTGTGAAATGCAGCAGTGTTTTTATTTTTTCCACTTCATCTTTTTTTCTCGAGCCCAACCATTTTCATCACAGCTGCACTCTAGCAACTATATCTAATCTGACACTCGATTATTTATTTCATTTTGTTGACAGAGGACATTTTTGGATGCACAGAAAGTAGTAATTGAAGAATTAGTCATGAACAGAAACAAGAGAGACAGAGACTTCTACAGTCTCGATGTTGGGGATTCAACATTCACAGTGCTCAAGCGATACCAGAATCTAAGACCAATTGGATCCGGAGCGCAAGGAATCGTCTGGTGAGTGTTTTCTACATTTTCTCCAGCCTCATCCATATTCAGCGAACAGCTACAGGGTGAAATATGGGTCACGTTTTTCCTGCATGTCACTCCTGAGTGATAAAACTGAAACGAATCTCCACATCACCTGTAAACACGTTGTGCCTTTCTGACCACACGTAAAACTGTTGGAGAATGAAATCACATTTGTTTCAAACTAATTTGCTTTGCTCCTTAGCTCTGCTTATGATCAAACCCTTGAACGAAATGTTGCCATCAAGAAGCTGAGTCGACCGTTTCAGAATCAGACCCATGCCAAGAGGGCGTACAGAGAGCTAGTCCTAATGAAATGTGTCAATCACAAAAATGTAAGTGGTCACCTATTTTCAGATTCATTACATTTCACAATGTAATGCATATGCTATTTTAGAAATGAAAAATGTTAACTGTGTGCTAAAATTTGTGTTTGGATGTATTATAAAAACATATATATTTTTTATATCAACAGATAATTGGTCTATTAAATGTATTTACTCCGCAAAAATCATTAGAAGAGTTCCAAGATGTGTAAGTACATACACATATTTTGAGCTCTAAATTAAATTAGACTCCTTATGTGTTGCCAAAAACAACGCCCCACCCTCATCCAGAACCCTGAACTGTCTCTGTTCTGTCAGCTACTTGGTTATGGAGCTGATGGATGCCAACCTGTGCCAGGTCATTCAAATGGAGCTGGACCACGAGAGGCTGTCCTATCTGCTCTATCAGATGTTGTGTGGTATCAAACACCTGCACTCTGCTGGGATCATCCACAGGGTAAGCAGCAGCTGGCCTCCGTCACGCACTCCCGTGCCAGGCTCATATCCTAAGGTGTGAAGTCCTGAACTGTTAAACCTGATGCGACGCGTGACATTGAAGTGTGAGGGCAAACAGTCAAGAGGGACGATGTTAACAAACAAACTCATCAGAAAACATTATTTGAGATTTTATCTATTGGATTTTAAAAAATTGGGGGGGGGGGGGGGGGGGGGACATGGATAAAATCAAACCATATGCGTTGTTTAAAACCTGAACTTGGTGCAAGCTTTCAGTAAATTGCCCTTGAATAAATACTGTTTGTTGCAGCTTTTACAAAGCTGACATCAGCTGATGCAGACTGCTAACCTCCAAACTGACTGTGGCAGGTGAATGTATCATTTCCCAACATGGATCAGTAACCAGAAGGGAACTTAGAGAGCTCACCCTTAACCAATGCCGATGCCCATTTCTCACAGTTTGAAAGGAAGTGATCTATATCCACCATTAATAACAATGCCTTTCTCGCTTACCTATCGTATTTTTTGGCCTATAAGTCACACATTGGCATGCCCTGTGACTTATACACTGAAGCAACTTATTTATGGATCCCCCCCCCCATATTTATAAACCAATTTTTGGCTGAGATATGACCGTTTTCATTAATTCTGACTGAAAAAAATTGAACACTTGCCATTTTCAGCTGCTAGATGGCACTCGAGTGTTATGGCATACCGCTGTGTCATGTAATAGATACTGTAAAAATGGCTGTTATTGATACAGTCGGCTTGCCATTGTCATCCAGCTGGCTTGGAGCAATCGTCAAATCAGCTTCATTTTGCTGCGCCGCCCCAGCGAAATGCAGCTAATTTGACCATTAAAGTGCATTTATTAAGTAAAAGTTCAACTGAGACACACCTTTACTATAATGTCGAGAAAACAGATAATTGTTTTAGGTGCTTATCTTGTTAAATTTCGAAGAAATGCGCAGCGTTCCTCCTTCCTGATTTCCTCCCTGTCTGTGCGCTCCCGGAGCACCGAAGCAGCGAATGCTTTTGAAATACAGCTGATTTGACCGTTAAAGCCCTTTTTATTAAGTAAAAGTTCAACTGAGACACACCTTTTACTATAAAGTCGAGCAAACAAATAATTGTTTTTAACTGTTAATCTAGTTAAATTCTTGTTAAAGTCCTCCCATGCACGCTCTCGTGGCCGCCATTTGGCAGCACATCAATTTTTGGCACAACACCGGCCCACATTTCCAGGTTGTCAGCGGTGATGCGTAACAAATGTGACGCGTCAGCAGTGATCCATAATAGATGTGACTTATATGGCGAAGTGACATATTTATGGATTTTTCCACTTTATTAGACATATTTGGACTGATCCAACTTATAAGACGGTGCGACGTGTACGATGGAAAATACGGTACTTTTCTTGGTAAATTCCTTGCGTAATATTAAGGGATTTAACAAGAAAATAATAGGCAAACAAGAAAGAGAACTAATTATTTGAAAATAATACATTTTAGCCGCATCGTTTGAATCAGAAGTGCATGTCTAAATACAAATGGCATCATGGCCACAAATTCTCGCGACCGATAAAAAATCAGTAATTAGTTATGTAAAAAAAAACCATATAAAGCTTTAAAGCTCATATTTTCAAACAAACAGTTATTCTTTGTTGAGTACAGGAGCAGTCTAGCTCTAATGGAAATAAATCAACAATATTAAATGCCAATTGATTTCTTCCAATAAGTGGAAAACCCATTAATGGGCAAAACTTCACTGCGCAGAAAGGCAGACTCCTGGGTATTAGCAGATATTATGAGCTGAATTAATTTCTGGCTTTTACAAGCAAATAATTAGGTCAATATGTTGTAATTCTGGTGTCCAGAATTGTGGTTTAGATGGCTTTTTCCTGAAGGTCCTGAAGGTCAAAACCATTACTGCATATAGACAAATGTTGCTCTCTGACTTATGTTTCTGTAGGACCTAAAACCCAGTAATATAGTTGTCAAGTCTGATTGTACACTGAAGATTTTGGACTTCGGCTTGGCTCGGACGGCTGCCACCGGCCTCCTGATGACACCGTATGTGGTTACACGCTACTACAGAGCACCTGAAGTTATTCTGGGTATGGGCTACCAAGCTAATGGTGAGTAATGGTCTTAATACAACTTCTGCTTCTCAAATAAAATGGCAATGTCACTGTTGGCTTTTAGTGCTTGAACATACCTTTATAGTATCTTTACTATAGTAACTTTACAGCTCTTTGTAGGATTTTTACGACATCTGTTATTACTTGTATTCAGGCAGTTGAAGATAAATCTTGCTGTTTACTCAGTAAGACACTCATGTTGTATCCAGTTAAAATTAGTGATAGGAGAATGTTCCCTAACGATCCCCTCACATATAAGTAACAAGTTGTTTTGTGTTGGTGACGTCTTATTGGATTTTTGTGTTGCACTTTGATAGTGGACATATGGTCTGTGGGCTGCATTCTGGCAGAAATGGTTCGCCATAAAATCCTCTTCCCAGGAAGGGACTGTATCCTTCTGTCTGTCAAAATGTCTCTTGTTAAACCATTCGGGAATTTTGTCATTTCCGAGGTTTGTCTGTGGATGTGTTTTGTTTCCAGGCTGTGTGGAAACGCTCATATACTGCAACATGTTTAATTTAAACCTGTGTATTTTCATTTTAAAGTAAAGTTATTGGTTTTATCTGTTCAGCAGAGCTCTCTTTGCCTCTCTCTTGAATGTATTTTGTTTGTTGCTGCACGGTCTCCATTTTCATCTTTGCATCTCAGCCATTCTGTTTGCATTCCTCTCAATTTTTTCTTCCTCTTTTTTTTTATCATTTGTTTGCATGTCCATCGTTCTGTCTTCCTATCGTCCACCTCCAGTGGATGTATGGTCAGTGGGCTGCATAGTTGCCGAGATGATCAGGGGAAGTGTGTTGTTCCCCGGCACTGATCGTATCCTTCACTCTCATTGATCCACTTTCATCATTTCATAAAGAAGAGATCTGCCACCATCGTGAGAGTTTCCTCTGTCATGCTGCTGTCACACATCCTCCATGACCTACATGTTTCCTCTGCTGCACCCATGATATTTTCTAGCAAGAATAATTGATGCTAGTTGTTAACAATATGTACACTTGTTTTGTTTTCATAGAATTTTGTAGTTTTTTCTGTAAAGCCTTGAAAATAATCTATTATTCTGCATAATCTGATATAGAAAATCTTAAGGTTTGCACACAACTCCAAGTCTTGATTTAAAAAAAAAAAAAAAAGGGATTTAAAACATTTTGACAAATATAAAAACGTTATTTCATAGAAAATGATTCAATATGACATTTCTATGACTAGAAAATATTTATAAAACCGTAGCAAGGTTATTAAGGTTTCGGGAAGTAGAGGTGTGGTGGGTGCTTCAGCATCTCTTGATGGATGCCAGAGGATGTTCATCTTCAAATACATAAATTCTGACAAAATGAATAAAATAATAAATTAAAACAGATTTAATTAGAGTTGTACAAAGGTGTTAAAATGAGGTCAAGACTACCTCTTGTAATTAGCTACTTGCAACATGTTTATCTGTTGTTTTATCAAAAACTAAGATGGAATGAAGCAATAGTGTTTTAAAATCCAGACAATCAAATTAATAAAATGTCTGCTTTTATAGGCATATTCTCAGCTGCCAATGAGCAGAACCACTTGTTAATAATAGTAAAAATTCGGATGGTTTCTTTTGTTGCTGAGATGTTTCGTCCTTCATCCAAAGGACTTCTTCAGTCTGAGGACCCATCAACAAACTGAGTGAGTCCCACAAACAGCACACTCCATAGTGAAAAGAAAAAAAAAACAGTTTGCTGGTGATAAGATGGCCTCCGGGGCCCGCCCTCTTCTCTGTCAACTCTTCTGAGGCAGTCATGCCAAAGTGGTTCAAATGAGTAAAAATAAAGTAAAAATTCCCCCGTGACTCAGAAAGGAATAAGTGATTAAAGAAAATGGGTGCAGGAATGATTTATACCTGTTAACTTAAAAGAAAAATGTTGCAATATTTGTTTAGCGGAACCTTAATGTGCATACTAAAAAAAAAAAAAAAAAAAAAAGCAAGCATTTCAATAAAAGGGGTAAAAATATCTAAAACAGTTGCTGTAGGATTAACTTGTTGTCTTGTTTTTCTATAATGATATGAGATGGCTTTTGCAGTGAATTTGTTTCACATAAATAATCTAAATTTAAGCAGAGTTGGCCCAGTCAAACTACTGATCTCATTCTGTATTGTAGGAATTGTAGAAAGCAGATGAATAAAAAAAAACTAGTCAACATCACCAAGTTAAATTTATTCTTAATTAAAATAAATCATCAGCAAATTCTTGAAACAGCTTTTCAAAACATATTTTTTGCATTTACTTCAGACTAAAATGACTACCCTATTTTCTGGACTATAATGTGCACTTAAAATCCTTTAATTTTCTCAAAAATCGATATTCTGCTTTATAATCAGGTGCACCTTATATATTAATTCAGGTTGTGCTTACTGACCTTGAACCGATTTTATGTGATTATTGTGAATGAGTTGAAAAAAGTTTGACTTATCCGACTGTTTTGTTTCGCTTAATGCACCTTATTATCCAGTGGCCTTATGTATGAAAACAGACCTGTTCATTGATATTGTGCCTTATAGTCCAAAAAAATACGGTAAAAGCACACAGTGTAAAGTTTAGGTCTTTTTATGTTCATTTGAATCTTTAAAAAAAAAATTCAAGGTAATTTTCAGACATGGTTAGGGGCTGATGATATTTTGACTTTTATTTCAACACAAAATTTATTATCTCAAAAAATCAAAAGGGTGCCAAACTACCCATTGCTACTGTAGCTCTTTTGATTTAAAAGTATGTAAGTCTGTGTGTGTGTGGAATTGGAGAGCCGATTGTGTGTCGACCTCGAAGAAAGCTAAATGTCACGCTGCCCTTCTGGTGTGTTACAGTATCAGTGTGTGTCTGTTTGTGTGAGGCACTTTCCTTGAACATTCATACTCCAGATATTGACCAGTGGAACAAGGTCATTGAGCAGCTCGGCACTCCATCTCAGGATTTTCTAATGAAGCTGAATCACTCAGTGAGAACGTACGTCGAGAACAGGCCACGGTACTCTGGGTACAGCTTTGAGAAACTCTTCCCAGATGTGCTCTTCCCCGCTGACTCGGATCACAACAAACTGAAAGGTACGTGATCAAGACCTAAATGTATCTTTTGTGGTCTTATGATGAAAAGTGTTGTCTCATCTGCTTGTTGTTTCTCCCCTTAGCGAGCCAAGCCAGAGATCTTTTATCCAAGATGTTGGTGATTGATGCATCCAAGCGCATCTCTGTAGACGAAGCCCTGCAGCACCCTTATATTAATGTTTGGTATGATCCAGCTGAGGTGGAAGCAGTAAGTCAAATACATAGTCCAAAATGTCATTGCTTCATTAGAAAGAAAAAGTTGGCATTTATACTGAAACATCAGGGCGCCATTAGTCTTTTTCCTTCTCTCTCTTCCAGCCTCCTCCAAAGTTCTCAGACAAACAGCTGGATGAGAGAGAGCACACAGTGGAGGAGTGGAAAGGTTAGCACGTTCACCTCTACTACACTCAGCTAATCTGTCTGTGTCAGGTTAAATGTATTTACGAATCAAGTTTACTTTGTACCTGCAGCTTGAACGTCTTAATATTACTTTCACTGTTCACAGCCGATTTATTTAACGAACATCGAACGCAGAGGAAGGCAACTTTTTTTTTTTTTCCAAAGGGCCACATCAAGACATTTAAAGCAATCAATGGGCCGCAAAGAGAATTGAAAAATAAATTATCTTTATGACAGATAATCTACAAAACCTATTTCTTATTTTAGCGTAGTTAGCATGCTTTATAAAACAAGTCTTTCCAAAATCCTTTAGGAATAGAAGGCATATTCTGTAAACTGGCTCTTGTTGGCTTAACATGTTATACATGTTAACACATGTATATATTTGTGTTTCTGTCTTTAAGGTTCAGTTTAGTTCTGGAAACACAATGACTTAAAAACTTTTTTTTTTTAGTTTTGCGTAAAACGTTTAATTTCAATTTCCTTAAGTCTCATTCATAAATTGCTGCCTTAAATCGCTCTTTATTTCAGACATGTTTTTTTTTAATCTAAGGCTATTGGGGGGCCTGATGGAGATTGTCCAAGGGCCACTTTTGGCCCTTGGGCCTTAATTGCTTACATCCGATCTAACATATGCTGTATCAATATTGACTTAAATTTACAGTAAAATCACAGTTAGTGCAATTTTTAGGTCAAGATGTGTGATCTTAAATTTGATTTTGTGATGTTGATAACTAAACTAGTACAACCTAAATTTTCAGCTTGAAATGTGTAAAATTGTCCGAGTTATAGCCATTTTTGATTTTGCTAAGGTTGATCAGTGGTGGCAGCCATCTTTTATTGGGTTGGGTTGATTCCAAAAGTTATTCAGTTAAAGAGATATGATTCTGTTAAGTACAGAGGAGACTTGCAGTATATGATTGTGAGTAAATATCACTTTCCCTCATGCAGCAAGATGAGCCCAACCCTTGTCAGGCGATAATGACCCCTCACTCATTTTTAGAAGAGTCACAGCAGCAAGGCAGGCCTAAATTAGAAACATGATGCTGTTTGGACTGTTCAGCATGCAATCCATCCCAACTATACAGAAAAATAAAAATGACACTCTCTAAAACACGTTGATGACTCCTCTCTGTGTCCTCAGCTCTGCTTGACCTTTTTGCTGTTTGTGCCCCCCCAGAGCTAATTTATAAAGAGGTGAGCGAATGGGAGGAAAGAACAAAAAATGGAGTGATAAGAGGCCAGCCGTCTCCATTAGGTGAGTAATTTCTATCACTTTGATTGAAAAGGAAAAGTGAATATGTTAAGATTGTAGCAAACCATTAGTACTTTTGTTTGCATGCTGAGGATTAATGTTCAATATAAGCTTGAAAATGCTTTTATAAATGTAGTTCAAAAAGTTTAGATCACTTTGGAACTGAAAAATACAGGAAAATCTTTTTTATTTTAAATTCATTCAACCTTTTTTTTAATACAGGTTAGTCTCATTGAGCCTCGAGGACTTGTTTACAAGAGAGACCTGTTTTTAACAAAGAATGATGACAACAGTAGACAATCATAAAGAAAGTATATAAATTGAAAAAAATAAATGGAAAAAATATATTTTAAAAAACTAAACAAAAAAGCTACTTTATAAAGTGATGTAGAAAGCTAAAAACAGGAACATGTCTGCATTGGTTTTTCCCAGGAACTTAGCAGTTGTTTAAAGCCAGTAAGAGAGTTCAAGGTCGAGAGCTTCAGCTCTTTTTGCAAGATATTCCAGGAAACAGGAGCAGAGTAGGAGAAGGTCCTTTTGCCTAGTTCAGTTCGCTCTGAGGGGACGCTGCATGTAATAATGTCCTGAGAGCGCACGCTGTAGCTGCACTCACGCAGAGACATGTAGGAAGAGATGATTACCAATAATTGATTTAAAGATGACAATGTACCAGTGAGAGAGTTAATGATGATCAGGTAACCAGTGAGTAAACATTAAGCTTAAACATTAAGCTCACTGAGTGCACAGTTTATTCCAAATATTAATAGAAAACAACGTTTTTTGAAAATTATAGTAGATCAAAGTGAATAATGTCAAAGTTTGTGAGCTGTTTTTAGCACTTTTTTAAAATGCAATGTGAGTATATGTATATCCACTGAAATTTATTATTTTGCGAAGTCTAATAAATCAGGACTGCAATTAAAGAAAAAAAAAATGCACTGGACACAGAGTTATTTTACGTCTTAAAACATTTTCTCTGAGTTGCATTTTGCCTAAATGTTTTAACTTACTTCTGCAAGTATGAAAGGCTAAAAATAAAATTGGGACATTTTATAATCAACTATGAAAAAAAATTATTGCTGTTGCAATTTATTATTGATGTTGTTGTTGTTATTAATCAATTACTAATGCAATTAATATGTTAATTTAATTAATGATAATGATAATTATTATTATTTATTTTTTGATATATTAATATAATTTTGTCTTGAACTTTTTTGAAATATATTAACATTAAACTGAACGTCGATTCTAGGTTTTCCATTCTGTCTGCAAAATGCACTTATATCCACTTATATAAGCTTTTCATCAGTCTAATTATAGATGAACATTTTTTAATTTAGAAGCTGCTCTTTCATTATGAGACTTTAACTTTATAGTTTCTTTGAATTTCAAAAGTGTAAATTCGTATTTTCCTAAAAGCGTTTATCTGCCTAACCTTTTTTATGTTTGTGTGTGGGAACATTTAATATAAAATGAAGGTCATACTTCATTTTTTTTTACATTACGCTGAGATACTTGTCCACAGTCAGATTGACAAAGATACAGAAAGAAAACTTCAAACATTCGTGAATCGAGTTAGCAGTACAGCATAACCACCTTTAAAGATATTAGTATATAAGAACAACGTCTCTGTTGTTTCCAAGCTGCAGGATGTGTTTTCTGATGTAAAGTTATAGCTCTTACATCTCTTGTCTTCAAAGCCACCAGATGCATACGACAAAAATCTGTTTTTTCTTCAAGACGGGAGTTTACTGAGGCCTTGACCGAGTGGTTTTAAATATCAAGTTTGCATCAAAACCTTCGTAACAATAATTAGTGAATCATACTATGTAATCATCATACTACATGAATCATTTGTGAGGTTTTTTTTGTTGCTTGTAGACTTGGGGCAACTATCATATGCTTTTACTCTTACCATAATTTCCGTACTTAAGGCTTCCTTTTCACTGCAACATAAAGCATGTTTATCACTAAGGTCAGATGCTACTTAGACTTAGACAAAATATATATTTCCTGTATAGATCTTGCCCTTGGGCAGCACGGTGGCGCAACTGGTAGAGCTGCTGCCTCTCAGTGAGCAGGTCCTTGGTTCAAACCCCGGTCCAGGGGCCTTTCTGGGTGGAGTTTGCATGTTCTCTCCGTGCATGCGTGGGTTTTCTCCGGGTACTCCGGTTTCCTCCCACAGACCAAAAACATGCATGTTAGGCTAATTGGTAACTCTAAATTGTCCCTAGGTGTGAGTGAGAGAGTGATGGTTGTTTGTCTCGTTTGTCTCTATGTGGCCCTGTGATGGACTTTTGACCCGTCCAGGGTGTACCCCGCCCCTCGCACAGTGATTGCTGGACATGGGCACCAGCAACCCCCGTGACCCAAAATGGAATAAGCGGGTAAAGATAATGGATGGATGGATGGATCTTGCCCTTGGTAAAATTCCTTTTCTGACTGGCTTACAATTTGTTAACCCCATTCTTTCAGTTTATGCACTTACATTTTATACTGCGTCTATTTTCTTGCTTAAAATATTGTCCTTTTACTCTCACGTGCCATTTTGTTTTTACTCTGTGCAACCAAAATGTGCAGCTCATCCGGAAGACGCAGAATTTTGTCTCGTCAGTCTTTGCTGCAGCTGAGTTAAGCATGGCTGCACAGTTGTGCTGAGGAATGCACTTTTTTGTTTTGTTTTTACAGCATTTCATTAGTGCAGACTTTTTTTTTTTCATTAAAGATGAACAATAAAGTGAGGTTTTGGAAACATTTTGTTAAGCAAAGATTTCTTAATTATTCTTTACACAACTAAATATCACAGATGACTTAAACGTTTTGCAGTTTCTGATTTGGATGAATTTACCATTTTAAAAAACACAAACAAACCAGGTGGTAGACTTTATTAGTGTTTTTTTTTTTTTAGTGTTTTTCTCGGCTTTAACAAAGTGAATGTAAAGAAAGCCAAATACTCCAAAGCATACACCTAAACTTAAACTTGTGATTATTTTTAAAATGACTAGTGCAAATATTTAACTGTAACTAATCCCCTGATTGTGCACAATTATCCCAATTTGAATTAAGATAGGATTGACACAATCCCAACGATTAATGTTTCCAATAAAACCTATGCTTTAACCTGTTTCTCTCAGCACAGGTGCAGCAGTGATCGATAGCCCTCCTCAGCCTAAGTCCTCCTCCTCTTCCTCCTCCTCCTCTTCAGCCAACGATGTTTCGTCCATGTCCACCGAGCCCACCGACCCCATCAGCGACCCCGCCATGGGCTCTGAAACAGATAGCAGCTTGGACAGCCACACCTCGCTGGGTGCTCTGGCCTGCTGCAGATAACTACATATTCACACAAGCACACATGCTACACGCTAAAATAAAATAAAAAAATAAAAACTTCCTCATCGGTATAAGTGATGGGAGAAGATTTAGGCAAGTGAAACTCATGTTAGTTTATAGAGCTGTGATTTTACTGTACAGTTTGTTTTTATGTTCCCCTCCTTCGCGGCTGTAAATTATCGTGGTTTGAAATTGTATCATAATTCTTGTATTTTTGCTGCAGAGAATCAGAGGATACGTTGGTGTGAAACTGTGATGTATGAGATGAAAGAAGGGAAACCTTGGCGTACTTTATCTGTCAGTTTTTAGCTACAGCTAAAAAGTCAACTGTTGTTACAATTGCCGCATTATGTAATGTATATTTTGAGGTTTATGTACGTATTTTTTTTTATTTTTAATGAATGTTTATCAATTCTTACCAACGATAGATTTTAGCATATTTCACCTTGGGCAAGAATGCAAACTGATGCTTCTTATTTTGAAAGTGTTACTTATTTTTCTTGTAGAAAGCAGCCCTTGATGTGATAATATAAAATAATTTATTTCTTTTTTTAATTCTGTCTGATTGTGTGCATTTGATGATTTTCCCCTGAAATACTTTTTAATTTTTTTACTGTATCATACTGTAAAATTCTTAGATTTTAGCTTGTTTACTGACAGACGCAGTTTGAAGGTGAAAGTTAGTTAAATGAGCAAAAACAGGGTGAATGTATGTGAACTGAGATGTGAAATTGTAAAGTCGGTTGGTGCTCCATAAATGAATCCAGGCCACCCAGCTGGCTAGAATGAGCACTTGTGAACAGTTAAGTCTAAATTAGTCACTTTATTTTTTGTTGCATATTCTGTCAGACATTATTCACAGTTGTCTGATAATTATATCAATAATAACGTTTATTTGAAATGTCTTTGTTCAGTCATTTTCTGTCCTCTTTGTGCCAAATATTCCTCTCTTGTATATTTTTCTACTTCAAACATACACACTTTAAACATTCAGACATATATTTTTTAAAGATGCAATATCGTGGAGCAAAGCATTTGAAACGTACAAAATAGTTTTTCTTTTTCCAGTTATTTATTTCAAGCTAGAAGGCATTACTTATTTATACATCTTAGAGATAGTTTATTTACATTTTCTTAAATACTGTATAATCTATGGATTAGTGTAGTCAGAACTCAATCAGTACATTTTACTGACACGTGAATCTTTTCAGAGGATCAAGAGACGAACGTTTACCACTTGTTCTTTTCATGGCGAGGCAGTCCAGGCTTTTAACACTTCAGCACTTACCAGTACTCCCAGAATACGCTTTGTAATCAGATTTTTGGGCTTAATGCAATTACAGTACCGTATTTTTCGGACTATAAGGCACACTGGATTATAGGACGCATTAAGCAAAACAAGTTCATTTTGACAGATTTTTGAGCGCCATGTACCACATAAAATCGGTTTGAGGTCAGTAAACGCAACCAGAATTAATACATGAGGCGCACCAGATTATAAGGCTCACTGTTGGATTTTTGAGAAAATTAAAGGATTTTAAGTGCGCCTTATAGTCCAAAAAATACTGTAAATGGTTTTACCCACCTGCCCCTTAAAAACAAAACAGAACTAATAGAAAAGACTTGGCAAGACTTTTTCTGAGCATGAAACCAGGTCCATTTTGAAGAAATATAAAAACTATTCGGCACCACTGGGATGATCCTGCAGTTATCTTAAGGTTAGTCCAACATTGTCAGCAAAACGTTAACCTGGTGTGTAAGGCAAGTTTTATGACTTAAAATAGTTTCAGAGTTTGAAGTTGCCTCCCGAACAGAACTATTAGCTATTCAATCACATGAGAAGCCTCCAGCTTTAGTGCTGAAAAGGTTGAATTTTAATGCCACATTTTACAGTAATTACTGCCATGAATTAGCTAACTTTAAAATTGTGTGACTAAAATACAACACGATGCATAAGGCTTTTACTGGTCTTTCAGGAAGCAATGTAAGTAAATAATTTAATCTTTAATCTATTTAATCTAATCTAATCTGGTGAAGTTTTTGGAATGACAAGCTAAGAAGTTCTTGGTCCAGAGGAAGTCTGGTTTGGCACCAGTGCAGCTCAGTGGGAGGCACAGGACAAGAGGAGAAGATGGCATCATTCACTGCACTAGAGGTATTTTGTTTTTAAAGGCTTTGGGCCCCGTTGGTTAGTCTTTCTAATGACTGAGCTCCTTCAGAACCAGATGATGGTTATTCTTGTTTGTTCTAGTTGTCCCGTGGTGCTCCTGTGGTCAGATCTCCGAGTGTCTTGAAGAATTCCTCCATCTCTTTCTGGAGGAGAACATTCCGATTTTCTGCGTCTTGATGTGCCCGCTCTGAGTTCCTGAGTCGGATCTCCAGCATGTGAAACTTTTTCTTCTCCTGATCCAGCTCCTCTTGAAGACGGTTTATCTGGGACTGGTACTCGGAGCAGGACTCCTCCAGCCTTAAAAACGAGGAAAAAGAGGTTGTTTATTACATTTTATGCTGATTTTGATTAACTATATGAAGAAAATATCTGGCTCAGTCTTACTTGCAGATGCAGGTTTCATAGTTTAGTTTCTGTTTTTTCAGCTCCTGCTTGAGTTGGGTCAACTTTCTTGTGAAATCTTCATTTGTTCCTGCAACATCTTCCTCATTGCCACTTGCACTGCGATCAAAAGTATTTGTCCTGTCTGTCACTTGTTCTAATTTATCACTTCCCTCTGTCTCCGACAGCGAGATCTCAAAGGGTGTCCAGATGGTCGAGGTGTCAGCGGGCAGGCTTAGGCTGGACGGTGCAACATTGTCATAGGCAGACAGTCTGTGGGACTGGTGGAGGACTCTGAGAGACAGAGATGTTCGGGAGGATTCTTCATCAGAGTCTCTGTGTGAGTCCTTAAGAGGAAGGGTGGTTTCTTTAAGAGAAATGGCTGAATCCTTTAGAGATAAAGTAGAGTCTTTCACCTTTTCACCAGATGAGATGGTGCGTCTGTGAGCTCGGAGGGACGACAGGCCATTCATCAGCCATTTGCTCCCACCAGCTGCTGACACATCCCCTGCCGAGCCCCCCATTTTTCCCCTTGGCCCCCCGGAGGCTGCAGTGCCCTTGAAAGTGCACTTCCACGAAGGAAGGGCTTTAGACTGTTTGCTAGGGCTAATGGCTACTTCACCTTCTTCAGTTTTTACATCCACTTTCTCATCTATCTTGCCTTTATCTTTGTCTTTATTCTGACTGTTGACCTTATCAGATGAAACAGGGCTTGATGTAGGCAGCTTATCGTCCATGGCTGGAGTAAGAGATTGGGAATTTTCTTTAAGGGTTTTAGAGCTTGCATCTGTTGAACATGGAGGGTCAGTTTGTTCCTGTGAAAGCCATTCCACTTTGCATCGCTGGATGTCCTGTTGGTGTGGAGAAATCTTGTTTATATTTTGGGGTTCCTCATTTGGGTAAAGTTGGTAGTGTTCACTGATCAACACCATCATCAGATGCTGGACTTGAGAACTTCCTGTTTACAAAAAGAAAAACACACATGCATCTGCTTAAAGATGTCTTAATATTAGTTTAATAAAAAAACAGCTGCAACGATTCGGCATGATCTCCGACCTTCCATCATTGTAACGGGGTCCTCCACCTTTGGCCGAAGGATGTTGGGTCCAAACACGGTGGCCAAGTTCTGAACGCTCATCTTGTTGTCACTGGAGTGAGACTGAACCTCATCCAGAAATCTGAGCAGACAGAACCAAAAACAGAACTTATTTTACATGTTTTGAAATAAGGCTTGAGTCATAATTGGGACTGATGTGTGGGCTCAGACTAAGATATTTATATTAATGCAGAAGGCAGAGTAGACGTGAAGCGAATGACGTCACTTCCTCTGATGTTAATAGTGTGGGTGTATTGAACATCACTCCTCTCTGACATGCTGACAGTCATCAATTATGAAACAGTTAATACAAGGGCAGCAACAATGATGCCTGTCACAGTCACACAAAAGACCGATGATTCAAACAACAAACTGCAAGACACGGTTCACTTACTTGCAGATGTATTTAAGGAGGTTGTAGTTGACCTGAGGAAGGGATTTCACCTGTTTGCTAAGTTCAGTGATGCCCTTTAACAAAACAACACATGTTAAATGCCAGAAGAAGACAATTTGTGAAACACTCAAAAGAAACAATTACCATTTCTTTATCCTTGGTAAGAAGCTGAGCACAAGAGATAAACTGTGTGTATTTGCAGAATGGGATTATAGGTTCTGGCAGCTCTCGTATGTACAACTTTAGCAGTGATGCCACTGTGTGGACGTCAGTGGAACTGGAACAGAAAGACAGTGCAGGTATTAGAATAATATTCCAAACAGGTAATGGTTTTCCATGCTGCTATAACTATAACACCCCTCTCCTGCTGCCTGACCTGTCAAAGACTGGCTTCTCGCCACGGTCAAAGGCATCCTGCAGTTCTCGGACGTGATTGGTCTGCCCAGGTGCCCTGAAAAGTCCCTCCTCCTTGAGTCCATGTTGACGTATGAAGCAGGCACACTGTTCAACCAGCACAGGGACTGCTTTCTGGGGGCCACACTGTGCCTCATATGACATTGTCTCCTCTAAGTGTTGTCCAAAGATACCTGCATTCACACAGCACAGAACATGTAAAGCCACTAAGAGGTCAATTTTCTGTAGGACTACAGATTCTTGCATCATCTAAATATGTCTTATTGTACATGTCCATCTGATTATATGACATAAATCATCACACCTCCACCAAGTGGAGTCCAAATAGCTCTTCGTATGGCTCTGACCCATTCTTCCATGTCACTCTGTGTGTTGGCCATGAGGAGGAATGATTCATGGCTTATGCCGGTTCGATCTTTTTCTCCAGCTCCCCCTGAAAACACAGCACTATTTCATTACTTTCTGGATCAATGAGGTGAAATGACCACGGCATCTTGTAGCCATTTAAACATGCAGAATCATACAAACAACAGATGCTGCTTTTTCAAATTACTTTGCAGCAGCAACTGCAGAACTAATGCATAATCTGTAAACATGTATCAGTAGCAGTATTTTTAATAACCTCATTAACCTAAGCGCCCCTGTAAAGTACAAAGACACAACCATGCAGCTCTGTTTTCCCTTCCTCTGAGTGCAGACAGCAGGACACAGCTCTGTTTGACATTTACGTTTGACATTTGGTTTATTTCATCAGATCTTTGAAGTGTTTGAAAATCTCTCTCTTCATAAAACTTTGTACACATGTCGTGCGACCATCCTGTTTTAGAAAGCAAAGAATACAAATTGAAGAAAAATAACCTCGCATATTGTGCAGTCCATATTGCTTTTTGTAAGAGGACCCAGTGGCTCATGCGCTACATATCAGTGCCTGTATTCATTTTTATGTCCTGCACCGCGGTGCATAGTGGGTTGTCTGTGAGAGAAACAACCCAGAAAAAACAGTGGTCCCTGGAGACAGCAGCAACTGCGCCATGCCTCTCACTCAGCTGCTTTCCTCTCTGTCTAGGATCGTTTTCATTGAGGTTTTACACCTTGCAATTTAAAATTCTGAACTCCATTTAGTATACTGAAATAGAAGAGAAATTTAGCATGAGTAGCTGCAGCATTTCATAGTCATTTTTAGGGGTTTTGACATATTTTTGTTTGTTTATGTTGTCTAAACAACATATAGCTTTTTAAGTGTAAATCACTTCCCAAATATCTACCTCAAACATTTAAAATGAACATCTGTTTTTGTTTTATTATGAAAATGCATTCTGGTGCTATTCCTAAATGAGCTGAAACCAGTAGTTTTGAATTAGGTTTGAAATTATAAATAAAGGGTAGGAAAGAATGACAATTTATTTATTTATTAACCGTTATTTAACCAGGCAATTCCCATTGAGGTCACAGATCTCTTTGCAAGGGATGCCTGGGCTGAAGCAGCCTAACATGCATGTTTTTGGTCTGTGGTAGGAAACCGGAGTACCCGAAAAAAACCATGCAAGCACGAGAAGAACATGCAAAACTCCACACAGAAAGACCCCAAGTCCAACTGGGGATTGAACCCAGGACCTTCTTGCTGTGAGGCAACAGTGCTAACCACTGAGCTGCTGTACTGCCATTAAGGGATTTAGATGCATAAAACACTTAAACTATATAATATATATAATAAACTTAAGGAAGACATCCAATCATTTGAAATTCATACATGTCTACAATCTGTACAAGCTTAAAATATATTTACAGTGAATTAAAAAGAAAATAAATCCTTCAGTTAAACAATTATTTCTAGTGCTTCATTTATCAATGTGGAAAATCAAAATCCAAAAAATATATTGAAGTTTTGCAACAAACATCCATCCATTATCTTTTTACCCGCTTCTTCCATTTTGGGTCACGGGGGTCACTGGAGCCCATGTCCAGTAGTCACTGTGCGAGGGGCGGGGGACACCCTGGACAGGTCGCAAGTCCATCACAGGGACACATAGAGACAAACGAGAAAAACAACCATTCACGCTCTCACTAGGGACAATTTAGAGTTACCAATCAGCCTAACATGCATGTTTTTGGTCTGTGGGAGGAAACCGGAGTACCTGGAGAAAACCCATGCATGCACGGAGAGAACATGCAAACTCCACCCAGAAAGGCTCCCAGACTGGGATTTGAACCGGGGACCTGCTCGCTGAGAGGCAGCAGCGCTACCATTTGCACCACCGTGCTGCCCTGCAACAAACATGTCTCTTTTTAATGCTAAATCAATGTTTCAAAAAAACACCCAAATGCTCAAACCTTAATGATGGTAAATAAAATGATAAAATTCACACTGTTTTGTCAATTTCCTTCCAAAATTCAAAATAACACAAAAACATCACATTTTTGGATTTAGCAGAAACATCTTTTATTTTTGGTTCGTTTATTTATTTATTTATTTTCCCGGTTGTTCATCAGCTGTGAACGGATCATCAGTATCACTCAAACACAGGATAATCTCCTTACACAACAAAGTTGTCGCCACGCCAACTCACCTGGAACAATTTCAAACAGGTGGCGACCAGGCTCATCCTGATTGGCAGGCACCTCGTTGACCTGACTACCCTGTAGAGGAATGCAGCCCTGTAGGAGAAAAGAGAAAGGTGTCGAAACAGACTGACAGACAAGCAAGCCTTCTGGACTTGAACGTGCGGTGCATTTTAAACTTCTCAGCATCTCTTGGCAACTGTCCAACAGAGGGATGACTCAGGGAAACATCCCCTCATCTAATTCCTTTGATGGTTCTGGATGTACATTTACAATCCTTCCGGCAAAGATGGGATCAAAAGTCAAGCGCTAAGCTCATACAACAGAAGTAAGGACAGCTGGGTGCCATGTTATTAGTTAGTGAGGGTGTCCAGATATTGCAGCTTTATGTGTTCCCTGTATATCAGGTTGGCTCACCTGCGCCTTGCTTTCATCCTGATCTTTGTAGAAGTACAGAGCCTCGGTCCTCAGAACGAACCAACGCACCTGCCAGTTTTTCATGATACTCCGCTGCCTCTTGAGCCAGCCCACCTTCAGTGGTTTCTCCTGATCCTGAGGAGAGCAGGGCCTGGAGAGCCGAGACAACTCCCCAAGCACCATGCTCTTGGATCGTGCTACATGGACACAAACATTGAGGGAAAACTGCTTGAGGAATACGATCATCAGAGAGGGAAAGATAAGAAAATGTAGCTACATAAAATTAGAAATGGGAATGACTTTCTCTGCTGTTTATTACTAAAAGACAAATGTGTATACTCAGTTGATTTTAATAGAAGTCTCATCCACAATGTAGCAAACCCATTTTTTTAATTTATCACATTCATTTTGATGTATTTTATTATTAACATCTTATGTTTCGTATAGTAAAAGGAACATATTTTACTGGTGCAGATGGAGCACACTTGATTTGGACCATGTGATGCTTTCCTTGCTACAGAGTGATTACAAGTATGGATTATATATTAGCATCTATATGCCAAAGCTATAGAGCAAAAGCAGTGGCAGTGTAACGATCCCGGGGGAGTAGAGGAGATAAACACAAGACAGTGGGAGAGGGAAGAATCAATGGCATTTTTTTCCTTGTTAATTGCATCCTGCATTCTGCTGAGGACAGCAGGGAAGGTATCAGTAAGGGGCTGGACAGAAATCTCTCTTTACATTTTTTTTTTTTTTGCCTCTGCCTCTCTGGTTTTTCCTGCTTGTGCTTATCAGCTCTCTCTCTCTAGACTTTTATATTCCTCCCCTTTCTGGATGTCCTTCATTTGCAGAGTTTTGATGTGGGGATGGTGGAAGAGTATAAAGCACATAGAGCAGTCATTAATAATACTGTATGCTGGCAGCAGAAGCAGGCAGAGGTCTAAATTTATAGCAGATACGACCATATCCTTATTATTGAGACAAGAAATCTGAAGGAGGAACTGAATTTCAGCACTATTAGTGTGCAAAGATCAAAGTAGAATCTTTTGCACAAATTGCATCAACACATTTTGCTATGAGCTTTCTGAGCTTAATGCAGTTAGTTCTCAGTTCTGGCATGAAATGCATCCACAAATCTTGAGTTCACCTGCAGTTAGGTTCATTCAGAAACAGGACGGATTTTAAGCAGCAAGGGAATTAAGAGCAACAAGGACAAAAATAACACCATGGGTGCTTTTCTGCAAACATATTTTTTATCTTAAATTGAGCAATAAACCATACTATTAATAAACTGAAGTTAATGAATAAGGAGCACAAGCATAAATTGAAACTGCTTGAGCAAGATTTATCTACCGAACAGTCAGTGCTCGCAAATCTTCTGAGAAGTATTGAAGCAGATGATCTATGAGGGAGTTTTTCAAACTGCTGCAGCAGTAAGACGTTCAGTAATAGAGACCACGAACAGAGAGCATTTTGTCTGCACAGCAGTCATTCAACATTATGACTCCATGAACATCAAAACTTGGGGATCTCTCTCCTTCTACACATGAGAAGAATCCACTGTTTATTGAGGTAACACCATGGTAAACAAATTACCAGTAAATTTAGAGGAGCAGGCTAAACACTGGATTAAAAACAAAAATCACCCGTGTGAGAGTGTTGGATTGTGTTTGTGCAACAATACACACAAAAAAGTAAGAAATACTTAACTAAATAAAATGTTTGCATTCAAAAAGATGTGAACTTGAAATAACTATGAAGGTATGAAAGCAAAATTATCATACTAGAACTATTTTAACAAATACTTTGCCCACTACAATCTTTTAATTGTGGGAACATATATAATTAAAAGTAGTTTGAATAATAAAAATGCTTACTATTTAAAAACTGGTGTAATAAATCTTAAGTGTATGAGGCATTGCTTTTGTGTGCACAATATTTGGACTAAAATTATGTGTATTATTTAGATCAGAATAAAGATGCAGAAGGTAAATTAGCTCAAAGTCCTCATTTTGAATAAATGTGTCTCCTGTCAGATTACATAATATTTAAATAACATAAATAATTATTATTATGATGCATCACTGTAACAGTTTGTTATATTTTGGCGCAGATTAAATTAATGCTGTTAAATTATTGTTGTTGTTTTTTTTTAGCAAATGTGTCACATGGTAGGCTCTTTATCAGTAAATACTTAGAATAAGGATATATTCTGTTTGAAGTGAGATGCCAGAACCTAGTAGTGCATCATTTACAACATGTTTTAACATCGTGTCAGCTGAAAAACATGCATGGAACACGTGTCCTTGAACATAACAGATGTTAACTAATACATTTTTGTGGACATCTTCTAGCTTTCATTTAGCTGCTCCTAAAAAAACAAAGCAACACTGACATTTTGGCAAATTACAGTCATTAAAAAATATTTGTGCTTAAATGTCTTATAATATTGTAACATTTTAATGCCTTAATGTAGTTTAACAAAAAGCCAGATGCCTTTTAAGTTTGGTTTACTTTTATTTGCTCATGCATGTGTTTTTAATTTTTTGGTATTGCTGGTATTGCTTTATGGTTAGACCTATTTTTCATGTCATCCACAATAAAGCTGCCATTACTTAACTTTCTTATACTGCTGCAGTTCTTTGAGAATGGTTATTAATTACCCAAATAATTATGATATTTTAAATTGAATGGAAAAAACGTTTAAAAAAAACAAACAGAAAAAGATATCGCAGCACAAAACACTCTCTAGTAAAGCATTTGATGATTAGTTCCATCTTTCAACATAAACCATACTAGAAATTAAATAACACTATAATTGGAATTATTAATTGCACTAGACTGTCATTATTAATTAATTTCAACACACTAATAATTTCTTAAACAATTCATTAACATCTGAAACTATAGCAATATTTTAAAATCAGATTTTTTTTCTACTGTTTGGAGCATTTCTTATTGATGGAATGTTGAGAAAATAAATAAATAATCAAGACTTTCACTGTTTTCTCAAAAAAAAAACATTTTTTTGTTCAATGAAAACTATCCAGATACTTGCGATGCATCAAACACATCAGTTTAATTAATATCATTATATTTAGGAGCATTGGATCATGGCCTGCTTGAAATTTGAACCTGATATTTGAGTTTCAGAAAGCCGATGCAGGCCTGCCGATGCAGTTTAAAATTTTTCTTGTTGATGACACATAAAAGGGTCAGAGGAGAGCAGAGCTGGAAATCTAATCAAAGGAGAATACCATTACAACAAATGAAAGATGGCAAGCCTGCAAGACGTGGCAAGAAAACTGAAGGGGCTGCTGCACTTTCCAGCTGAAGGAGAAAGCAGATCCACTTCACTTTCCCATCATCTTTATATGATCAGATTCTTTTAAAGGTGGTCAGGAGCAAGTCAGGGGGGAAAAAATCAAATCAAATGCCCTGCCTGAAGATATGTCTTAAAAAAGTGTTTTACGTTGTCATTTTGGTCAGTGTGAAATTAACAAGCATCCCTTAGAAAAATCCTTTAAAAGCATCAATCATGTGGACACACCCTAATGTAAGGCAACAAATGTCATCCAATCCATATGAACAAGCTTATACCAGCAGAACCAGCTGCGTTAAAAACAACAGCAAATATTTCTGCTCTGCGTTATAATACCCTCAGTGGCAGGAGCTGCTCGTCTGATTTACAGCTTCCACCTTAAAACAGACATGTGAGAGGCACATATTCATGCCCCAACTCTAGTGCACACACATGGATTTTTACCCCGCATTAGAGGAACTATGTTTGACAGTCAGCTGTTGAGATTTGTAGGAGCTGAGAGTCATGGGTTCATCCCCTTTAGAGTCTGTCACCTGCTGAAACCCACAACCAACACAGGATGCAGAACACTACTGTGGGCAGAATAATGTCCCCTGCAGCCATGTTTTACTACAGCCCATCTCCTGCACAATCAAATTTGCGTGGAATTGATTGAATCATTCGCTGGAGAAATGACGGATTACATCACCCTGTAGTAGAGTGTGTTAACTCTCACAATGAGGGCTCAAATATTACAGATGCTGAAAAAAAAAGAAAAGAAAAGAAAGCAGATGTGCGGATGCAACTCTAGCATGGGACTACTACACCTGCTCGATGCCTTTATCAATGAGAGTACAAACAGCTGATGATGCTACAAAGACACCAGGACAGATGGAGCCCTGCAGAGACGACGGGCGACAGAAAGAAAGGAGAGAAAAGGAAAATGGAGAATAGGGAGGAGGGATTGTGCTTACCCCGGCGTGCCTGTTTTATCTTGGGGCTCAGCATGGTAACGGTTGCTGTGCTGCTCCCTCTCACAGAGCCATGACTGCATCCCTCTGTTCACACACACTACTTCTCCCCCCACACACACACACTCAGCGCCTCTCGCTGCTGCCTCACCCTGTTAGACCTCATCCTCTCGCAGCATCTCTCCCCATGATCACACTTTTGCACTTGGACTCTGATTTCATAGTCTCACACACGCACAAGCACTTAAGCGCACACTTTCCTCTTCCCTTTCACCCGACTCTCCCCCCTCTCAGCCTCTGTCCCACCAGTCCGGCGTGCTGTTGTTCTCTCTATAAAGCCCTGCCCACTCCCTCTCTGTCTCTCTGCCTTCTGCTGCACACTCCCAGTATCAGTTTCTCACCTTCTATAAATATGTCCCACTGTGTGTCCTTTGTTTTCTCACCCATTTCTTAAGATTTCTCCACAGCCCCCCTCAGCTGGACATTTGGTTATAATCTTTCCTGTGTCTGATGCGAAACCTCAGAACAATATGTTAGGATTAATGGACATTGTTCTCACCACTAACTGTTTGTTGCAGAGCCTGACTGGTATGTATTTACAGAGACATGTTCTCTTCACTTGTAGATTATTGGTTCCCAAAGTTAGGGTTGGGACCCCATGTTGGTAATGAAATGCAACGTTGGGGCTTTGAGATGATCCTCACTGATTAAGTTAAAATTTAAAATGATTCAAAATCAAATATTTTGCCATATTTGAGAGATATAAAACATTTTTTCTTCTTCTTTCGGCTTCTCCTTTGGATCACTACAGCGAACTGAGTCGCACGAAGACTTGGCAATTATTTTTACGCCGGATGCCTGAGCTACCACAGCCCTCTGTGGGGAGCATAGAGCTGCTATCTAGGGCACCCCGGGGGGGTTAAGGGCCTTGCTCAAGGGCCCAGAGTGGGGCAAATGAGGGTGGAGGCAGGTGTGGGTGCTTTACCTATCCCACTCACATTTTTGATGTTGTTGGTACCGGGAGTTGAACCGGCGATCTTCCGATCACATGCCCACATTCTCTAACCACTGCGCCACCACTCCCACTTCTATGAGTGATATAAAAGTATAATCATACATAAATAGAATAAAGCTGTTGGCGATGTCATCACTTCTACTGTACTGTAAGGGTCTTCTGTAGGTGAAAAGTGACTTTTTAATGACAACTTGAGTTGATTTGTGTCACAGCAGCTTTTCAGGTTATGAAAATTTCAGACTTCCAGATGATAATATAGGACTTACAAATGGTAGATGTTTATAAATACTACAGTTCTGTTTAGATCCTTTGTTTCCAGCCCACCACCTCAAAAACGCGTTCCCACATCTCATCGTGCTTTACACACCAAGCATTTCTTCACGTTCACACATGCCCTGACATCACTGACACTCACACAACCAAACAGCATGTCACAATGATTACAATAAAACACCAGTTCAGCTGGCTTTGAAGCATTTTTAGTGAACTTGGCAGTGTTTTGTAATTATTTTGTCCTTGTCAAGAATTTCATCAGTTATGTCATTTGAATGGTTGTTTTGAGACACAACATTGTGCCTGTATATTTTTGTTTATTACTGGTATATTGCATTTTTTGTTGATGTTGTTTTTTTCTTATACTGTTGGGCCCACCTGCTTTTTCCTGTTTGGCAGAACCTTATTAATTATTAATTGTTAATGGAAAAAATGTCAGTTAACGATAGTTTTGATTGTACACATTTTTGAAGTCTCACACAAATTAATTAAATCTGACATTTATCATCCATCCATCCATCCATCCATCCATCCATCCATTATCTTCCTCTTGTTCTGAAGTCGAGTCGCGGGGACAGCAGCTTGAGCAGGGAGGTCCAGACATCTTTTTCCACAGCCACCTCTTCCAGCTCTTCTGGGAGGACCCCAAGGTGTTCCCAGGCCATCTGAGATACTTAGTCTCTCCAGCGTGTCCTGGGTCTTTCCAGGGGTCTCCTCCCATTCGGACATGCCTGAAGCACCTCCCTAGGGAGGCGCCCAGGGAGCATCCTTACCAGATGCCCAAACCACCTCAACTGGCTCCTTTCGATGTGGAGGAGCAGTGGTTCTACTCTGAGTCTGTCCCGGATAACTGAACTTCTCACCCCGTCTCTAAGGGAGAGTCCAACTACCCTGTGGAGGAAACTCATTTCAACCACCTGTATTTGCAATCTCATTCTTTCGGTCACGACCCAGAGCTCATGACCATATGTGAGGGTAGGAACGCAGACTGACCGGTAAACAGAGAGCTTTATCTTATTGCTCAGCTCCCTTTTCACCACAATGGACCGGTACAGAATCCACAATACAACAGATGCTTCACCAATCCATCTGTGTATCTCACGCTCCTCTCTTCCCTTACTTGTGAACAAAACTCAGAGATACTTGAACTCCTTCACTTGAGGCAGAACCTCACCCTCGACCTGAAGAGAGCAATCCACCCTTTTCTGGTTGAGGATCATGGCCTCAGATTTGGAGGTGCTGATTCTCATCCCAGCCGCTTCACACTCGGCTGCGAACCGCTCCAGTGAGAGCTGAAGATCACGGCACGATGACACCAACAGGACCACATCATCTGCAAAGAGCAGAGATAGAACCCTGAGGCCACCAAACTGGAAACCCTCCGCTCCCTGGCTACACCGAGAAATTCTGTCCATGAAAGTTGTGAACAGAATCGGTGACAATGGGCAGCCGTGGCAGAGTCCAACTCCCACCCTGACGGGGTCCGACTCACTACCAACAATGCAAACCAAACTCTTGCACCGCTCGTAAAGGGACCGAACAGCCCGAAACAACGAACACCCAATCCCATATTCACGGAGCACCTCCCCACAGTGTACCTTGAGGAGCACGGTCAAAAGCCTTCTCCAAGTCCACAAAACAAATGTAGACTGGATGGACGAACTCCCATGACCCCTCGAGGACCCTAATGAGGGTAAAGAGCTGGTCCAGTGTTCCATGGCCAGGCATTGTTCCTCCTGGATCTGAGTTTCGACCAACACTGACACTTAATTTAACAAATTCAATACTGCATCTCCATCCTCTCCTCAAAGCAACAGAATGTAAAAAATAATTGTATGCAATGAACAGCACTTGCATTTTACTTGCCTTTTAAGTTTCTACAATGGTATTAAGAACCGATAACACAACGTTAAAAGAAGATCTGAACAAGAGAGAGTGAGAGAGAAAGAGATTTATACTTAAGCAGACAAGGATGTTCCATTTGACCTAACAAAACCAGTAGGGAGATTTTTATGACACAGGAGTGTGTCCAAACTGTGGCCCGAGGACCATTTGCAGCCCTTGGAATGATTTTGTGCGGCCCACAACTATAATTAAAAAATTGTATAATTTTGCAAGAGGTTGATGCAGACGTAGAACTTGTTTAGATTTAATGGTGATACTTTTAACATTTTTAGGCTTAACAGCAAAACAGATTGAAATAATCTTCTTAAAATATTCAATATTTAGTACAAATATTTAGCTAAAATTAATTAAATTTAATACGGTTCAGTTTATTTATACAGCACCAAATCACAAAAAGTTGTCTCAGGGCACTTTACATGACAGTAATCCCTTTAAACTACAACAAACCTTCACTGACCTAACAAAAAGTAAAATTTTGGATAATAATTTATAAAACTTGGCTAAATATAACAAGTGTTTTCAAAGAAAATAATTTCAGGTGATTTAATTATCGATAGGGAAAAATTGGACATTTTTGAAGAAATATAAAGTGGTATCATTAATATAATTGGTCAACTTTATTAGTGTATGAATCTGTTTTAGGGACTGCCAGCTGGACGGTTTTTCAGAACTATGATGACTCTTTTGGGCCGTCCATGGTCCAAACGGGTGATTGAAGTTCTACCCCCTTTTTTAAAGAGTAGTTACTTTAGGCTTTTATCTCTAAAAATTAATGAGAAAAATTAAAGAAAATAAATGATAGACCTCAAAAATCTAATAAATTAAATTCTTAAAATTAAAAAGGTCACTGTTTATGAGGCTCCTAATGTTCTGGATCTACAAGAATTTAAACTAAACGTTTAAGCTTTCTCGAAAATTAAAGCTATTGAGAGTTTAAAAGTGGGCGAGGGGGAGAAATCACACTTTAATATATTTTTGTCTTTTCTTAAATTCACATTTTTCTGGCCTGCAAGTCTTTTCATTCTAGACAGTTCAGGCCAATATGAAAATGTTGGACGCCCCTAAGAGAACAGCACGGCTGTACACAAAGAAGGAACACTTATTTGACACGTTATCACAGACAGCGAAAGATATTTTCAACAAGTAAGGCAGAACTGCTATATGAATATTAATAAAACTATATACAGTCAGTAATACAGAAAGTTCAAAAGCAGAAATGATATAAGAAAAGCTGAAGGGAAATTCCTGAACAAAGAATGAAAAGATTCGACTTTGGCTAAATATAGTAAACTGTAATATTTATCACTTGCACATGATACATACTTTTATTTAATTTTTGAAGTTTTGAATAAACTGGTAAAAGGTTTGATTTTTTTCCCCAAACAACTACACAATCCATCATACGTTTATGGCAGAGCTGATAAATGTTGACTATCATGTCCAGTATTCTGACTCATCCAGGCTAAGATTTACAACCTGAAGGTGACTGCCACACTTTGTCACTCTGTAATCAGCGTGATCAAAGCCTCAACACTCACGGGTGTGATGTTCTTGTTCCTATTCAGCCTGGTGGTGTCACAGCACAAGTTAGAAAACAGAAGGTGGGTGACTGATGAGGGTAGATGAAACCAATATGCAGCATGGAGAAGATGTTAAAGAAAATGGGAATTTCTAAAAAAAAAAAATTAACACAAATTTATCGAAGCATCTAAAACATGAGAAAGCACATAAGTGAAAACTCAACTTTAGTATTTTATTTATTTTATTTCATGGATATTTCTGAAAGTTAGACCTGATCATCTGGGCAATAACCACTAACGATGTAGATTAATAAAAAGAAAAAAGAAGAACAAAAAGCATTACCATACTTTGCCTGATATTGTAATATGCCTAACAAACAAAATGAGTCTTACCTGCCTGTTGTATTATTTTGTTATTGATCTGAAGGGTCCTGGATAACTTCATGACATCAAACCCAGCTGTACAACATGCTTCTTTCCACTGGAAAAATCGCTGCAGCCACAGCATCCACCGGTGCTTTCAGGGGTCTCAACAAAGACAGCACAGAGACCTCAAGTCATCCACTTTTTACACAATCCCCTGTAAACAAACCAAATGACATTCGCATCCTCGCAGAGACAGAAGCCTTATAGTCACCGTAATTACTCTAAATGAAAAATGTCCCTGAGGAATGCTGATGTGAACAGACTCTGATAGAAAGAAGGAAGTTGAGCCAGCCATGCGAGTGTTACTTGCCATGCTGTGTTGAATGGGCCACCCACACAAACCGTTAGTCTCAGCAAGAATTAAAAAAAAAAAAAGCATCACATCATCCAGGACAGCTGCTCTGGTCACAGGTAACAATTTACAAACAAAACCCAGTCGTAGAATGCTTTCCTTCTGTCCTCCTCAGTCAGCCTCTTGTGCAGGAAGTGAGCCATCTTGATGGAGAAGTGAAAACTGATGACTTTGGAAAATCTAATATTATGAGTTTCTTTCTTAGTTGCTTTAACTGTACATCTTATCTGGTTACAGCGGAGCTAAATCCAAAGCCCTGGCTCCTAAACACTTCTACATCGCAAGTAACAAATTTAGAAATCTAAAATATCTCACGAGTCTTTCTCTCCTCTATCATGTGGCACAAAACAAAGGCTAGGGAAAAAAGGAAACATTTTTATTCAACATATTATTTTACAAAAATGATAACATAAAACACAGTGTCATCTTTAAAAACAAAAAGAATTACAGATGAAATAGTGTTAAGCATTACCGTATTTTTCGATGTATAAGTTGCATCTTTTTATATAAATTTGCATGTCATGCGACTTATGGTCCGAAGCAACTAATATGTTTTTTCCCCCATATTTATAACCCAATTGTTGACTGAGATCTGACGATTTCATTCATTCTGATATGGAAAACATTGAACACTACCATTTTCAGCCACTAGAGGGTCCTCGACCAATTTGGCAAGCCAAGTGTCTCATTAATAGGTAAAAGTGGCTACAAACGAGACACTATGGGGCCCAAGAAGGGGTAGAGGCAGGGCAGCCGACTCGGGACTCAAAAGCCCCAGGCTCGATCCCCAGTCATTGCACATCTCGTGGTGTCTCTGAGCAGCACACCCCATCCCCAACTGCCCCCCCGGGTGTCCCCAACAGCCACTCACCGCACCCTCTGGGGGTGGACGGGCTAAATGAAGAGAAACAATTTTGCCATTGTATGGGACCATACGATGACTACACAACAAATTATTATGATTACTTGGTTCGTCTTGCTCCCGAACTCCTGGTGCAAACATCAAATTAGCTGCATTTTGTCGCACCGCGCAGGCGAAATACAGCTGATTTGACCATTAAAGTGCATTTATTAAGGAAAAGTTCAACTGAGACACACCCTTGCTATAATTTCAAGCAAACAAATAATTGTTTTTAAGTTTTAATCTTGTTAAATTCTTGTTAAAGTCCTCCCGTGCATGCTCCCGCGGCCGCCGTTTGGCAGCCAGTTGATTTTTGACACACCAGCCCACGTTTCCAGGTGGTAAGCGGTGATGCATAACAAACATGGCGCATCAGCGGTGATGTATAATAGATGCAATTTATACGGCGAAGCAACTTATGTTTATTTTTTTCACTTTATTAGACATATTTGGACTGATGCGACGTATACGGCGGTGCAACGTGTATGGCAGAAAGTGTGGTAATAATAATAAAAATAAACAACAGCCAGATAAATACAAAAAGTTTAAATATAGCAACAATGGAGGCACTCTATTTTAGTGGTTCCCCAAATCTTTAGCTTTCAATCCACAATAAAGTAATAAATTAATTAAAAGCTGCAGATACATAACCCTCCCATATGGTGCAAAAACACCAATAATAAGCCATTTAAGAAATATCCTCTAACCATTATATTATGTTTTATACATTTATAACTAGTGAATTCTTAATCATTGCAACAGAACAATTTAAACATCCCATTGGCAACTATCTTAAAATTGATTTAATTTCTATAGATCTTCTTAAGACCCTCCCCATGGTGTTTTACGACCCACAGTAAGGTCCCAACCCTAACTTTAGGAACCACTGCTCTATTTCACAGTTTAAATCTTTTCAAATGTGCAACAGCCAGTATGGTGAACAGTAAATTTTATCGCACGACATAGCCCTCACGTAGCCAATGACTCTGAGAGGCGTGAGGAATATAATCTATAATCTAAAAATAGAATTCTGTGAGACGTGAAGGAAATGAGAATGTGTAATTAAAAAGGCACAAAAAGAGCACATCTCATTAGTGAGAGCAGATAAAGTGTCATCATGGCACAAATGACTTGGAACAGGTTGATAAAGACATACAGCCCACTTGTGGTTAAAAGACGACATTGAATTCTGAGTTTACACTCAATTAAACTATATTTACAACAATGACAACAAAGCATTAAATGCATACTAAAGCGTATTGTAAAATTTGAGAAAAATTACACACTTGTTCTCACACAAGCCCAGTTGGATTAATCTGCTTGCGATCCTTCTCTGTACCCAACTTTACATTTGAAAACAGTCCTTAAATTTAATATAATATCACATTTAATTACAAAATGCCACATAGAAGGTTAGTGACTAAAATAGGCCACAATAACAATCTTTTGTAAACATTCAAGATGAATAAGGGCATGAGAAACAGATAAAAGGCTTCAAAACAGTTTTAAATGTCTACAGTGGGTTTATCCTTTGTGATTTGTCGGCTACCCATTGATCTCCGTCCCTCCAAGAGAAAGGCCAAAAAAACCACACAGCGTTGCCCTAATGACCTTTGTCGTCCTGAGCTCTCACGGTGTCTGAAATAAGTGGTTGTTCCCATGGCAACAGCATTGAACTGCTCAGTCAGGAGCCACACCTCCCAAAAGAGCGTCAGGGCGTTCATAACCATCATAACCACAACCCAGAACTCCTCCCCCAGAAATGTGAGCCACAGTGACACGCCGTGACCTCCTGCTGACATCTTGCTGTGCAGGTAAGTTATCCCGGAGACAATAAAAAGAAGGTGGGCAGCAGCCATAGAGAGGATGAAGATGAGGAAGAGTCTGTGGTTTCTCCGACCAACGCAGCGGTTGAGAAAAAGGCAGTGATGGTCGTAGTCTTTGATGCACACGTCACACAGCTTGCAGTGTTTTGTGCAGTCAGGCTGGAACAGCTATGAGGAGAACGATAAGGTCAGAAAAACAACTTTTGATGTAAACCCTTTTCAAAAAGCTTGCAATTACCTAATACACACAGTCAGTGGGAACATTTTACCTCACAGTGTGGACAAAACCTCTGAGGATTCTGGCTGTTCTCCACCAGGTCAGCAATACAGGAGAACCGAGGGTCTGCATCTGCCCTGTCCAGTGCACCAGGGTCCTGAGTCAGAACCTTGTAGAACAGACTGAGCAGTATGGACAAGTGGACCAACGAGACATGAGCCAAAGCACTGGTTGGCCACACACTTTCACAAAGTTAAGGATGAAGCAAACCTCATTTTGAATAACACAATATGCTTTACTGTGCTGTGCATGCATCTGCTTCAAAATCAGGTTCAAACTTAAACTAAGAGCTCACTTTAATGTCAGCATCATGTTTCAAAATATGTGTGGAAATGCCCAATAAGAAACTGAAAAATGTGTATTTTGCTTTAAATAAGTAGAACAACCCTTATCAATCTGGTTAGTTGAGAATGGGTCACTAACATGAAAGATAATAGAGACAAATTAACTGTTTTTTCCCCACAATGTAGCATTTTTTTACTCAAAAATCCAAATAATCTGGAAATCTGCATTTAGGAGACAATAATAGCCTGTATCAGATAGATTTTATTTTTAGCTTTTATTAGGTCCTCAGATTGCACCCCTTCTTAGAAAAGAATATTGTTTCTGGCTTCATAAACAAGTAAAAATTCTAACTCATAAAAAAAAAAACGGAGACATGTGTTGCTACAATTTTCCACAACATTATATTTTGCTGAAATGTTATTTGCAGTTTTAAGTAATTAACACAGTAACGTTCTAAATATTTTATTACCGTACTTTTCGTCGTATAAGTCACACCTTTTGCATAAATTTGCATACCCTGCGATTTACATGGTGAAGTGACTTATTTATGTTTTTTTCTCCATATTTATAATCCAATTTTTGGCTGAGATCTGATGATTTCATTCATTCTGACATGGAAAATATTGAACAATATAATTTTCAGCCGCTAGAGAGTCCTCGAGTAATATGGCAAGCCAAGTGTCTCATTAATAGGTAAAAGTGGCTATTAATGAAACACTTGGTTTGCCATACCAAGTCACCTTCGTCTCGCTCCGGAACTCCTGGAACAAACGTCAGAGCAGCTGCATTTCACCGCGCCGCCCAGGTGAAATGCAGCTGATTTGACCATTAAAGTGCATTTACTAAGGAAAAGTTCAACTGAGACACATCTTTACTATAATGTCGAGCAAACAAATAATTGTTTTTAGGCGGCTATCTTGTTAAATTTTTGAAGAAATGCACAGCGAGTCCTCCCTCTGCGCACTCCAGCAGCTGCAAATTGATTTTTGAAACGCAGCTGGTTTGACCATTAAAGTGCATTTATGTTAAACTGAGACACATCTTTGCTATTATTTCGAGCAAACAAATAATTATTTTTAAGTGTTAATCTTGTTAAATTCTTGTTAAAGTCCTCCCGTGCACGCTCCCGCGGCTGCCATAGATTTTTGTCACAACACTGGCCCACGTTTCCGGGTGGTCAGCAGTGACGCATAATAGATGCGACTTGTACGGCCAAGCGACTTATGTTTTTTCCACTTTATGAGTCATATGCGACTTATACGGCTGAGCAACATGTACGGCAGGAAGTACGGTATATAACAAAAAGTGATGATAAATAGCTACTGGCATAAAAGTTAAGAAGTCACTTCTTTTAAGGATATTAGGCAGCATTTTCCCATAGAAGCAGAGCAGGGAATGAAGGAAACCAGCTAGGAGTGTTCCCAAGTATATTGGGTTGGGTAACCTAAAAAAAATGTACAGTGAGTTATCTCATCTGACAAATGATTAGGGCTAATTAACTCATAAACAAACACATAATGCAGTTTGTAATCAAACCTTTGGTATGTGGTCATGCGGTGGTACTGTGTGAAAATGCTTCTGGCCAGCCAAGGGAAGAGGAAAGCACAGATGAGTACCCCATAACCTCCCAACATGGCTGCAACCAGCAGGATGGCAGCTCCACCCAGAGACGGAAAGAACAACGTCCAGTAGTACAGAACTTGTGAGAAATAACATCAAAATAAACACTTCACTGCTACAGTTTGATTACTAATATAACTGCTTTTTTAAAAATTGCCTGATTAATAAAAATGATATCTACCACGAGATTCTCTGGGCTTGTGATGTATCGGCTTATTAATGTACCAACTCAGTAATTTTGTAAGCTGCTGATGTCTAGAGGAAAAATGACAAATGTTAATCATCATCATAATCCCAAGAGCATTTTTTATTATAGAAAATTCTAACATATGGGATGTCTTAAAAACACTGAACGGGTGTTTTGACAAAGCATTCCGCAAGTCATTGTTTCTCTAAATACTGTCGAAGGCAGCAGATTCACCTGAACGTTTTTCCCTGTTGGCTGAGATCCAGCGGAGTGAGGCCGCTGTAGTTCTTCTGATGAAGCATCCTGCAGCCGGCTTTCTGCAGCAGAGTCCAGCACACCTCCACTCCACCTCGCTCTGCTGCGATGTGAAGCACTGTTGCTCCCTGCTGGTCAATTGCATCTACAGCACATCGCTGCACAAGGATGTAAAGTGAGCAGTTGCTTACAGATATCACATTTCTTCAAGCTGCTCTGAGCTGTGTTTCACACAGTAACTTGAACATTTTTCACTGTTTTCGTACACATGGCTTAAGAATTGTCTCATTATTGCTCGCTAACGAAAGGCAAAGACTGGCAAAAATGCTTTTGCTGATCTGAGCATGTCTGTCTGTTAACAAAATATGTCCCAAACCACTGGACACATTTTAATGAAGCTTACTTATGTAATCATTGCATTTACAAGGAAAACTGAACACAATTCAACTTAGCTGCACCAGCCAATTGACCTTAAAATATACAAAAATGGCAATAATTCACTCCATTTGATGTATAATAACTTAAAATTTAGTGTGGTTGTTGAGTGTTCCCCAACAGAAATTGTGAGCACTGACAGAATGTGCAAGATCAACCCAATTTAAAATGGCAATGGCAGCTAATCTACATTAGCCAACATAAAAATGGCTATAATGCTTAATTTACAGATACTGACACACAATTTAATGTGGTAGTAGCTGAGTCATTTACAACACACACTTTGAGTGTGACATCTTGCAATATCACATGAAATTGCACATAAACGTAATTTTAAGGTTAGACCAAAACAGCTAGAATGTCATCATTTTAACATGAAATGATCTTTGTCTAAAACTATTGCATGAAAGGCAGAGGTTGATATGCATTCCTTTGAGAACTGCTAGATATTTAATCATTCAAGTCATCAGTGAATAAATTCATGAGGATATACAAGTTTGGTAGGATTACTCTGTATTGTGTAACAATCTAATAAATATTACACTACACATCTTGTTTATTTACCTAAATAAAATAAAGTGCCCCAACAGTCATATATATAATATAATATAATATAATATAATATAATATAATATAATATAATATAATATATATATTTATTGCAGATTTATTGCAGGAATTTTAAATAAATTATACACCCAATTATGTTTTGACTTCAACAAACCAGAACCAATAAAGTTCCAAAGAAAGCATAAACTTGTGCATTCCCCATGTAATGCACCATTTTCTTTTCATTTTCTTTTTGCTTGATAATAACTGTCATTAAACAAGTCAATTCTTTTAAATCTAGAAAATAAATAACATGGATGCAGATCCACATAGATGTATAAATGAACTTCAGATTATTGTAATTGACCGAGATGTTTCACCTTATTGTTCAAAAACACAAACGGTTATAAAATGTCAACTAAAGTCTACTTTTTTTTTTTTTCAATAATCATCCTTATTGTAGCATCTATAACATTTTAATTTGACTTAATTAAAAAATGTTTTGATGGAGCTTAAAATTTCTAATAACACCTCTTTGTTGTTCTACAGTGAGCAAACAAAAATCAATTTCATACCTGGTCTCTGAGCAAATACTGAACCATGTCTATGTTGCCAGTGGACGCAGCCAGGTGAAGAGGCGTCACCTGGTACATGTCTGCATCCGAGAAGCGAAACATTCCTGTTTCCCACAAATAGTGCACTGCAATTCTTGGAAAGATATTCAGGATTTAGTGTATGCAGCACAAAAACCAACATATTGTGCTGTAATATTGTTTTCACTCACATGTTGCCCCCAGTAACAGCATGATGCATGGATGTTTTCCCCTGTAGGTCTATGAGGCGTAAATCTGCTCCATATTGCATCATTTTGTGTATGATGTAGATATTTCCTTGCCTGATGGTAAAACATATATACATACAAACACCCAGTGTCACCTAGAAAATCTAAATGTTCAACTTCTGCTCACCTGCAGGCGAAATGAAACGCTGTCTGCCCTGCATCACATGTCATGTTAGGGTCCGCTCCACTGCTGAGAAAGAAGTCCACCAGGGTGCGGTTTCCATGAAGGGCAGCGTAGTGGAGCGGGCTGAAACCTCCCCAGCCTGGATAAAGACATGCACATCACATGCTTGAAGATGCTGTTCTTCAAATGGAACCAAAGTTTCTGCAACTAACAAGTCGGGCATAAAAAAAAACAAACAAAAAAAAAAACAGTGTATCAGGTAGGAAACTCTGGAGCTGCTTCAGCTACATATGACTTGACCATCTTTTCATCACACAACCAGTACCAGACCAAAAAAGGGCAGAGTTGGGTTTCCTGTTGGCACTGTGACAATCATACAAGGAGGCACTGGGAATTCATCAGGTCCGCAAGTAACAAATGGATTGCAGCTTTTAAATGTAATATAGGTATTCCACACATATAACATGGGAATTAAAAGTTTATTATGGCATTTTGATTAATTTATTTCTTCAGGAAATACCATCAAGAGGTTAAACACTGCAGACAGGAGCAGGGGGAAGTGTGGCTTCCAGTTTCAGAAGCAAGACTTATTTAAATCGATAAAACCAAACTCTGTGCCTTATTATTTGACCTTACCTTTTTGTTTGAGCACTGATCGATCATTTTGCACGAAAAGTATACACTGTTCAACATCTCCTCTTTGAATACAATCAAATATGTCTCCACCATTACCGGAGCACACAGGGATCGGATGCATTATGATGAGTGCACAAAGACTGTCCTGTGGTATTTCCACCCAGAGAAACTGCAAGCAGGACAGCAATCAGCTTCTCTGACGAGGAGCTATAGCATCATGCAAACTGAGAAGGGAGATCGTCTTTCAGGGCAAGGAAACAGAACGGAAATCTTTGTGCTAAACTGATTGAGGCTGATCACGCCCTGGACCTCTGATTGGTTGGAGCAGGTCACATGACCTGTGATGTCGCCGTGGCAACAAAGCACGTGATCCCTCTAAAAAAAAAAAAAAAAAAAAACAAAACGATGACGTCTCATCACCTGCTATGTTATGCTAAATTAAAGATGTGTTTGTACTCGTTGTAAGCGCGTTCAAACTCAACTAAAAGTGAATTATCTTCCAGCAGGTTATTTAGAAACCATAATAAGTTAAAATAAGTACTTTAAGAGTCAAAACCTAATATGCGTGGTGTTTGAAATTCGTTAAGCTATTGGTAATTTGGTTATTCGTCACAAGGAGGAGTCAGGCTACACTAAAGCTATGTACATTGGAGGCGAACATCATCCTCTTAAAATTGGTAAATATGTTTTAGTTTGACCCTATAGTTTTAATTAACCGGACGCTGATAAAGGTTAATAAATAAATAAATAATACAGAATAAATAATGGCTTAAAAGGAAGCTTGAGAAAAAAGTATGTTATAAATTGGATATAGCACCCACCTGCCACGAGATGTCACTGTTTACCAACATAAATTCTGTTTAATGTTCATTCCACCACGTTTCAAAATTAGAGATTTTCTATAAAGTCCTACTGTAAATCTTCTTGAGTGTTTTCTTATTCTGGTAAAGTAAGCTGCTTACTTCAGTTTGAAATACCAGATTATTTCCAACGCTTAACACTTGTAAAGCTTTACATATTCATCTGCTAATACCTCACGCAAAGCAAGTTTTGTAGCAGAGTTAAGTTTTTTGAAGACAAATTTGTGGCTGAAAGTGCATCATGAAGTTGATGCACACTTGTCAACACAGTAAACTCGTCATTCCCTTTACTAGTCCGAATGTTTCAGCAGTAAACGATAAGCCACCATTTTCATAACAACAGTTTGTTTTCTTTGGTGAATCATGGGATCTTGTCAAGGCTGTTACAGCATGCCTGTAAAAAGAAAGCAACAACTCTGATGCTCTGGGAGGGCCCTATCCAACCAGCTAGACAACAGTTTTTCACTTCTGCTTCATGTAAGGAAGTAGGAAAGCACATGACCAGCCAGCTGACAAGTTACTCTGCTTGTTCAAAGTCTACTTGCTATGGATTAGTCGAGGCAGACAGTTTCACAAAAGGGGTCTACATAACATGCACTGCATGCCATATCTCAGCAGGTCTCTGCATGTCTTTTACCCCTGAAATGGGAACAGAAGCAGTTCTCTGGATTGTGTGGAATAACAACGCAGACAACAACCTTCTCTTGGAGCAGGAACTTCACTGATGGCTCTCACACGAGAACAGGTAAGATGATTCTTTTTAAAGGTCATGCTAAAAAGCAGGAAAACGGCTGCTGTTTAATTTATTTCCTGTTTAATATATACTTGACTGTATGCAAGGACACAAATATAAAGTGGGAAAATGAAAGGCATGTGTTTGCCACAAGTAATGTTTTGGGAGTCTTTACATTCAGTGGAAAGCCAAATCCCTTTCATTTTCTTTTACTGGCTCTGGCTAATCAAATTATCCCGCAGATCAAATTCTCTTCATGTGAATGTCTCCAAATGAAAACTGTGCAAAATTCTTTCCCTATAATGAGGAAACAGTGCTGTACAGTACTTAAATATGCAACATTCCTGTTTAGCAACAGGTCTCCTTAGCTTTTCAACGGCTCACTTTGAAAAACACAGATGTGTAAGACTAACATTAGTACAGATGCATGGGATTTTTTTTTTTCATGGTACAACTTTAAGAGAAATTTTTAAACATGCCTAAGTACTTTGCAACGATGACTACAGTTTACTCTTGTACCACAGTTTTCCCAGATGAAATATTACTTAAAGTACTTATTTTACATGAAGTCTAATACCTGCTGCACTATTAGTAACTACCTAAAAGACTAACTAAAGACTGGGTAAAGGACAATCTGAACCAGTGTTATGGAAACACGCATGTTAAAAGTTATTTAGAGTGGTGGATCTGAATTTAGAATGAAAGATCCTTAACTGAGTGTTAAGTACACCATGTTAAGTCCTCTCAAAGGTTAATACCCAAAATTTCACATGACTGCCAGTGATCAGCTCCTTTATGGTTCATGAACACGGTGTGTTCTGGGGAGGAGTGAAGAGTTTGATTTAGGACAGATTTATTTAGGGAAGTGAGACAGCCAAAGCAAACATGAGTAATCATGACTCCAAAGACTAAAAAAACTCATGATATCTAAAAAAAGAAAAATGAGTGTGACAAATTATTACTGTTTTCCTTCTAGGATCAAAATGTGACAAAAGACAGGATCAATAAGGAAACAGGAGAACTTAGTGCTTCAGGAGAGCTGAGCGTCTCTGTGGAATTGAAGACGGAGAATGTGGAGGGCTGCCGTGGGAATCCTGAACTCCTACAAGTGCTCCGAAAGAAAATACAGGAGCCGGGAATTCACACATACTTGAGCTGTGACGACGGAGTTTCTTGGGAGCAACGAGAAGAATTTCTATATAAAGTCCTGCCTCTCTATATCCAGGTATGGATCACCAGAAGAAGTGTACACATTTCTATATTTTTATTTTTGCAATGTAGGACTCAGCAAAATGAAATAAATAAATAAAACAAAAAGCAACTATGATCCATCAGAAGATCACGAAAGAATAATTTTAGACAGTGTTCTGATTTTGGCTTAACTTTAAAGAGATTAAGTGGACGCCTCGAGACCGTTATATCCTGAACCGCATGAACTAACAGTTAAAATACCACGGTGTTACAGTCACATGTTTGACCTTTAGCTCATCCCACCAGTAACTATCCCTGGGCTGAGCCTTTAAATTGTATCAGTAAATTTCTAGAACGCGCTTGTGAGACAGGGAGTTGCATCAGATTCATATCCTCAGCTGAAATGTCTGATTTGTAAAACGTATGCCCCATTGAGTCATAGTTATGAAGAAACCTCACATTTCTTTTTACCCAAACAAAACTGATTCTTTCTGTGTGCGTAATACCACTAACCAAACCTAAAGCTGCAGATGTAATCAGCCTTTGCTCTCTGTGCAGCTCCGTGTCTGTGCTGGTCTCATGACCAGAGATTTGACCTGAACTTAGAGCCCCACTTAAGAACAGCAAACTTAGTGAAATTCAGCATGTGGCTCTAAGAGAGTGAAAATTAAAACGACATCTGGTATTCAAGTTGGAGTATATTACCAACAAAAAAAAAGACAGTTTGATAAAATGTTAAGATTTGAGGCATTTTAAAAGAGTTGATGAGTTCGAAATGATCATCCTAATTTAAAATTTAAATGATTTCTGTATTTTATTTAATAGAAACCTTTATATATTCTTATTCTATCAAGTAGCCGTAAAACAAAATTGTAAAAAAAAAAATTTTTTAACTTTTTCACAAGGGGCTTTTTCCCCACACCAATCAGCCATAATAATATGACCACTATAGTACTAGTGGTACTATAATGATAGTACTTATTATTACAGTATATCAGTTATTACACCACTGTTTCAGTATTTAAATATGAGGTGACCTAATACACATCCTAATGAAAATAAGTGATTCATTTCAAGGTGTGTTACTTTTACACAACACTTACAGTCTCTTGCAACATTGCTTAAGATTACTCATACTAATGCAACATAAATTTGTTAAATCAAAAAAAAAACTCAGATAGTTTTTTTTTGTTGCACATCTTTTAAATCTGTTGTCCTTCTCAGGCTTTTTTGTTTTTCTATTTTGTGATAGTAACATGCCTATATTGGGCTTTTCGATTTCTTAGGCTTTTATTTCTTTTAGATACATTTTTACAAACCTTTCTTGTCTTTTAACAAATTAGCATGGATGCAAATTTTAAGCGCAGTCCACATATTTTAGGTAGGCCTGTAAAGATTTTGTCCTTTTAAGTTGTCATTGTGTGTGAAAGTTTCCTTGGTTTAGTTTATAGTATGAAGTTAAATCATATATATTTTTTCTCATTCTTCAACATATTCTTTATTCAGTCTTACTTTTTCAACAGCAGTTAGTCATGATTAATAACCTGCAACTACAATTAATCCTCAGAACATTTTAAAACACTAAATTCCTAATCGCAGTGGCTATATTTACATTTTTAATCCTTTTATCATGTGTTTACTTCAGAAAACCCATCGTGAATTAAAACTTATGTGCACCAGTTGCTTTTTTTCTTTTCTTTATACAATAATAGTAACAATCAATATATAAAAGAGTGGTTCTTAAGCCTGATTTGATGGTTCATGTCTTATTGCAGGTTTGTGAGGGTGGTGGCAGATTAGAAGATGTGGACATTAAGGGACTTGCAGCTCTCACTGCTGACACTGTCATCCATAATATCCACAGCAGAGTGGCAGGACGGCCCGCAGGTACAAACTGCAGCTTATCTCAGCAAATGCACTGCTGTTAATTTCATACAGAGGGACTTTCTACCTCCTCTGACCACTTCTGCTTTTTCTTTGTGCTCGTTTTTTTGTACTTTCCATTGAGATTTTACTTGTGGTGTAATTTACCTTCTGCGTGTTGTTAAAGATGGCAGCCAACTGTAAAACCTTCTAATCCCATCCAACCATTTTTGTAATTTCTATATTTTTTCAGTTATTCTGTCACTTTTTTTAACTTTATGCCCCACTCATATTTTTTTTGGTCTTTTTTTTTTAAATAAATTGTAAATAGTTACTTTTTTAAATAAATGCTTCTGTTTTTAAGCAATCTTAGATTTGGATCTTATATCTAGTAAAATTATGTTTGTAGCTGTTTACTGGTAGCACTTTTTTAAAATATTAGACCCTTAAAAGTTTGTACTACAGTAATTATTACTTTAATTTAGTGTATTTTTTGGCACAGATTGCTTTCATTAAATAACTTACTAAAACATTGAATATCTTAAAAATAGAAACTTGCATGAAAATTCTGCTTTACTGGAAATAAACATTCTCAGGGTTATTTAATTTTAGACTCAGCAGATGGTGAAAATGAACAGTTTTGCTATGTATTGTAACAGTCTTGCCGTCTTTCTCTTTTAATTTTACTTATCAACCTTTTCATCTGCCGTTGCAGTAAATCACTACATGTATTTTGTATTTACAGAGAAAGCCCGTGAAGAGGTGGTGCACTTCTTCAAGAGGCGGGATAACGACTCAAGCTGTTACACAGGCACAGGTTCTGGATGGCTGCTGTTAAAGTCTCTTTTGCTGCTCGCATCTGACACTTTGGTGAGTGATAGCTACCAAAAACACACAACTGTAATACAATCATATATTCAAAAATCAAATTGGAACAGCCTTGGCACATTTTAAATTCTACGTCTTGACTTTGCTTTCTGTGTTTCCAGGATGTGCTGTCTTGTACAAACTCAGGACTTCCTGCTGCTTTGGTGAAATGTCTCTACCTCCTGGTGTGTCTTCCAGCTACAACGGAAAGCACAACCACAGAGCAGACTTTTCAGGAGCCTCTAACACAGGTCAACAGCTATTAAATCCTTATTTCAAGGATACTATATCGTTCAGATGCAGCTTTTTTGTAACTATTTTGGCTTAATAGACATTTTATAAATATGTAAAAGATCTATAGATTTCAAAGTAGCAGCTAAAAATGACATAGATCGATCTGCTGATGTGTTTTCAGGTGGAGTATCAGGATTTTGCTAAACATTTTGTTAGATTTTAGAGTCTTACGGATACTGTTTATCTACTAGAAAAAATATTTTAAGGTTAGCCACTTGTCCTTTTGTCTTCCACTTGTACAGTTTTGTCTTCTTTTAAAGGACCCACTAAGATGTGGAAAGTTTCTGACTTATAGTTTGTTTTTTAAATCACCTTCTTAATGAAAAAAAAAATCAGTTTCTACTTATTAAATTACATTTTTAATGCTTTAATTATTGAAAAGTTTCTTAAGTAGCTTAAGCTAGAAATCCTTTGCTTTGAAAATAGGCAGGTAAAAAGAATGGATGAAAAAATAATCCCAAAACAATCAATGGCCTGGAAAACTTAAAAAAAAGACCTGAAAACCAGGAGAACCATTAAAACACATCAAAAAGTAGAATTAATTTTGACTCCTTTTATACAGTTTAAAAATAAACTACAGTTGACTCTAAATTTTTATAGTGTTGCATTTTACAATGTTTTTATTTACTTTATTGAATTTAGTAGACAGGGGTGCCCAAAGTGGGGCCAAGCTGTCCTCATTACTATATGAAAATTTCCTTTTTGAAGAATCAATGTGTTTACACTCAGTCATTCCAAGTTTAATGTTAGATGTAAAGTTGGCCCAATAACTACTGTAATGACGCTAGACAGCTGGAGTGACTAATTTGTACATACATTTTTAAAATTTTAATAATTTATATTTTATTTTGACAGACTTCATACTGTCTCTCAGCAGTTTCTTGCTGCTGAATAACATTTCCTTTGACAAAGCTGAGCATCATGTAGGTGGCCATCACACACCCTTCTTGAGCACCCCTCAATTTTAACTCAGCATCTCTGAAAAATTAAGAAACCATTAGGATTTTGTAAGGAAACAGTTTTCAAACCTTAGATTCACCAAAATATTGAATAAATGTTGAATAAATGACAACAGTCTCAAACGGGCCAGTAAACTCTATAATTTTTTGCATGAGTCACGCCACCTGTCAATCAATCCAGTATAAGCATGTCAGCAACTAACCAGTCAGCAACTGACCAGTCAGCGACTGACCAGTCAGCGACTGACCAGTCAACGACTGACCAGTCAGCGACCTCAATTTGTCCTGAAGTGAACGTCCCTTACCTGTAGAGCTGCAGCAGTGTTGCATTAAGAAAACCTTGCAGTCAGAGATTTTAATAATAACAGAGTTTACATGTTGTGTTTCATGTTAATCTACTGTAAAAAAAAAAAACTTTTTAAAATACATCAAAATGCAGGAAATGGCATCTACTTTATTCTAAATTCTCTGGGGGAGAACCCCCAGACCCCCCCCCCCCCCACACACACACACACACACACACCACCACCAACAACAACGCAGCAGGTTCTGTAATGTTCATTATACAGAATGGAAGGATAAATAAATGTATAATAAATAAATGGACTTTACTTAAAGAAGTATTTGTATTTCATATATTATATTATTGCATTTGGCCCGCAGCCCTCTGATAGATTTTTTATTTGACCCTTTCAGAGAAAAAGTTTGGGCACCCCTGCGATATAGACTTAGTATTTTCCTTATCTGTTCAAAAATGAAACTTAATCTAAACTTTTTCTTGCCATTTTTATAGATTTTTCTTCAGCTCTGCAAACAGCCAGCTAATGTGGAGATGCTGGTGGAGACTCAGGAACTGCAGTGCCTCATCATCGGACTCACGTCACTTTGGGACCAGACCAGCTCCAGCTGGAGACATCAGGCCTCATGCATTCTTAAAGCAGTCTCTGCTGTACCAACAATCAAAACTGTTCCAAGTTTGTTAGGTGAGGGAGCCAGTTCTAATGGAAATAACTAATATTTCTTTAAAGCTTACTGTCATTTACAAGTTTGTTTGGTGTAAAAAATGCTTTTTTTCTCAAACTATTAAGATTTTTTGAGGAAAAAATTGTGAGAAATTTATCTCCTAATAAAAGTAATAATATTTATTTCAAATTATATATTTTTTAATCATCTATAAACTATGTTATTATTGGAAATATGAGTCTTTTTTTTATTTTGACCTTACAGTATATGTCTTAAACCATTTTGTTTTTTTCATCAGGCAAAAACTGTGTGCGAATCTGCATCCAGAACCTGTTGCAAATCGATGCCAATGTGTCAGGATCGTTGTTAGCTGAGGTGGCTGTGGCTGTTTTTAGTTTTGTGAGAGACACTCATCACCACAGTCCAGCCCTCTTCACTGAGTTTGACACAAACAATGGCTACTTGGCCCTCGAGAACATCCTGAAACGGTGAGGCCACATGCTCTAATCTGAACAATGGAGTAAGTAAAGTTCAAACACAACAAAGATGAAGAAGTGCTTAGAGAAGACACACTTTGACTGCAAAGCTATAAGGAGTGAACTTTTGCCTTTTTCATTTTTGTTAAATAAAATGTAGAGAAATATTCTTGGAAATTAAGTATAATTTTGTGGAATGAAATAATACAAATAATTAATCTGCTCAGAGTCAGTATGGTGACATGTATTTATCTTAAAGTTGCCTTTGTTTTGTCTTAACACTGCAAGCTGTGAAGATGGTGTGCCCTTGGATCAGTTTCAGCCTGTGGAGGAACTGTTGAATCTTATTGCATCCTTCACTCTCCTCGGAAAATCTGAGCTGAAAGTGGCTCTTTGTGTCACCAATCCTCAGCCTCCAGGCTTTACGTTTGACCTGCCACTTAATGAAGGTAGGTTGAGTCTTTAGAAGTCCTTCTTTAATGTTTTTCTCCTGCTGACTCTACCATATTACCTCTGATCGTACCATGAGGATAAACTGAGAACCACTCCAGCCAAATGCACTCTCCAAACTATCTAATTAGTATCACTTGCATGGCTCAGCAAAGATGGACTCGGGAAGGGGAAGGCTTCCTCAAAGGGACCACACACTTCATACCTACTTTGCACTTTTGCCCTCATATAATCCTCCCAAACTAAACCTGCTTTCCCAGAGACTCCACCCTCCCACTCCCCATACTGCTGCCCCTCTGCAGTCCACAGCACCCCTCAAGTTAACAGGCAACTGAGGTGATTATGTCTGGGATGATGAAGTGGAGGCTCCCCTTCTAACTCTGTTAGGATGCCCCACATTCATTCACCACTGGCCTGCAGCAACCAGCCATCTATCACATATGCACACACACTTCAATCCAACACTCATAAATAGAGCATATATAATATACATGCACAGACGAACACACTCAACAGTCATCTATCACATTAAAGAGCAGCTTTGTTTCCAGTAGACAGACAAGACACTGTTTTGCTAACTTAATACGATTCTGATAAAGTTTTAGGTGTGAAAATGAATCTTATTACTAACCAGCTCTGTGTTTATTTCCAACAAATAAAAGTGTGTTTTGGCATTGGAAATCTAAGATTTCCTCTAAATATTTTGACAATGCAGCAAACAAACTCCATCACAGCAGGTTATGTTTCATTTTTTGCATCCGTGGATGTAAATCTGTTTGTTTTTATTCGATCAACGCACATATAACTCAGTTGACTACTGAAGCTGCATGTGCTGCGTTGTAAAAGTGACACTCTGTGTTTGACCTTGTCAGAGTAAAATCGCGTAAATCAAGTTTCAAAATATTATACCAACATTTGCGCATTTTATAATTGTTATAGATAGTTTTAAAAGAACAAAACCTTTTTAAAAAAGTTAAAGCTAATGGCACGTTTCTTTAACTCCCAGGTTTAACAGTGAAGAACCTTTCTGCCTTCCACCTGCTGCAGACGACTTTGCTACGTTCCCAGGATTGTCTCCTGTGCTGTCAGCTTATTCAAACCCTACAGAGAATATGGGAGAAGAACACAGCTAATTTCTTCCTCTTGGAGTGGACTGTCCAATCAATGGCCCAGCTAGCTGCCTGCGTGTGGTGTAAACCGCCACCTGTCCACAAACTCTTCTTTTCATTGCTAGAGATGGTATGATCTACAATCAGTGCGAGAAAGGTCACTGTGCTCGCCTTCTCTCTTTTTTTTTTCCAAGATCTGTTGTCAATGCTGGTTTACCTTGACAGGTGATATTTAAGCTTAACTACATTCCCCATGAGACCTTGCGTGCTCTTCTGGTTGTACTGAAGCAGAGCTGTGCGGGGACTTTGGCTGGTGGAGTCGGTGGGACAGAATTTAGTGTGGTGGCTCTCCAGTTCTTTTACAAGTAAGCAGTTTGTATTTGCCCTGATAGTTCAGATGTCGCTGCATAAAAATTATTTAGAAGAAAGGTATTGTCCATTCCAGTCAGGGTTTATGTTCTCTAAGTTTGAACAAGTTGGTCAATTTTAACAATGAAGTTTAACATTCCAGTTGAGGACCAATAAACAACTGGAAAGTGTGTTCGGTGTTTCCCTCTTGAGTAAAGTCTCCTGTATATGTTTTTGTCTGACTAGGATGATTGTGCAGAGTGCCATGCTAGCAGAGGTGCTAAGTGACTGTAAGTTACAAGAACTGCTGCTTGGAGAACTTCGCAGAAGAGCAAAGATCCTGAGGAAGGCTGGTGGAGCAGCTCCCGCTAAAATAAGTAAAAAATCAACACATTTTTTTCCTCTGACCTTTTGTCTATTCCTGATTATACAACAGCAAAGGGCAGACAAACTAATTGTAGTTAACCTAAAATTGATGTCAACCTTTGCACTTGCATACTAAACGTCTGATGGTGTGGCTAAACTTAATTTGCAAAAACAGCATAAATAAATAACTTTAATTCATTTTTTAAACGTTTTAATTCATTTTAGATTCCCAGCAGCTGCCTTGTGTGGAGGACAGTGAGAGACTTCTCACAGCCTGTATGCTTCAAGTTGTTTCATCCTTTACTTTACGTTCTATCAAAAATACAGGTAAACCAGTTTCCAGTTTTTTAATATACTGTATTAAAATGTTCATTATTTTTAATCTGTATATTAATTTTGTTTAAAAAAAAATTCACGTCTGTCCCAGTTTTGGTGCGAGATCTTGGAATGATTCCCTTCATAAAGATATTTTTGGATGATGATCAGTATCGAGGTCCCACTCTCTGCATTTTGGAGCAGCTAGCTGAAATTAACCCGGATGAATTCATGAGCACAGCTATCGGAGCCCTCTGCTCCTCCACACAGCAGGAACTTGGCTTAAAGCAGGATCTTTTGCAGGTACTTAAAATATGCATGCGCTGACAATCACAGAGAGCTGAACACACACACACACACCCACACACACACACACATACAAGTCCAGAAACACTTAGATATGCAATTTCCCTGTACATTCAATTCGAACAAATTGTAATGCACTTAAACCATGATAAGCTTGTGAATTTATTTTCTCAGCATGTGGGACTTTGATTACATTACAGACAAATGCAGATTGATTTGCTAAAACTGGTTTAGCTGTTAACTCCGGACCGATTTGATTAGGCCAGCAGCTCTGTGCTGTGGCCCTCTGAAGATTACCACTTCTATCAGATCAGTGAATGGGACAGAGATCTTATTAAAGCCTAACTGAGTTACACACCTACTGTATGTGTCCATTTTTATAGATGGCAGCAAGAGGAGCACTTACTTGTGCATGTTCTCCCTGCGTGCAAGTGTCTGCACTTGTGCCTGCATTCACGAGCCTGTGTGTGTATGTGTGTGCTCTTTGTGCTAACACGGTTATAGCAGGTGGCAATCAGATTGGCTACGACCTGGGCTGGCAAGTGTTGAGAGCCATTGTGATTACTCCAGTTTCAGTTAATCACATTTCACTCTACGTTCTGTCTCACACATTACCTACCTGATGGATTAGCTCTCTAAATTCAATAAAGCTAATGTAATTTTGTTCACCTCCAAAAACTAGTTACCAGAAATGATTTATGATTTATCTATATGTTTCATCTATTTTTCATGACATTGTTTTAATTGACTAGAAATATTTTTTACAAGCCAAGACTGAACAGTGCTTAGTGACTATCAGAGTCTATTTGCTAAAAAACAAAGAAATCAGAGTTTGTTACAATGTATGCATTTTGAGTGTATTTAAGCCAGCATCCTCAGTGTCTTGGTGGTTTGTCTCACTAGTCTGTGCTGAGGGTCCTGGAGAGCCCCAACAGTTGGGAAGCCTTTAGGAAGGCAGGAGGCTTCACTGGACTACTGTCTGTGGTTGTGGACATGGAAGGAGCACTGTGTAAGCCACCAAACGGAGAAGTGTGGAAGAATGTAGGACATCAGCAGCTGCTGGAACTCCTCCTCCTAGTGCTGCGCATCCTGGCTTTGGCTGTGCATCTGCACGATGTTAATGCACACCATTTTCAGGCTGGTGGCTTTTATGAAAGGCTGGCAGATGCTCTTCTCCACCTGGGCTGCTTCCACACTGAAGCCCTCGAGAGTGAAAAATGTGATGGAGGGAGGTACTCTGATCCCAGGACAGAAGATGAAAACCAGACTTCTAGAAAGAGCTTTTTCCAGTTTGTTGAGTTGGCAGAAGCTACCTGTTCCTCTAACTCACTGCAACCAAACTTGCCAGTCACCCTTCAGATGTGTATAAGACTGCTCTCCTACCTCGACGACTTCGCCTCAGGGACCTATACTCCTCAAAGTTTACAATCGGGGCAAGAGCCTGACAATGAGTATGATGAAGAAAAAAAGAAATTACATGGACCAGCAAGAAATGAAGGAGTAAATTCAGGACAGTTTCTGTCAGGATCAGGTCTCCAGTCTAACGAGGACAAAATCACTGCACCCAGTAGTCCCACAGTCAGCATAGAGTCTCAGTACAGGTAGGTATTTCCAATTGTTAGAAAATAAAATACACTGCTGTAATTCTGGTATATTAATAACATTTACTGTATTTATAAACAATGGTTTATTTATCATGTCATGAGTATTTACATATTTCTCTCTTTTTATAGTAGGTTCTCATTTGATCAGATTATTTTTCATCCAGGAGCCATTCGAGTTATTATGACTCTCCTTCCTCATGTGTTCAGTCCTGAAGACCCACAGGTATGTTGTCATAGTAGATGGAGTCCCAGTTGCTTTAGTTTATTGGCCTTATATACTTAAGACACAATCCTCATTAATTCATCTAATTTATACATCTCAGTTTTCCCTGAGCTGAAGTCATTATTGTGTTTTGAGATTTTGTTTAACTGCTTGTCCTTTTAGCGTGATTAACAATGATTTCAATTATTTCAATTATTTAGTTTTTTTCTATAAGTTATGATTTTTAAAAGTTGAAATTGTTTAATTTTTATTACCCCTTCAATAAGGAAAAGCGGAATAGTCATATTTTTTTCCCCTTTTGTCCAGCTCTCTATAGAAGTCCAGTTTTCAGTGGTGTTCCACATTCAGGCTATGGTCAAATCTGAGCGAAACCGCCAGATAATGTGCGAGGGGGGGCTGGTCTCCACTCTGCTGGCTCACTGTCGGAGCATGTTGCTATCTCCAAACCATCCGTTGCATCTACCTGTAACAAGAATTCTGGAGAAGCTCTCCTCCCAGGCCATCTCACATTCCGACTTTAGGTCAGCCATACTCAGTGTATGTTTTTTTTATGACAGTGAAAAATATTATGCATTTGACATTTATGTCTTACTTCTTGTCACTCAGAAAGTTCCTGTGTTTAAGGGGTCATCTCTTCTGCTTAGAGAATAAAACAACCAAGCAAAAGCAACCAGAGTTTAACCCAGCAGCAAGGACACCCGATTCAAACGGTTCTTGTTTCTTTTGCTATAAGTTAGCATTTCTGTTCTGTTATTTTAGATGAAAAGCCATTTACTCATTAAACTTAATTTGTGTTGTTCAAACCAGTTGAGAGCACAAAAGCAGATGCTGAATCTTCAAGAAAGGCGCTGAAAAGGACTTTCAGCTTGTTACAACCTACAACCTCTTTTGGGTATGCAATTCCAGTCCACCAGATTGTCAGTCTGGTGTCCATGACAGCACCACGCACATTCCGACCACACAGAGTCTCCTCCTCACCTGCATTTGTGGAGTTCGACATGAGTGAAAGTGGATATGGGTTAGTGTTTTAATATAGTTTCTGTGTAGACCTGCTGTAAAAAAAGTCTCCAAAAAAATTATATGAATACTGTTTTGTTTATTTCTATATTGAAAAACACAATCCAAAAGTATAAATTGTAAACTGTGCATTAAAATGGCATTTCAAATTTGCAGTAAGAACTACTGGTAAAAACACTTTGTTTTTTATTTCTTGACACTTTTTTTTTGTAGTTGCCTTTTCTTGCCCTCTTTGGCCACAGTTAAAGGAGTGACTGCTGATTCAATCTCAACTGGCGGAATCGGGGGAGGTAAGTGATAGGTCGTACCATTTACCTTTTCATTTTTCGGAATAAAATGTCAAATCTTTTTCTCTTGTGTTTTAGAATGCAGAGGTTTTCCACCCACAGCTGGGCTCTCATTTTCTTGCTGGTTCCAGATCAGCAGGTTCAGTTCAGCTTGTGATTCCCACCCAATCCGTCTGCTGACGGTGGTACGCCACATGTCCCGAACTGAACAACCGTACATCTGTTTGTCTATCTCATTCTCAGCCTGTGATGGCTGTCTTGTCATCTCCACAGAAGAAGAAGCATTCTCATATCTTGGTAAGAGAGATGAAAGTTGGTCTCTATTTACACTTTATGGGCTTCATGCAACATTTGTTTAGCTTGCTTGTTGTCAGATGTGTCATCCAGGGCTCATTATGGTCTGAAGTAGAACTGTACAGTAGTGAGATCATTAAATTATAGCACAACGTTGGCCTCATTTTTGACTGTTTGACAGATATGATGGATCCAGAAGTTTCCACTCCAACGTCTTTGCCTGCATCTCTAAGGCTTCGCTGCTCCAGCTTGCTGGTCCCTGGCCAGTGGCATCATTTGGTCGTTGTCATGGTGAAAGATGTAAAGAAAAGCTGTCTGACCACAGCCTATTTCAATGGCAAGGCAGTGGGAACAGGAAAGGTATAAGATGAAACATTTTCTACTGATCAAATTGTAACTTAAATGTAGAATAAAAAAAAAATCACATTATAAAACTTTAATTGTCCCATCAGATGAAATATATTCAGCCGTTCCCGGGTCAATGCGTCTCCATGGACCCCACAACTGTGATTGATGTGTATGGGCTGATAGGGACGCCAGCTCTGTGGAAGGAACATGCTGCTCTAGTGTGGAGAGTAGGTCCCTGTTACCTCTTTGAAGAGGCTTTGAGCTCAGAAGCTGTGGGTGTTGTTTACGCGCAAGGCACCTCATACATGGGCAACTTCCAGACCCTGCACAACACTGGTACGTTGCAAGATCTTGGTGAACGATTTCACAAGACATTTAAAACTTGTTTTTTGTTCATTTTCAAGTAATAATCAAGGTTAGGGTGCAGTCTGATTGGAATAGTGTTTTGCTTATTTCCAGAATCCAATAATGTTTTTCACTAAATTTTGAACAAATGCATATTTAATTATTTTTCAACAATACGTTGTTTTTAGGTTTATTTCTTTTGTAAAATACTATTGTAAACCAAGTAAGTTATTTTATACTCAGACATCGTTATGTATGCATGAGAAAATTGTAGTGCTGCAGATCATTCATTTATTTTTATATTTCTATTTATTTTTATTATTTTTGCAACATTTAAGTAACTCTTGTTTGTATCCAGATCCTGATCCAAATGCTGAGCCTGTCCCACTTAGGCTGGTTCCTGAAGAGAGGATATCATTTGGCATTAACGCTGCAGCTTCTTCCTTAACAACTGTGGTGCAGATCAGAGAGGATTACAATGAGGTGGATTGCAGACTGATTGCGAAAGAGGTCAGGGCAATGTGAAAACTTGTTGAGCAGATGTTTCTGTTGTTTTGGTACAAAGTGATAATTGTCTGTAATTACAGATGGCAATAGCATCTCGGGATAAATGCACACCTGTTTTTCTTGCTCATAACATCAGCCAGCACCTGAGTGGGACCGCTCGTACCATTGGAGCCGCCCTGATTGGACATTTTGGTAAACAAAATAGGATTCTAAAAAGTTATTTTGCACTGTACTGTTATGAGTGCTATTTTGAATCTGTGGGGCCTCTTCATTTTAGGTCAGCGAACGTTCATCCCAAGGTCTGCTTCCAATGGTTTTTTGTATGTTGGGGGGCCTGCAGTTGTTCTCAGCCTAATTGCAATGGCACCAGATGATGGTGCTATGTATGCTGCTGTTAAAGTTCTTCTTTCTGTGCTGGAGACCAACTCTGCGATGCAGCAGGAAATGAATCGCATCAACGGATACAAGGTTTTTCAGCTTGCATGCAGATTTGGACGCAGACAAAATAAAACAACACCATCTCACGGCTGTTAACTTTTTCAAATTTGCATAATTTATATTTTCTTTGTAGCTGCTAGCTTTCCTACTGAAGATGAAGAGCAGTCTTGTCAGCCATCGAACTCTACAGATGGCTCTGTGTCTTTCGAGTTCAGCAGAGTTGAGCTATGGTTCTGGTTGTTTACAGAACACCCCTGCTTTTCAAGCTCTGCTGTGTGACCTGGAGGTAAGCATCCCACGTTTGTCATAAATATTAAGCTGATCTAAAAGTTATTTATTTAGAGAATTATTTGTATCGTATTATGCTGTGTTCCAGGTCTGGAAAAATACATCAGACAATCTGGAGCTCTCAGTTCTGAACCATTTTGCTGAAAACCTGAAATCCTCAAGGTAATTTCCTCAATTAACAGCATGTGTCTGGATATCACAGGGTGTTTGGTAGTTCTAATCAAATTTATTGCTAAATTACACAGCCAACAAGTTATGGAACACAACAAAAAGGGTCTTGTTCTGAATTAAATAATTTATTGGCTGTTCTGTCAACACCCGCAGAAACCTATCATCAATATCACAACGATGTAGAACAGAAATAGTCAAGGGAACGTTCAACAGAATCAGTGAGGGAGGTTGAAGAGAGAACCGATTGTGTGTTGGATTGTTGAATTTGATTTTCTGTCTGTGGTATTGGATTGTGATTGATATCAGTGCTTTTTCTGCTTCACTCATTGCATTCTGAACAGTGACAGCAGGAATGCAGTGGTCATGCACAGTGTGGGCCTCCTACCGAAGCTGCTGTTCGAATTGTCTGATCCTTCTGTGACCGTTCAGAAGGTTGAGATTATTTCTTGCATCATCACATCCCTCCTGAAGGCTTACTTAAACCCTTTGGACATAAGCAGGTAAATTTAGGTAACAGACTATAAACGAACAAGTTCCTTTTTTTATATATATATTTTGTATTTTAAGTGATATTTTGTTTTCTAAATGTTTTTCATGTGCAAAGACTTGGGCTTTTCCTGGTTTACACGCTCCCTACTTTGAGTAATAAGATTGAAAGCAGTGAGATATTGGATGATTTTTCACAAGATATCCCAGGTAACAGTATAACTCAGACCCATGTCATACATTACATGTCTTATGTTGGACAGTTTGTTCTTATCCAGACTTGTTTTTGTTTTTTGTTTTTTATATTGTAGCTCAGAGTTTGGGTCCAGACAGTCTTATTTGGATCCGCAACAAGTTGCTATCTGTGTTGTGTGAAATCCTCACCTCGGACAGCCCAACTAGTCAGCAGAAGGCTGTATTTGAATCTCTTGGCAGTGATTGGTTCCTGCTCTTCCTTCAGGCTCACCTACACAGTTCAACTTTGAAACTGGGCCTTGTTCTGCTCACACAGTTTCTGTCGAGTCCAAACCACCAGAGCAGTTTCAGAGAAGGAGTGATTCCAGGATCACTTGTAGAGCACATTGAGGTGCCACTGGCTTTCATGGGTGCATACAATTTCATTTTCTCCACGTAGCACTTCACAGTTGCCATTTTGCTGGAAACAAAGTTATTTTATTTGTATTTTTGATTGTTAGTTCCTTTCAAACAAAAAAAAAAAACAATTATATTGATAAATTATTATGTGATTTCTAAATACATTTGATTAAAAGTAACAGTAATTGTAGTCATGTGATTCTGTTTCTTCATGTCTTTTTGACTCTATTCAAAATCAACTTCTGATTTTTTTGCCTTGTTACCAGGCAACCTTCGAGCCCATTCTTTGTCTCAGGAGTGTCTTAGCATGCCGTGTCCAGGATTTGATGTCCTCCAGGAGCTGTTAATTAAAAACACTCACCTGCCTCAGGTGTATGAAGCTCTAGCTGCTCTTCTGCTGGGGAAGAAGACTGGCCAAACTGTAGAGGGAAAGGTGAGTTACTGTTTACTGTTGTAAATCCTCCCCATTCTTTGTTGTATCGTAATGTTTTTATTCTTGCCAAAATAGGTCCATTTGGATGATGTCCTACAGTCGCTGATTGACAGCCAGTCAGAAGCTCCAGCTTCACAACTCTGTTTTGAAGCTGCTACAACACTACTGGAAATGATCAAAGTCGTCATCAATCAGGTTGAAAAAGTAAAATTATATTAAGATCCTCTCTATGCTTCTTGATCAAAATAAAAAAAATTGACAAATATGTTTTTAAAGCCTTTTTCCTCAGATAAGCACAAGTCAGGTGATGATGCATCATGGGATTCGAAGCTCCCAGCAAGTGTGATGCAGTTCCTCTGTCTCCTCCACAACCTCCGACCAAGAGATCCACTATGGGCATCACCCATGTTCCTGCATTCACTCGCTGGTGTTGTGTTTCCTGCAGAGTTTTCTGAGGTTTGTGTGTTTTGCTAGTTATACTGGTCCATCTTACAATTTCTTGCCTGTATAGTTTACTGTTTATAGTTTATAGTATACCAGTAATTGTTGGATTTTCTCACTTCCGTCAGGATATTAGTCGGCTCAACAGAATAAGTGAAAGTGAAGAAATCCTCAGCACTCAATCAAGGAGGAAACCAGTGCTGGACTTCATGCAAATTTTGCTAATGGACAGTCTTCTTAATGTGTCTGCACGCACCAACCCGCATCCTATGGTTCTGCTGTTGGAGGTAAGATTCATTCAACCTTTATTTATACAGATCACACTTGAGTGCAGTCAGTTGTCTATTGCATTTACTGTATTTGTTAGTCTACAGACCGCAATAACATAATCTAAATTCATGAAATACATAAAGCAGTTTTAGACCACAACAACAAAAAAACTCTTCAGTAAGCTCTAATTCTGCAAAACTCTTGTTTCTCCAGAAGGTGCCACTCTATGCTCATTTACTAAACAGAGCAAAGGAACAGTAAAATAATTATTCACCACCAGAAGTAAAGAATTTCCTCTCTCTAAACAAGCTTCACCTGCGTGCACTCAGCATCATTTTAGCATCTGAAATTAGACATGTTTTTTTAACTATGAGTTATGAAAATAAGAGCTGTCACACGTCAACATTTACAATAGTTAATTTTTATTTTTATGAATTTCAATATTTTAACTGCTGACCTGCTTTAATGTTATAGTTTTGTCCTGATGGAACATCGCTGGAACAGAGGAAGAGATTTCAGTCTGAGTTAGTGGAGCTGATTATGAACATCATCCACATACTCAGCAACCAGGATAACAACACCCATCTCAACTCACAAAGTAACAATTTACCTTCATAATTTTCATATATTTTAATTTGGACCCAACATAAAAAAGTGATTACTTTTTTATTTAACAGACTGCAAAAATCAAAGACCTGAAGGACAGATGGGCACACTGATGGGGAACGTGGTGCTTTTCAGTAAGACTTTGCTGCGGAAGCTTTATGGTGGATCATTCATTGGAGACTCGAAAATTTTCCTCGAGTTCTTTGCTGATCAGATTATGGTGGTAAGAAAAAAAATCATGCGTACATCCAAGAGTAATAAAGAAAAATATGTTTTCACCTAAAAAAGATCCTTTAAATTGTAAGCTAAAAGGAAAGTGCTCACTGGCAATTTTGAAAGTTTATTATTATGTTTAATTATTGGGACATGCTTATTGTTTAAATGTAACTCTCCTTACAGCGATCAGTCTCTAATAACTAGTTTGATTCATATTTCAAATGATAACAGATTTCTGCTGTATAATTTTAGGCTCTGGAGAATGGTCATACTCAGAAAGAGAAGACCGTTTCTGCCCTCTACTCGTGTGCCAATAAGGCCGTGCTTTGTTTCCTGTCTCAACCACGACATTCTCGAGAAGAAAAGGAAGGAGTCATCAGGGCGCTGCAAACCTTCATGGAGCACTGGGATGTTCTCATGGCAACTTACAATGCAAATGTGAACTTTATTACTTGCCTTCTTCATGGTCTGTTACTAATTCGCTCTGGCAGGTAATAGTATCATTAATCTTAGGCACTTACTCACTAATATGCCTTAACTTATCAAGCATAATTCATATAATCATGTTTTTTTTTTTTTGCAGCTACCTTGAAGGTTTTGGATGCATGGCAAAGAATGTGCACAACAGGAAGAATTCATCAAGCCCCTTACCTACCAGATATCCTGCATGCCTCAACAATGAAGCAGACATGACAGGTTTGAGGCCAAAGTTTATCAACTATTTAGTGGTATTTAACAGATGATACGGAAATATATGCTTGTGTATTTCAGATGATGAACAACTAGTGTCTTTAGCAGAAGCCTGTTGGTCAAAAGTAATATTAGAAAGGCAACAGATGCTTGAAGAAAGCTATAAAATGGAGATCTCAGTAAGCCATACAGCCAAGACAAAGCCTGTCAGCATGACTGACATCAGCCCTCTGTGGGAGGAGATGGCTCTCAAAACATGGCTGCTATACACAGGTCAGCACAAACTTCTTAATAATGCACATGGAAAAGATAGACTTTTGGTGTCTTGTTTTTGACATTTAGCATGTTTCTGCAGAGTCTGAGCAGAAGAAAATGGCAAGCAGATCTCAGAGGACATTTGATATGATTAGCGGCGCTCTTCGCTCTGTGCTGAACAAAGATCAAGAGTCATTAAAAGCAGAGGTAGGTACAAATTTGAGTTTGGTTTTTGCACACCTTTGTCTCCTTGGAGGATTGTGAGGCTGTTCTCCCGGGTGCCTCTGCATCCCAGAGGACTGTTCCAAACACTCAACCCAAAGTCACAAATGTGCTTGTTCTGTGGGCCGTCCAGCCCTGCGGGGGTGTTTATTTTCTTTAAATAGATTTGGATTATCACGGCCGATTGCCCCTGAGTGAGCTTTGTAATTGATATCTGTTAGGCCTATCTATGGGAACACTCGCCACAACCCACTGTTTGCTGCTGAAGGTTAAAGACGCATTTATTGTTGTTTTTTCCCCCGAAACACGTGGCCCACATCATTAGTTCCCCCACAACGCTTAAGACGTCGAGCCATCTGGAGCAGGGAGCAGGGACATATTACTCAGGCACACAGGCATGAAATTACAGCGTCTGTGTGTCTGTCTCATACTCACAAAAAGTGTATGCACGCTCTTGTTTGTGCGTGTTTTTTGCCCACAGAAATCATGCTGGCAATTACAGTGGTACCAATCTGATGAAAACATTATTCATTTGATGTTATTTTTTATCATATCAGTCCTTGACAGACTATCAGAGAAGGTGATGAATTGTTTTTCCATCTGAGATGTTGTGAAGATGACAGAGGGATGTTTACTCTCCTCTTCCTTGCTGTGTGTTGCTGCAAAATTGTTACTCCTATAGGGAACGTTTAAGTAAAATATTCCATTATGAATCTGCTATGGTCAGCCAGTCCACCTATTTTTATTTATTCAGTCTTGTGAAGAAAACCGAATCATGAAGTAATTTCTGAATCATCAACTTTGACTTTAATTTAGCAAATTATAAGTTTATGGGGAGTTTCTTTTAGAAAACTGGATCCATAGTAATACAAAACAGTTTCTTAATCTCGCATAACTACTTTTTTTTAAACGAAAATAAAAGTGTTGTACTGTACGTAGCAAACGATAATATAGAGACTGATAAGCAGACTGTGTCCTCTGTTAAGCTTCAGTGCAATTCTTCTGGAGATTTATTTCATCAGCGAATGCAGTTTCCATAATCATATCTGTGTCCTCATATTAGAAAGATAATTAACAGCACTAATGATCACGTTAAGTTCATTACACATTCACTGCCAGCTCAGAATGAAGTTGACATTATGTTGCCTTATCATCAAAGGTGGCGTATTGTTGGGAAGTCATTAAAATGGAAATGAGTGTGATGTTCTGATGTTAATTGCAGAGGAAAGAGATGAGTTATGTATTTAATGCAGCATTTAAAAAGCCAATGAGGTTCCTATCTGCTAAATAGGGTAATTAATGCTATATATTACTTATGTTTGTCCAAATGAAGGAATGAAATTAGAGACGATGACGCCAACTTGCTGTTTGTTTGTGACAATATTGCTCTGGTTTGCAAACTTCTTTATTCCTCTCTTTTCTGTTTCTATAATATTTCTATAATCTCCCCTCAGATTCCTCCCTTAATTCTTTTTCTGCACAACTCATTTGGATAGGCATTCAGTTGTTTAGGGAAACTGTTTTCATTCTCCGAAGGGCTTGTCACTTTGTTGTCAACTGTTACAAAAATGCATTTACTCTGCAATTTTTTTTCCTCCAATTTTTGCATCTCGCCTTATGCAGAAGTGCTGTTGTCTTTTTATTGCACATTTTATCAATTATTCCTTTTATGGCTTTATACAACAGAACACAAAATTAGCATCTGTAAATAAAACTCGATATAAAGAGTTACTGCATGTTCACTCACTCAATTAAATGACTTTCCTGGGTCAGCTGTGAAGATGGACACATGTTGTTTCACTAGTCTCTCAGCGAGCACTGCTGTGATGATGCGTTTAATGAAGCAGTTAACAGTCAGAATATGATCCCAGTGTGTCTGAACATGAGCGTTGTGCAGTGTCAACATGGATCGGGTTTAGATATTTCATTTCTCCCCCTTTTCAGTCGATGAAAGCAACAAACAAACACTGGCTTACACACAGTAAAGGTGTACACACAAACTAAACTTGCCCTTGACTGTGGTGTGGCTCAGTAATATTAATGTTTATGTTAATTAGATCACACCAACAAATGATTACATTTGCAGACAGGGTTATTGTAAGACTGTAGCCACTAGCTTATTTTGCCCAGTGAATGCAATTTGAAACAGATGTAATTGCATGAATGCATTGTAATTGCATGAAGAAACAACAATACCATTATGCATATAAAATTTATGCATATAAAATCTTTGTAAGCATGAAGCCTGTGTGTGTGTGTGTGCCTACAATATGAACCCGGAAGAGTGATTGTGCTATCCCTCTTTTTATTAGCAGCCATTTTCATTCTTGTTTCTTTGCAGGAGTTTCTGTCTTACATGGAGTCACATCGGCAGAGAGGCCACAGCATGTTCGAGAATATGAGAACAAATCACATACAGGTTTGACTACTCAGATGCGTTTTATCAACAGGCAAAATGGAATTGGTTTTAATGTCTTTGTCTCAACTGTTCTCTGAGGCTCGGTTTGTATTTATGTCTCAGTTGCAAATCACTGAGTTGGAGCGTGTGAGTTCCCAGTGGCTACGTGTCGAGGCTGAGCTGCTGAGGGAAAGAGCTGTGTTTGGTCCTGGCCCTGGGGTGATGTTGGGACGAGACTGGGTGCAAAACTCTGCTGAAGGACCCAATCGGACCAAACTACGCATCCGCAGAAAATCCCTGCGGCATTCCAAATCGGTATAGAATTTTGGTTAACGTAGTGTTTGTGTTGAATGTACTACTAGGGTTTTTATTTACTACATGTAGACTATAAAATACATTATCTAAAGCCGTTTCTGTTCTGTATCTGTTCCCAGTGGGTTTGACCCGTCAATGTTTTATTGGGCATTTTACGCTAAACAGAAACAAAATTATCCAAAATAAATCAATAAAAATTAAATGTCGTGCTTAGGAAGTTGTGAAATTATTGAGACTTCAAATTTACCATAGAAAAATGCTAACCATTTTAAAATTTATATTTGGATTTGCTTTAACGTTTCTTTAATTTCTGAAACTTGAAGGCTTATAACATCTGAAAGCACATCTGGCCTTTTACAGTGACATTTGTTTTTGCAACAGATTCTTGGAATGCTATGTTTAAAATCTGAAGAGAGCAAAGGTAGTACAGAGGGAGATACTGGTAAGTTTTTCCTCATTAGAAACACATGAATTATTGTTTTGTTACTTCAGAAAAAGCAATTAACTGTACACCTGAAGACACTACCAGTCTGCAGCTTCACCTTTAGATGTCACTAAATCCTGAACATTGTTTTATTTAATGCACAATTTCTGTGTTGGATGCTTAGTTAGCAAAATATTTGTCTATATATCAGAGCCGAGGCTTTTGTGCGAAATTGGTGGCGAGGTTAAAGAGGACGAAGCAGAGAGAGGACAGGACTGTGACCGGCTGACATTCTTCCCTGTACTGAACGAGACACCATCAGTCACTGAGGTTCTGCCTGACTCTTTCACCCCTGAACTCTGCTCCCACACTCAGAACTGTCCTGACATGCGCATCATCCTGCAGGAGCTACTCCCCGGAGAGAAGGTACTGTATCACAGGATGCTGTTTGGATACGTCTTGCTGAAAATAAAACATCTAAATACAAGTCCAACTGCTTCCCATCCTGCTAATAATTTGATTCATTCTGTAATCATCTGATGCAGACTAAGAGATTCCAATAGCCCAGTGCTACTATCAAAATTTTATCTTTCCTCATTAGTTTAATATTTTAACGGTGAGGCGCAGCAGAGCTCTCTTCATTGTTACAGTGAGTTAAAAACCACGCACATGTTGACAAGGCCTCTCATCGCTCCGGCAACCAGCCGCGGCTTTTAATGTTTCTGACAGAAGTATTAATAAAAGCAGTAGGAGGTGATGCAAGCTGTCTTACATCCGCTTAGCAAGTGTGTGATGTGTGCTAGTGTGTCCTATTGTCTTGTAGTGGTTCAGTGCACGACTCCTGCTGAGCTTCCTGTCAAATGAACACAGTCATTAGCTCTGAAAAATGCACACACTCGCAGGCTAACACTCACACAAAGGGAGATCCACTCATAATTAGCTTGCCAGCGCCAATAGTGTGATTATGACAATAATGTGTTTGGGGAGAAATCAATGGTCTGACATTAGGCTTTCAGTCAATAAAAGTCCTCCTTTTCTCTCGTCCTTCCCATCTTCAGCTAAATCACTGTCAAACTGATAACTCTTATCTGTCTGGACCACAGTAAAGAGATAAGGAAACAAGTTTATTGTTATGTATTTAATTTTTGACAACGATAAAGTCAACTAGTTTAATCCAGTCATTTGTGGCGGCAGTTTGTGCTCACTGATGCCAGTTGCTCAGAAGTGGATGCAGCTGAGACTCACTCACCTTGACTCGCCTTAAACACCTTCACATGATAACTGATACTATCCATCATAGTGTGTTGCTGTGTTTGCTTTAAGACAAGAGATTCTGATCACTTATCAGGTTTGCTGTTGTGTGTGTGGCAGTGATTAATTCTCCTAATAACGGCCAGGCAAGACCTCCTTGTCCACCAAGTGTGTGACTGCATGTGCCTGGGTGTAGGGACTTTGATTTGATTAGTATAAATTGTGAGAGGCCTGCGGGTATATAAGGGCCCCATATGGTTTTTAGTGGTTGTGTCCCATGGGAGCCAGCACAGGGCGATGGCCAGGTGCATGTGTTTGTGGTGAAATGAAGAGGGAAAATAGAATTATCCACACATTATCACAATGCAGTTAGCATTAGCTACAGCCGATGCTAAAATCAGCATGCGGATTCATTTTAGTGCAGGAAGAAATGCTGTCGTTGCTGCTGAAAAGGGGCCAGGCCTTCTCCTCCCCATCAATCAACCCCGATAATGAAGTGTTCAACTGTGTCTTTATAATAGTGATTATAATATGTGATTAAAATGATCATTCAAGTAAAGCATATCTGCCATGTCATGTCCTGAGAGAGGAACAAGCTCATGTGAATCGCGATTCTCATTTGGGGCTAAAATCTGTTTGTCTCTGCAGATAACGGCAAAGATGTGTGTGGTGATGGTGAGTGGCCTCAGAGTGACTGAAGGCTTGCTGCTCTTTGGGATTGAGAGTCTGCTCTTGTGTGAGGGGTTCACTCTCAGTTCGAATGGAGATGTTTGTTGCAGGAGACACCACCCAAGCAGGTACAGTAATTCAGTGCGTGCTGCTGTCACTGCAAACACTATAATGTATATTACTGCTCAATTATGTTGGATACTAATCATCATCTGTGTCCCTTTTTTCTAGTGTGCGAGATCCCTTTATTTCCAACATGCTGAATAAAGAGCTGCCATCAGCTTCTTGCAGACGCTGGCTCTATGAGGAAATAAAGGAGGGGCGCTTTATGCGATTTCTTTTAGAGGTCAGACAGCAAAACAATTCCTGTCATACCTTGTTTTTCAGATCGCACTATTTTCATGTAATTTCATATTTATTGGTGTTTTTATGTAAAACATCCATCCATCCATCCATCCATCCATTATCTTTACCTGCTTCTTCCTTTTTGGGTTGCGGAGTTCACTGGTGTCCATGTCACAGGGCCACATAGAAACAAGTGAGACAAACAACCATTCACTCTCTCACTCACACCTAGAGTTACCAATCAGCCTAACATGCATGTTTTGGTCTGTGGGAGGAAACCGGAGTACACGGAGAAAACCCACGCATGCACGGAGAGAACATGCAAACTCCACACAGATAGGTCCCCGGCCCGGGATTGGAACCAGGACAACCTGCTTGCTGAGAGGCGGCAGCTCTACCAACTGTGCCACCGTGCTGCCCTAAAACATACATTTAAAAATTTTTTAAAAATCTGAATATTTTAAGCAATACAAAAAATACTTGAGACTTTTTATGTATATTTTATGTTTATTTTTCTTTAACAGCATCAAATTAAAAGAGAAAAAGACTTGCTCTGTGTGCATACATACACACACACACACACACACACACACACACACATATATATATATATATATATATGTATATCATCACCCTGTGACTTCATTTATCATGGTGTCAGTTTATAGCCAATAACAGAGACTTCAAAATAAATGCCAAAGCCAACCTGAACAGAACATTAACAAGAAAATTCCATTTCCACAAACATCGTAAACAGTCAGAAACATTGCACATATAATTTCCACAAGGATATCCAGCATGCTTTGCATCTTCTCTCTATTACTTTGCAGGGAGTTCTGAAAACTGATCATATCAGTGTGCAATCGCCTGCGAGCTGGACAACTGCTCAACAATTTAACAACAGACATTACTGGGGGAATATTGACTGTGACACACAGCATCTTTTTAGTTAGTTTTAAAAAATAGTTGACCACAAATAGAATCAAGTGAGTTAATTCAACGTAGTAAATGATATGAAGAAGACGTTGGAGACACACACATCGCACTCTCTTTCAGCCCAGCTGAGTTCTGCTCCGCCTCTTCTGGTTCTGCTCAAAGCTCACATCTGAGTGGGACGTGAATGCTTCACCTGTTGTTTATGAACCATTTGAGGAAGAACTGGTCTGTGCAGCCATTTCATTGTAAATGAGAATTGGCTCTTAATGGGTCTTACTGGACCCACCTGGAACAGCAACATGTTGGTCATTTGGAATACAGCAAATATGATCAACATTTTTTATTTTATTTAGAAATGCGTAAAGATTTAGAAAGTCAGATATGGCACAGTAATATTTGTATTAAATAGGAGGCATAATATAATGTTTGTTTTATTATTGTTTTGCATTAGAATAGCACTACTTTTATTGCAAGGAAATAAAATTAATTACAATTAAGGTAACTGTCAATTGCAAAATTTTGTTCATGGTGCACTGTGCAATTTTGAATGACAAAAAAGTTTTATGTTATTATTAATTTTTTGAATTACACTTTTAGCTTATGTTTATTGCATTTATGAATCAATGCAGCAAAATAATCCAATTTAAAAGTTAACAGATCATTGTAATATTTTGTTTATTTACATAATGACTTTAATTGTTGGATGTCCACCCTATGAGCTGGTGGCTTTTAGTAACTGTGGCCCCTTGAGCAATTTAGTTGAATAGCCCTGCCATCTCTCTAGGCTTGCTCATAAAGTAGCATTCTAACAGTATTAAGTACTCTGCCCATGTCAATGCATGTCATTCCAGTAGCCCATCTCAGTAGCCCGTTTTTATCATCTAATTTTATGATATTTGGAAGAACGAAAAACAATCACATGTATCAGAACCTCTACATGTAAATCCTCAGACTCGTCTTTTTTCTCTCTCTCTCAAAAAAATGTCAATTACCAAAGCATGTTTTTTTCATTGTTGAAGAATGTATGTTTTATGCTGTAGTTTTGTTCATTGAATTACAGAGTTTTAGTCATTTTGTTTCACGTGGAAAAAGATTTTCTTGATTAAAAAAAAAATCATATACAGCTCTCTTGGGCTTTTCAAGTTTCTACAACAAATCATATTTTAATATTTTGATACATGCTCAATAATCCAGGTAGAAAAATCTAAAAAAGTTAAGTCTGGTCCTCTGGACATTCAAAAAACAAAACACAATAAAAAAGAATGTAGAAATGTTTTGTCTTTCATCCGAATAACATCTGCATGTTTTGCCTTAATTCTCAATTTTGATTATGATTTTAAAAAACTATTTTTAGTTCCAAGTTTAAAATTGATTTATATCATATCTACCCTAAGTCCATAAAATGTCACTGTCTCTCTCTGCTGATTTAGAACAATTCTATTGAGATCTTCATGAAAAACGGACACTCAGCATTCTTGGTATTCCTGAATCAGGACCATGTGTCGGCATATAAAAGGTACCGAATGAAGATATGCTGTTTGTTAAAAAGATTATTTTCATCATTCTGTCTTTTACCTTTGTCCCCTCTTCTTCCTTTAGGTTAAGCATTGTTGTACCAGCATTAAAAGGCAGAGCAGTCACTGAAGTCATTGCTAATGCTAAGTAAGTGTCTTTTTTGTTGTTGTTTGTTAACGTTATATTTAGGCAATTCCCTTATTTATAATAAGTACATGAAAAGATCATTGTAAATTGTGTTGCTTCTAGTATTTTATATTCATATTTTCATAAACCAGAACTAACAGATTTTTGGTCATTTGATTTTCTTGTTTTTCACCTTGTCTTTCACTCTCCACACATCCTGAGTGACTGAGGCCACTGAGTTAGGAGTCAACAATCCAGAAAAGGCTTTTTTCTTTTTCACATGAAACACAGTACTGCCATCACCTCTTCCTCTCATTGTAATCCTTTCCCTTTGGGCTTTACATTTCTGAAGGCATGTCTGACACAGGCTGCTTTCATGGATCAAGTACACTTCTTCTTTGGGTTCGGCCATTTTCTTCTTCATCCTCTCATTTTTTTCCTTAACATGCGTGAGAGGATTACGTGTCACATTCAACTTAGTAAGTTTGCGTAGGATTTTCACAAAGTCGGGCAACTTGACAAAAAGGTTATCAAACAGAGCTAACTCTTGAAGATCAACTAAACGCTCCATGGTGGGAGGCAAGGCATCCAGCTGGTTCATTCCAAGATTGAGACTCTTCAGGTTGGAGAGAGAACCCAGTGAGGAGGGTAAGCTTGCAGAAGTTAGGTAGTTATTTGCAAGGTTTAGGTGGGTCAGTCCCACCAGGTTGCCAATGGACTCAGGCACAGACTCTAGCTTGTTACTATGCAGATCTAGCCATCTGAGTGATGAGAAGTCACCGATGTTATCAGGAAGCTTCTGTATCTGGTTGCGACTAAGGTCCAGTTCATCCACATTGGTCAGCTTGAAAAGACACTTTGGGAATATGGTTAAACCCATGTTACTAAGGATGAGTCTACGCCTTCCGTCCCGGGTAATTTGTATAGCATTTTTTGCTGCCTTGAGGGTCAACTTTGTCCCTTTTGCTTCTTTTCCTTTGGGCATCGTACTGCAATAAATAGAGAATTACTCAACAGTTCAGTTAAACATGTCAGCTCAGCCTCCCTTTGTTGACTTCTGATTTATAAAATGTATTTTATCCACACCGTCACACAGTACTCAAGGAAATAAATGTGTTGGGTGTTTGTTTATGGGTAAATATGCGCGTGTATAGCTGATGGGATTTATTCCAATACAATAGCTTGTGTATGTCCTGGGGCAGTGGGGAAAGCATGCACTCAGAGGAATGAGAACAACGTGTGTGTATGTTGCAGTGTTGTGTCTGCACTGGTGCATGCTCACCCTGTGTTGCCCATGGGGGTATTTAAGAGCACGACTCTCTAATTAAGGCTAATGCTCAGGAACAATAGGAGTGAGGCGACACAGCGAAACACCAGTGTTCATTCTCTCTCACTTTCTACTGATTAAGTTGTTTGGCAAGAAAATATGTGTGTGTGGGTCCTTTACATGCAAGTGCGTTGACAGACATGGATGCGCCGTAATATGTCTTGAATGTGTGTGTTTGTGTGTGTGTGCACGAAGAGTCAAATCAGGACTTTGATAAATGATAGTTGGGGAGTGTTTGGAGTGTAATGAGGGCTTTGCTCTTCTCCCCTCCCTGTCTAAAAGAGCAAGGTGTGTTTTTGTTTGTGTCTATGTTACACCCCAAGGCCCTCTCTCGCCTCATTCATCATCCTCAGGATGAGAGAGGTTATCTACTGGTGCTTGTTCCTATTATAACCTCCTATAGGAAACTATTGCATGAAATTATTGCCTGCAATTAGATAACACATACCAAGCCAAATGCAATGATTGATTTAGTGTGGTTTCACAAAAAATTATAGTCGGGAATCTATTGATGTTATAAAATGCCTACCCCTGATTTAGATCCTCATAATTTGACCAAAATCCTTTCATGCATCCTTTTTTCCCACATTTTAACTGACATTTTGAAACTTTTATCAGTATTTTAGAGGAAATTGTACTTACTCTGTTTTATCTTCTTATTTCACATTGATAAGCTTGATTAAACTTATTCCAGTTGTCGAGTTCAGTCCTGCAAAACGCTACAGAAAAAAAAAATCATAAATTTATTGATGTTTGATTTCAAAATAAAATAAAATTGAGTCTGCATGCAAAAACTCTACTTTTTCACCATTTGTGAACGTGTAGCCTTCCTTCACCCAAGTGAAACTCAAGGTTTCTCTTGTTTAACATTGTTACTTAGCAACTGGGGTGCAAAAATTTATTGCCCTGTTTTTGTGGCTCACAGAGGAAGTGGAGATTTTACAAGTGATCTTTTTTTTAATTTAGTTTAGTTTAACCACATTTGGATGGTTGCTCAAAAAGAAATAAAATCTAGCCATTACGTGTTGCCATTTGGTAATGTAATTGAAAACAACTTAATTTGATTGAACATTTTCTTTGTCTGCATTTTATTAAACACAAAGCTTTGTAATTGTGTAGACATATAACATTCATATCAACATTACAGATTTCTTGTATTTGAACAAATGTTCAACTAAAAAAACAGAAAATGGATAGATAGATCTTTATTCATACCCTTGATGGAAATTATTTAAAGCTTATTTTAGATATTAAACTATTACTTGCCTTAACCGTGAAGTGGGATTTTATTTAAACCTGTATTAGCATCTCTGTCTTAAATCATAGGTGAATGTAGAAAACATTTTGATTTCAACACTTTAGTTTCTCATGTCGACTCAACTTAAATTTGTATGTTTTAGCACAACCTACAGTGCATGTGGCACTAATCCACACTACAGCTTGTTATTTTTACGACAAATTACAACTCACCTCAATGCCTTACAGCTGTGTACATACAATCCCTGTTTCCTGAGTTTCTCACCTCCATTTTGCTCTTTCTGAACTCTAGGCCATGTTTCAGTTCAACTCCGGTTGCTAGGCAACGGACCAAGCAAATAAACTTTGCATTGTTGGCGCCACTCTGTGCTCAGCCTGTGTTGCTAATACGTGTTTGCTTTTATTGTGCTTCAGAAAGACTCCTGTGGTTGACAAAACAGCCCTTGCTAAATGGCAGGTAATGCAGTAAACACAGCTTTTTGCACAGTTTTGTCAGAACTGTTTGTGCTTACTGATTCAGTCATCCTTCCTTCACATTAACACTGAATGACTGACTTTTAAAATCACTGTTTAGGTCTTTGTTTTGCACTTTTATTGCTGTACTTTCATAGTTTTTTTTCTATGTATTTTACTGACCTCTAGAAAGGAGAGATGAGTAATTTTGAGTACTTAATGCATCTAAACACCATCGCTGGAAGGACATACAATGATTTGATGCAGTATCCGGTCTTCCCCTGGGTTCTGGCTGACTATCAGTCAGAGGTACACTCATGCACTTGGACATTATTCTCTTAGACTGTATTATTAAGTGTGTTCCAGTTAAAATAAATAATCTCAAACCTCGACAGATGCTTGATTTGTCAAATCCTGCAACTTTTCGTGACTTGTCCAAGCCAATGGGAGCTCAGACAGAGAAAAGAAAACAGATGTTCATTCAGAGATATGAGGAGGTGGAGAACAATGAGGGAGAAGGTATCTTACATCAATTTTTGTTAGTTTCACTGTTATATTTTATAATCCTTTTTTTTAAATTTACCCTGTTTTTGTCCTAATATATTTCTTACCTTGTAACAGACCTGTCAACACTTTGCCACTACTGTACCCACTACTCATCAGCCATCATTGTGGCCTCCTTCCTTGTAAGGATGGAGCCATTTTCACACACTTTCCAGACCCTTCAGGTAAGGTCACAGACAGAAGAAAATATATTTTAAAAAAAAGTACATTAACAGAAGATAAAAAAATCAATTAAAGTTTACATTTACTGTGACGAAATGACAGAGTTGTTCAAGTTTCAAGGAGACTTTATTGCCCTTCACATCACATGTGGTACATGAGGTGGAACAAAATTGTGTACTCAAGGTCCAGTTACACCCAAAAAAGCAAAATATATATATATATATATATATATATATATATATATATATATATATATATATATATATATATATATATATATATATATATATAAGGATCTAAGATACATACTAACAATAAAAATATTAATAAGGTGTAGTAAACCTCAACCTAAACAAGATTTCAGTTACTGACTTAATGACTTTTTAGGATGGACTGAATAATGACAAATCTTTATGACCCCCTCCTGATGTTTGAATGGTTTGCTATTAAGTACAAAACTAAGCAAACAGCTTACATTAAACAGACATACCGTCTCTAATAAAGATGAATAGCTTCACATCATATTGAAAAAAAATGCATTCAAGTATCAAATGTTTGTTTAACAAAAGAAAGAATGATAAAAAAAATTTTTTTCAAAATTATGATCAGATTAAGCTGAAAGTACAGCCATTGAGCCTTTAATCAATAAAAAACCTCTTAGATTACAGCTCTTTACAGAAAATGTGTTTTCTTTATATTTTATAAACTGCACTTGCTAAAGACTTCACTATCAAACTCACAAACTGTAAATAATAAAGACAAAGCATTTCATGTTGTGCACATTTTGTCTTAATTTATCTGAAAAAGTCAGTTTTATCAATCCAAACACCCTTTTAAACATAAGTCTCACACTTCTCATTGACATTCATCATACCTTTTTCTATTATTTTCAAACAAATTCATGCTAATAATATACATCTTATAGGAGGTATTTTCAAAACTCCACATTTTTGGATAAAAAAGTAGATTATAGACATTTTTAATATATATGCAAATAATTACAAACAATGCATAAAAGCCAGTGCAAATAGTCAGATATGCTACCCATTTACAACACAGCATCCAGTTGATTATAATGAAAAGGCATGCATATTTGATAGTCAGAATAAAGCAATAAAGATGTTCATCTGGTGAATTGGGATACCTTTTTGTCTTCTAAAGCACATAACGTGTGTGTGGTAATATCCATAACTGAGTTTACATCTCTAACCAAGTTTACTACCGTACACACTATTTTCATTTATTGAAGTAATTGTTTTACACTAAATTACATTCTCTCTCATGAGATTTCCATCAAAATTATGAAATTTTATATAAAAATGAAAAGTTCTTTTTTTACAGCAACAGATATTTCATTCTTGTATAACGCAGTAAACATGATTAAAAAAAATTGTTTTTGTGTAATGATCTGCATAGCAAATGAACATGCCTATTCATGCATCGGCCCACAGGGGGGGTTTGATATCCCTGAGCGGATGTTTTACAGCATTAAGAAGGAGTGGAACTCATCCTCCAGAGACAACATGGGAGACGTCCGAGAACTGATCCCAGAGTTCTTCTACCTGCCCGACTTCCTGCTCAACTCTAACAACATCCAGCTCGGTCAGGAACAAAACACTTCTGTGAATCTAAATTTAAAGCTGCAACTGTGAAAATCCTGATGATGTGTATGTAAACACACTTTAGCAAAATATAAGACTTGTTTAAAAAAAAAAAGCATTTTATTGAACTCATCCAGTAGCTTTTCTTAATTTCTCAAGATACTGGATATTTTTGCTCTAAACTGTTCTTTGTAAATCCATACTGATGCAGGTATGTTTGCCAAGCTTTTTTATTCTCTATAAAATGTGTATTTAGTCATAACCAGTTGTTTAGCCTTATATATCAGAGTTTGGGTTACATTACTGTCTTTAGTCTGGCGTATTTGACACATTGTGCAGTTTCTTGTTACGTACAACTCTGGAATGACGCAAAAGTTTATATTTATATCCTGATAAAGGCACTCCGTGTTCAGTTCATGACCACATTATATTATAGAACATGGTTGTTCTATACATTTATATTTATAGAATTTGGAAATAACTTCTACACTACATTCGTAAAAAGCTCAAATTATTATGCAAAGACAGGCTGATGTGAAAAACCCTTGTTAATTTCTTTGTTTAATGAGGTACCTGGCTCATTGAAAGAAAATATAATTTTAATTTAAGGACAATAAAACTGCAGGAACATTGGAGATAGATTTGATCAGAGAGTATGCTCTGCTGTTACATAGACATTAGATTGAGAACTTAACTGTTACATTTTAATAAAGACAAACAGGCAAGAGAGTACGATATAAAAAAACTTTCACATATATACATATACATATATATATATATATATATATATATATATATATAGGGCAGCACGGTGGCGCAACTGCTAGAGCTGCTCGCACAGTGATTGCTGGACATGGGCACCAGCGACCCCCGTGACCCAAAATGGAATAAGCGGGTAAAGATAATGGATGGATGGATGGATATATATATTTATATATATTTATATATATATATCAAATTGCAAGTAATTTTGTACTCTCCTTATTCACTTGATGTGACTCCTATTTTTGCGAGTCACATATTTTATATGCTGTAATTTCTGCTATGTAACTGTTGCCTATACTTCTTTGAAGTGAAGTGCATAGACCAGAACTACCCTTGACTCACCATTTGTTGTACAGTTTACTTACCCTATTTTCTGCCGTACATGTTGTACAGTCGTATATGTCGCATCAGTCCAAATATGTCTAATAAAGTGGGAAAAAATATAAATAAGTTGCTTAGTCATATAAGTTGCGTCTATTGTGTGTCACCGCTGACGTGTCACGTTTGTTACGCGTCACCGCTGACAATCCGGAAACGTGGGCCGGTGTTGAGCCAAAAATCGATTGGCTGCCAAATAGCGGCCGCGGTAGTGTGCATGGGAGGATTTTAACAAGAATTTAACAAGATTAATACTTAAAAACAATTATTTTGGTTGCTTGAATATATAAAGGTGTGTCTCAGTCTAACTTTTCCTAAATAAATGCACTTTAATGGTCAAATTAGTTGCATTTTGCCAGGGCAGCGCAGCAAAATGAAGCTGATTTGACGTTTGCTCTAGGCATGATCCCAGAGATGGATGAAGGTGCCAGCTATGGCAAGCCAACTGTGTCATTAATTGCCACTTTTACCTACACAATGGCATGCCATACTACTCAAGTGCCATGTAGCGGCTAAAAATGTTAGTATTCAATATTTTCTATGTCAGAATGAATGAAAGCGGTCATATCTCGGTCAAAAATTAGTTTATAAATATGGGGGGAAAAACAAACAAGTCGCTTTGGTATATAAATCACAGAGTTTGCAAATTAGGCAAAAAGGTGCGACTTATACGCCAGAAAATACAGTACTTCAGTTTTATAAAATCTCATTACATGTGATGATATCTCATTTGATTTAGATGAAAAATGACATGTTTACGTCACTGCATAACAAATTTAAATTTACAAATGATATGGAAAGCTCACGAGATATTGAGCAAAACTTTAAAAAAAATGAATCCAGACTTATTTTAGTTTTGGAAATTGTTTGATTTTATCAATTTACTGATTTTCTTTTTTAGTAATTTTAGCCTGGGCTCTTAGTGGGGCATAGTTAACATTGTAGTGACACTTTAGGCTTTAAGTTTAGGCTTCAAAACAATTTTCAAAGTTTTTTGCTTTTTAAAACGATCATTTCAGTTATGTAAATACCTGCTGACACCTGTTTTTTTTTTAAAATCTGTTTATACAACCTTTAAATAAGCCATCCATCCATTCATTACAGTCTTTAAAAATATTTTCTCTGTCAAAATGCTATGCAAATTTAGAGATGTAAATTTAAAACAAAATCAACATCAAGCCTATTTAAATACAATTTTCTATTGTTTACTCCTTCACTAGGTATTTTTCGAGCTGCATGTTTTACTGTCAACTTTCCATACAGTGATGTACTTTATTCATACCTTTTTAGGTTTCATGGAGGACAATACAGCTCTGGGAGATGTCGAGCTGCCTCCATGGGCGAAAGGTGACCCCCAGGAGTTCATTAGAATCCATCGAGAGGTCAGTCACACCTGACCTCGCCTGACCTGTCTGTTTCTATTGGCCTACCTGGTCTGTAATACACAAAGACTTTTCCCATAAGACCTCATGTTTGTCAATACTATTTGATTTATATAGACATAGGCTTTAGTGTTTTATTGTATCTTAACAAATATCTGCTGTACACTCTGTGACAGTGTCTGTTTCAGTGGGTTTGTCCTCATTCTTTCTCCAAAAGTACAAGAGATGGGTGTTATTCGTAGCAGTCACTGACTCAAAGCTGTTTTGTCACATTGAAATTGGTTCATTTTGTTTTCAGACAAAATGCCTGGTTGTTTTCCATACAAAACATGTATGAAAAGCCATGTAGCTGTGGTGTAGATGACAGACAACAAGCCTTTTTAATGTGACTCATACAAGGACAAGGCTTTGTTATAAGGCCATTATTCCTGGGAGCTGCTAACGAGTTCAATATTCTCTCTGTTCTTTTCTTTTGGCTCTTTCTTTTCTTCTCCTGTGTAAAGTTATTGTTCTTTTTTTTCCTGATTTCTTTAGTATGACCCTCCCTTTCTTCATTCCTGAGGCATCTATGATGGTTATCACTCTGTAATCTACTGAACTCCCCATATTGCCCACAATTCTCATAAAATTAGTGACTTAGGTATTTTTTTCTTTCACAGACAAATTAACTCAGAAGAAAATATCCTTGTTATATTTTTTTTCCAGTATTGTGTTCTTGCAGGGTGGGTTTATTATAGCATGGATATATAGCTGGTCATGATGCCCACATTTTCTTATTAACTCTTTAAAACCAATCTCTGGCTTATTCAACCGAAATCATTCTTTAATTCTTACATGAAGATATGCTCATAACGGAGCAGTTCAAGCTGCTGGTCTGCATTATTAAATTGATTTTTGGAGGAAATCATTCTGTACCTGAATAATTTCATTGGCTGTGCATTCTCGGAGAAGTTAGAATGCTCCAAACTTTCTTATTAACAGTATGAGTAATGGTTTTGGGCCCACATTGATAATAAGTGCAGGACAATTCTGGTATTTAAAATTACAGAATGCATAATGCATAATATTGCATGACTAGCTGGCTGTTGTGCTACGTCTTCTGCTCTGTTTGCAGGTCCTGGAAAGTGACTATGTGAGCTCTAACCTCCACCTGTGGATCGACCTGATCTTTGGGTACAAGCAACAAGGTCAGGCAGCTGTGGAAAGTGTGAATACATTTCACCCCTACTTTTACGCCCAGAGGGGGCGACAAGATGCAAAAGACCCCATAATCAAGAGCACAATCTTAGGCTACATTAGCAACTTTGGCCAGATTCCCAAACAGGTAAAAAAATATATATACTCATTCCATTCTCATACATATTTCATATTTAGTAAGTGCAAATTCTTGTTTTTTTGGGGGGAAAAGTTATTCTGTAATAATCTTTATCTTTCCTATAGCTCTTCACCAAGCCTCATCCACCCCGCAGTGGCTCTAAGAAAGAATTATCTTCACAATCCCATCCAATTCCATTTTTCTTCAAACTGGACAAATTGAAGACTTCTGCACAGCCATTCAGAGGTACAGTTACACACGTAGTGTCTTAGACATAATGTAAGATACTGGAGCACAGTAGATTTGGTTCCAGCCATCTGTTACTGTGAAAATCAAAATATATATTAAAAAGGTAACGTGTGTCTTTCACTTTTGATCAAGGCAACAAAAAAATTCAAGAAACAATGTTTTAATCCTGTGGTTTATACTTAATTATTTTTTCCTTAAGAAAGAATCGACTTTTCTGAACACTACTTGCAGCAACTAGGAGCTTAGATATTTTGTTTGATTAAAAACTAACCAATTTTTCTACAAAAGGCCAAAAGGTGGACAGTTTTGGTAACACAAGTCAAGAGCTATGAGGGTCATTGCAGAACCTCCAGCTTATGCCTCTTGACAAATTTTAAATTTAAAACCTAAATAAAATAATTGAAAAAAATAAACTCCTTATAGTTTACAGATTAAAACATAGCTGCTTCTTAGTAACTACTTGGGAATTGATTATCATTGTTTATTGATTTGGGGTTCATCATTGTTTGATTTTTATTTTATCATCCTATTCTTTTTTCCTGTTCTAAAATTGTATGAACATTGACCTCGTTAGGGTTTTTGATTTCCCACTTTAACTGTACTCACATTGAAAGCCATTTTACCCCATAAGATTTGTACATTATTTACTGTATGAATTTAGACTTTTGCTTTAACATTTTTAAGCCACTCAAACATAACAGTTAGTTATTGTTCTACTTAGGATTTTTTTAAATCCAAAAAGTGGAACAACAGCTATCTGAAAACAAGAAAGTACCAGATTGTATCTATTGCTTCCCCCCATAAAAAAAAATTCTAACTATAAAGCAACTCAAAAGCTTTTTTTAATATTAAAATTGTATGCTAGTGTGAGTTTAATGTGAGCTTTAAAAGTACTGTATATTCACTTATTTTTGCCTTTTTTAAGGAAAAGAAATATAAAAAATAACAAGCAGCTTTTAGTTTACATTATACTCCAGGATTATTTACATTGAATCAAACTATACTGTATCGTATCACATTGTATCGTATTGCATTGTATCGTATCACATTGTATCGTATCACATTGTATCATATCACATTGTATCAAAGTTCATGCTCAATAATCCAGGTACAAATCCAACAATGTTCATTCAGGTCATCTGGACGGTTTCTTTTTTTGCTGAGATGTTTCGTCCTTAATCCAAAGGACTTCTTCAGTCTGACTTAAAGGAGTTGATGGGGGAGAGGGTGGGCCCCAGAAACCATCTTATCACCAGCAAACTGTTTTTTTTCCTACTATGGGAGTTGGTACTTGTGGGACTCCAGTTTGTTTGTGGCTCATCATACTGAATAAGTCCTTTGGATGAAGAAAGAAACATCACAGCAAAAAAAGAAACCGTCCAGATGACCTGACTGAACATTGTTGGATTTGTACCTGGATTATTG